TTTGAGTCGCACGCTTCGCGCGCAACTCAAAAGGACCAGCTTCACACCACAACCCACCAGAGTCACTCCAAGAAAACACCAAGCAGAAGAACCCGAAAAGAAGGCGCCAGTTGGCTATCTTCGATAGGGTACGGGGCTTCGCCCGGAACCCCTTTCAACTTTCATGAAACTTCGCGCTTCGCGCGAAACTTGGCATTTTTTGACCCACGTACCCGGTACGTGTGCGAGTACAAGTACCAGGTACAGTACCCGCGGTATCCGATCTTCAATCTTGCTTCAACTCACATAAAAAAGTCAATCGCTTCTCACATATTATTAAAAAAATCAATCGCTTCAACTCACATCAAAATAATAATAATAAAGACATCAAGCGAAGTCCCCTGTACCCTTAACTTTCCTACAGCCGTACCAGGTACTGCACTCTATCTCTCTCTCTCTCTCTCTCTTCCTCTCTCTCTCTCTCTCTCTCTCTCTCTCTCTCTCTACTCTCTCTCTCTCTACTCTCTTCCAACCAGAAGCAACGCAAGAAACAACGCAAGAACTCAAAAATGGCAGGAATGTCAGCAAAGAAAGCCACCACTTTGGGTGCTAGATACACGCTTGCTTGCTGTTTCATCTGCGCGCTGCCCGGAATCGCTGGCCTGATGATTCTCAACAGCACAATTGGTGAATGGCCCGTTGTAGATGCTACTGTAGTGTCCACGCGAGTTTGTTCTTTGGGCAGTAGCGGTTCCATGAATAATGTGCAAAAAGAGCCAAGCTACAACATTACCTACAATTACACCACTCTCGAGGGAACTACCTTTACCTTCGAGACTGACTATTGCTTGAGTCCCAAACCAGCCCAAGGCGAAACCACGCAAATTATTTACAATCCTGAGAATCCATCTATTATTGTGGAAGAACCCTTCTTGGGTATTGGTCTGGTTGCAGCCAAGACGGCGACTGGTGTTGGATTTGGAATTGGATCACTCGCTTTTTGTGTGGCCGTGTTCATGTGCTCCCGACGAGAACCACCGGCCAATCCAGGGACCTACCAGCAAAACACCAATACCCAATACCAACAAGATGCCCACGTACAAAATACCAACTACAACAATGCCGAGTATGGTCGATCATCGGTACCAATCAGTGGACCTGCTGGAGACATTCCAACTCCTAATACTTACAACCAAAACACCTACAATAATGCTAGTGGACCCGCTGGAGACATTCCAACTCCCATGGCCACTGCGGCTCCCCTGCCTCCTGCCACGGTGTATAATGGCGGTGACAGTCAAGCATCAGGACCCGTCACCTATTACAAGTAAGGCCGGTGGTGACACGGAAACTGCTGAAGACCCGTATTCTCTATTTCCGCGCCACACTTCTTTCCATGTTCTTCCTATCAATGTTTGTTTGTGAGTGTAGGTGTAACACACTGTAGTTCAAGCATCCACTTTATATTGTAGTTTTGGTATTGGAACTGGCTGCCACGCAGTGATCGATCGGCTCTTTTTGGAATTGTGATAAAGCGGAAGGGTCGTTTTGATAGAGTGCAATGAAAGTGTTTATTGGTTTTCAATCTTTTGTTGCAAACTTTCCTTCTGTTTCGTAGCCTTTTTGACTGTGTGGTGTTGCTCGTTCAAAAAATCTCGTCGTATATCCAAACACTTTTCCAGAACTTGCAAGGATTCCTTCAGCTTTCCTTGCTTTTCCATGACGAGCGACATGTTTTGGTAGACATCGGCAATCTTGAGATCCAAGGTTTCATCGAGATGGCTACTGTCATTTTCAGTAGCCATTTGTTGTCGAATGGCCAGTTCTTGCTCTAGGGTTGCCAACGCTTGGTCGTATTGGCGTTTGGATTCCAATCGGATGGAAAGACTGCTGTAGGTTTGTGCCAGCTTATTGTAGGCATCTTTTACTGTGCGATGCTTTTCACCAAGTGTCTTTTTACGAATATCCAGCACTTTGAGTTGAAGATCCAGTGCTTCCTCTAGCTTGTTCTTGTAGAATAGAACTTTTGCAATATTTGCATATGTTTCGGCAACTGACGGATGTTCCATTCCCCGGACTCTCTTTTGGATATGTAAGGCAGATTCATAAAGTTCTAGCGCCTTTTCTCTGTTCCCTTGCTCAAGAACGATGTTGGCCATGTTATTCGTAGTGACTGACATCGGAATCTGATTGCCTGCTTCGTCCATAGCGAATACCTTCAAAGCTTTGCCGTATAATTCCAAAGCTTCGTCAAGTCTATCTCGGTAATAAAGTGCATTCGCCATTTGGTTGTAAGTATCCGCCCAAACCTGAGAACCTGCCTCAAGAGCCGACTCGGTACAAATGTCAAGGGCTTTCTGATGAAGCTCAATAGCCAGTTCTGATTTTCCATCATCTCGAAGGATCTCGCCCATGCAGTTATATGTTTGTGCCACTTCTACATGACAATCTCCGAGAGATCCAAATTGAAGCTCAAGCACATGCTCGTAAACTTGATATGCCCAGTCATATTCACAGAGTGTATTGTAGAACAGTCGTGCCAGTCTCTGTAATCGGGACACATCCTTTGTCTTTTCCAAAAACCGACTAAGGAACTCTTCGTTGACGTCTGAACCATCTGAGATTGCTTTCAAATCGTCCAAACGCTCCTTCAAACTATCTGTTGCTCCAGCAAAATAGGATCGGAAGTATTCATAGTACTTGTGGGATTCTAAAGTATTTTCCAAAGCCTTCATGTCCTGAAGATGAATCTGAAGCTCGCACACATGCTTAAACCCACGATCCGTCTCAATATGAATGTGTAGATTGAAATCTCTGTACCCTGTCAGACTGGGCCGTTTGAATCGATTCTTGGCCTTGACAATGGTAATGGACGAGTCCTCTTGTATTTGCTGAATGAATTGCTCAATCTGTTCAATTGTGGAAAACTGTATGCTTCCCCGCACCACATCGTACAACCAAGAAACAGCTGTGGCAGGTTTTCGTCTGATATAATCATCGTCGGCCTTTTCCAATGCTCGTTCTCTTCCTTTTACTGGTGGAAACTGAACCACGACGACGCTTTCTTCCTGGTCTTCTTGTCCACAAACTCGTGCCACGATATCCTGGACTTTGGCTTCATAAATTGGTTTGGCAATGCCAGCAGCCACATAGAGCTCCTCGCATGTATTTACTTGATTTCCATCCACTGCTTGCTGTTGATAACTCGCCTTGAATTCCCAAGGATCCCCACTTTCCGTCTCAATGCCTTCAGACTGGATTTCCAAATGGGAGAGGATACGAAGACTGTCTATCTCTTCATATTTGGCATCTAGCAATTCCCGACAATGCAAATAATTATGAAGCATATGAAAGAACTCTCGGGTGGCGGGGCGCAGCTCCAACATGGTGACTGAAGGCAAAAGTTATGATGAGTACCCGGGTACCATTACCGGAAGTTTTGTGATATAATCGTTCCAGTCGTCTTCGATCTATTCGACTCCAAATTCTTCAAACATTTTATTCCGTTGCCCGTTATCTTCATCACTCTTCATCTAGCTAGATCTACTACATTGATTCAACGTATTATTGCATGCATTCCATGGCCAAGCTTGCCAAAACATCACCAAAGTGACCATCTCGAGAAGGGAGAATTGAGACTGATTAATTCATTCATTCATTCGTTTTTAATTTCTCACGTGTTCTGAAAAACACTACAAGAACAGTTCAACGAACAATCTAGCTGTCATCACATCAGGTATTATAATATATATCGTCTAATAAATTTGTTTTTGGGCGCAAAACGGGAAATACTGTAATGTCACTTCATGATGCTGTATGGGATGGCGATCTGAACCTTGCAGCAAAATTGATTGAAGATGATGGGGCAGATATCAACGAACCAGCGGACGGAGAAGGTACTTCACCGTTGCATCTGGCATGTTTTGCGAATCGATTGGAGATGGTACGGTTACTTTTGGATCGAGGTGCTGATATGGAGGCACAAAGAGCGGATGGGTTAACGCCATTTCATGTCGCAATGATGATGAATTATTTAGATATTGCTAGGTTTTTGTTGGAACAAGGTGCTGACATTGAAGCCACAGTAAATGGAATGAGAGCATTGCATGGCGCAAGCAGAAATGGTAATGTTGAAGCTGTGCAGATCTTACTGGATCGAGGTGCTGATGTCCATGCAAGAGATAAGGATGAGTGGACTCCACTGCATTTTGAGTGCGGAACTCAAAACGTTGAGCTTGTTCGCATGTTATTGGACCAAGATGCCGATGTAAATGCCAAAACAAACACTGGACTGACGCCACTGCAAATTGCCTGCCGAGTGGGCGACGAGGATACTGTTCGACTTTTGCTAGATCGAGGTGCTAGAATACATGAAACGGACAAAGATCTATGGACACCATTGTATTTCGCAGTCGGTGGGGGGCATGTAGAGGTTGTCGAATTGCTCTTGGATCGGGACGCTGAAATTGACGCGTTAGATAAAAATGAAAGCACCCCTCTATTGCTTGCCTGTGGAGCTGGTTGGCTAGACGTAGCATTGTGCCTTCTGAATCGTGGTGCCAACTTGGAGTCACGTGGCAGAGACTCAATGTCGGTACTGCATCGAGCTTGTGTCCACTCACACTTGGAAATCGCGAGACTATGTTTGGATCGAGGCGCCAATATAGAGGTTCATACAGAGGATCTACAGTGTACACCGCTGCATTTGGCTTGTGCAAGCAATCATTTGGAAGTCGCAGAACTGCTTTTGGATCGTGGCGCAAATTTGGAAGCAAGACAAACGGATCAATTCACACCCCTACATATCGCATGCAAAGCGAATCATTTGGAGGTTGCCCGTTTGTTGATAGATCGCGGCGCCAATATTGAAGGGCACGAGAAGACTGGGTTCACATCATTGCATATTGCATGCAAATGGAATCGTTTGGACATTGTGAGACTATTGTTGGATTGTGGTGCCAAAATCCAAGCCAAAGCAAAGAACACACGAACAGCATTGCACATTGCATGTCGGAAAGGCCATCTAGATATTACCCGCATGCTGATAGAGCGAGGCGCCAGCTTGGAGGTAAAGACAAGGGAGGGGTTGACACCACTGCACGTCGCAGGGAAGAATAATCATTCTGATATCGTATGGTTGCTTGTACACCAAAGTCCGTGGCTACTGCTGGACCGTTCGTGATCTGGAGCGAGCGAATTTGTTCCAATTCAATTTAATTCGAAGGTTGCTATTGGATGTACGGATTAGCTGTCTGTCCCGTGCAGCAGTTTTGCGTTCCTTTGAACATTGCAGCCCGTTTCTGGCAGCTTGCATTCGTATTTCGGTGCTGCTGGAAACGAAGATAGGACAAGCATGGGGCACCTTACACTACAGAGCAGAAAAGATTGGTTTGGTTGGGGTTCGTGCGGCTGCTTATAAAGCAAAGTTTATGCAAGGTTTCTAGTTCATCGTGAACATGCCATCATGTTGATTTGTTTTGGATGCTTACTCCTAATAGTTTTCACCTCCAAGTTGGTCCTGTACAAATCGTGAATCAAGTATGCAGTATTGATGGTGAGAGCTGCCGCAACCATCGGAATCGCCATTCGCAGCTTGGGTGTGCTCTCCATAATTGCAATTGATCAGGACCAAGGTTCGATTAGTTTCCTATAGTACCGTAGGGTAGTGGCACGAGTACGAGTACTCAACTCGTCCTTATTTTGGAAAGAACTTTTGTAGTGTTTTGAAGTCGAACTGGTCGAAGAGGAAGCATGCATCGGTCATACACAGCCATGACATCTGCACTTCATCTTGGATTGCGTGAGATGGTTGGTCGGGCACTTATCGTGGCTGCAGGGGGTGGTAGCGTGTCCCTCACAAGAGAACTGCTTGACAATGGTGCCGAAATAGACGAGGTGGACCCTGATCGCGAACAGACAGCATTACAGGTTGCATGTTCTCAAAACCAAATAGAGATCGCTCAACTATTGTTGGATCGAGGTGCGGATATCGATTGCAAGGGCAAACGTGAAATGACTGCCTTGCATATGTCATGTACGACAGAAAACGTTGATAGTATTCGGCTCTTGCTTGACCGGGGTGCCAATGTAGAGGCGACAACTCTCGAGGGATTGAAAGCATTGCATATTGCATGTGTAAAAGGATTGACTGAAATTGTTGGGATTTTGTTGGATCGAGGGGCTGACGTCAATTCAAGACATGATCGTTTGTCTTTATTGCACATTGCATGTGTAAAAGGATATTCTGAGATCGTTGGGATGTTGTTGGATCGAGGGGCTGACATCAATTCAAGACAAGATGGTTTGTCATCATTGCACATTGCATATCACAAATCGCATTGGGATGTTTTTGAGCTCTTATTGGATAGAGGTGCTGACACGGAAGTTTGGACCGACGATGATGTACTGACACCGCTTCACGTTGCATCTACCCATGGAAATTTGGAAGCGATGCGTATGCTATTGGATCATGGCGCCGATACAGAGTCGATTGCAAATAACTGCACGCCCTTAACCATATCATGTTTTCACAACAGATTGGAGGCTGTTAGATTGTTGCTTGAAAGAGGTGCCAATCTGGAAGCTGCATATCAAGAAAATCAAAGCCCTCTGCATGTAGCTTGTGCACGCAATCAGGTGGCAGTTGCTCGCTTATTGTTAGATCATGGCGCGGATATAGAATCTACGATAGGTGATGGTTGCAGCACGCCACTGATTCTCGCGACTTCCTCCGGTCATATCGAGCTTGCGGAATTGTTATTGGAACGAGGTGCCAATATAGAGGCAAAAGCAGAACACAATGCTACTGCACTGCTACTGGCTTGCACAAATGATAACATCGAGATTGTTCAGCTCTTGCTCGATCGAGGGGCCAACATGTCGATTCAGGAAAACACAACTTCGCCGCTTCATCTTGCTGTGGCGCGTGGATCCATGGAGATTACCCAGCTTCTGCTGGATCGTGGTTGCGATCTCGAAGCAAAGTCGAAGAATGATAATGAGGATACCCCATTGCATACTGTATGCGCATTCGGAAATCTGGATATTGCTCGGCTTCTTTTAGATCGTGGTGCCGACTTAGGTGCAAAAAACAACGAAGGATGGACACCGATGCACTTGGCTTGTAAATGGAAAAATGTGCACATTGTTCGACTCTTGTTAGATCATGGTGCCGATATCGAAGCAAAAACATCACAAGGAATGACCCCGCTGCACATATCTTGCATTGATGATCTTCGGATGACAGTGAGACTCTTGTTGAATCGTGGCGCCAATGTGGAGGCCATGAACAACGACCAAATTACGCCATTGCACGCTTCATGTAAATGCGGACGTTTGGAGATTGCTCAGTTCTTGTTGAATTACCACCATGCTGATATAGAAGCAAAGGCTAAGGACAAATCGACACCCTTGCATGTCGCATGTAGATTTGGACGACTCGAGGTTGTTCGATTATTGTTAAACCATCATGCGGATATAGAAGCAAAGAGCAGTGACGAATCGACACCGTTGCATTCCGCATGCAGATTTGGGCGACTCGAGGTTGCTCGCTTATTGCTTGATAGAGGTGCCAACTTCAATGCAAAGACAACCAAGAAAAAAACGCCTCTGCATTTGGCGGGGCAGTTCCGTCACTCAGAGCTCGTATGGTTGCTTGTACATCGAAGTCCAATGCAGGTTGTGGAGCCGTGGTGATTTGGCGCGGTGGTTATCGGATGAAGATTTGTCTCTGCGTAAATCCAGTTCCCCCCTCCGAGAGAGCGGTACGAACGTAATGGCACAGCATCTGCATCGTCATTTCGAACGAAGAACGAACACGAATATTTCGATATTGTATTCCTTCTACTTTCGAGATCATGGTTTACAATGGCATCCTCCTTGTTGAGGTCTTTCAAGAAATTGGCGATTCCAAGTCCACTCACTAGGCATGCCAGACCAACCGACAAGCCGGCAGAAAGATGGGCGATAGCCGTTCACTTCGGTCATCTCCTCAGAAGCATTCCCCATGTTTCCAACAAGCAGCAGAGAAGCGATGATGCCGCAAATGGCAAAAACACCCGAAACGATAATCGGGACAAAGGCAGTGAGTCCATTCTTGCCCCGTGCATAGATGACACCTTGCGCTGAAGCAATGGCGGAACCACCACCAGCAAGAAATATGGAAAGGATAGAGCCGAGACCGTGAGATCTGCAGCAGTCGTGATTCGATTTACTCTTTTGCGATTTGGAAGTACAAGTGCAACTTTTTATGATACGCTTCGTCGGCATACTTGTGGATCAAGATCATCAAGCTCCTAGGCCTCCAAGACTTAAAGCGAACAGGCCTTTATTCCAAAGCATTCCCCACATCTACAGTGTCTTCACTCGCGATAGATTTGGCCATCATTGCGAGGGAGACATATGGTAATATGTAGTAAGACAATCGAAACGATGGATCAACTAGACTGAACTCGGCCTGGATAGCTGCTTCTGAAATTAAAATTGACTTTGCTTAGCTGTGATTTGCTATTCTATGAAACTTGGTGAAATGAATTCCTCCCGCTCAGTTTACCTTCCAATAAAAGGAAAAGAGCAACAATTGATCCACACAATCCGATTGCTTCCAAGAAGACGAGGCTCAAGGTAAGATGCACAAAGTTCTCTTTTACCATAGCACGTCGTACACGCTGAATCAATGGTTCAGTTTCTGGTCTCTCCGGCTCATCACTTGCAATGCCAGCCTTCTTGTCGAGATGCTTCAAGAAGCGGGCAATTCCAAAACCACTTGTGAGACATGCGAGACCAACCGACAAGCCAGCAGAAAGATGGCGATATCTGTTCACTTCAGTCATCTCCTCGGATGCATTTTCCATCTTTCCAACAAGTAGAATGGAAATTATGATGCCATGCGCAAGGCAAGGACACCCGAAATGATAATTGGGACAAAGGCGGTGAGTCCTTTCTTGCGAAGTGCGTAGATTCCACTTTCCGCAGAGGCAACTGCAGAACCAGTGGAAGCAAGGAAGATGGAAAGGGCAGAATCGAGACTGGTAAGGAGTTGTGGGTCTGCGAAAGTCATGATTGGGTTATCTTTTGTGATTTTGAATCTGTACGATTTGTAATACGATGATTCTGATTCGTATTCTATGGACTTCGAGGTGGATTTTGTGATGGACAAGATGCAGATTTCTATCGTACGCGTCTCAAAAGCGAACAGATATTGATCCAAGATGTTCACCCACGACTATCTGCTACAGTAGAATCACGATCTCCACCTTGATTGCATCTACACTAAGCCAAGTAGTTGTTGAATAAAGCTGAGCACTATCTACAATCTTCTTATTCTTGATACTTTAGAAAGAAAAAGGCAACAAACTCTTGAAACAACTCTCTAGCAGTAGCTACTCCTAGTAGTAGTAGCAGGAGTATTGCATGTGTACCACCTGTTGCTCGTTGTAGAGGAGAAGCTCAATAGGACACGGTACTCGAAAATTCAACTACTTCGGCCTGGATCAAGAAACCTATATTTCGACAGCATCTTTAATATTACATGCTTCGGATCCATTACTATTAGTTCGATTGAATGAATGAGCCACAGCATGTTGGTTGTTCTGCGACTGACTACTGACTTACTCTGTCGCGCGCCAGTCGACCTTGTACAGGAATTCTTCTGTGCCATTGTTTTGGTCATCGCAAAACCCATCCAACCCGAACCCAATCCTTTCGATGACTTTCCTAAAAAAAATCACCTTGCCTGACCTGGTACCGGTACCTGTCCTACCGATATGTATTTTAATCGCAAACGTCGCATCTTCGTTGACTTAAAAACATGTATTCATTTCACGATACAAATCAGAACCATTTGAGGTTGAAAATACAGACCAGGCAGATCCCGAACTTGCATTCCGACAAGGGACGAAACTCCTGGTGGCCCTCACAATATTATTAGGACGTAAGTCCCCGTATCTGACTTTGGATCTTCTCCATAAATACGAGGATGACGAAGCTTGAAGACAACATCGATTGCATCCCAGACTTTGATGGCAGTATTCATTTTGAGTCGTCAAGTACGCACTCACTCAGCAGCTGCCTAAAGAAGCAAGATACCATTTGCGAGGATTCGTTACAGTCTCCAGACCATCATGTTTCGTTCGATATGATTGAAATACTGGAATTTCCTCTCGAAATTGGAGATAACCCATCCGTGAGTCGCATATTTCGATGTGCAATCCATCATTCAGCCAAGAGCGGACCTTCGCTAATTTTATTCATCATTGTTCTTTCCTCAACTCAGGTTTTCGATGGCCCACCAGTCCAAATTGGATGGACCCCAGAAAACAGCAAGGTCCTTCGACTTGATATATATGAGGTCTTCCGTCCAAAGCGAAGAAATCGATTTGAGATGTTTATGACAACAGATGAGCGTACTGAATCATTGCTTCATCGAGGATATACCGACGACGAAATCCGCCAGGCGGCGTCGGAAAGTGCAAGGATTCAAGAACAACGATTCCAGAGTGCAAGGAAAAGAGGCCGATAGTGACGAGATTTGGTATTAAAAGGAATTCCTGTTTCAATATATCTGTGCATTACAGTATGAAAAAATAGATGAAAATACAAGTCCATCCAAATTTCGGATTGTCAATCTTCCAACGAACCGGCCAGGCCACACTCATCTCAGAAGAATCAAGACATTATCGATCACCGCCCAATTATGATAACACCAAGAGCAGATGTTGCGTGCACTGTGAATTGTCTATCTTTAGATTATGACTGCTAAATGGCACGCTGTCATTTCTATCTTCGCGGAAATAAGGTTTCAGACAACGTTCGAACATACTGTAGGATGAATGTGCTGAACAGATTGATTATTGATTCTCAAAATCTTCAGTACCATGTCCGTCCTTCGTCATTTTGTCATAAAAATCGAAACTGTGTGTTTCACAAAATCCAACCTCTCAACAATGACACTTCCCATAATGATGAGCACTGAGATTCTGCTTCTTCTTCTTCTTCTTCTATATTGCGAAGCGTACTCCGTGGGAGGCTTCTCTCACTCTCCTGCTAGCGTTCCCAAGCTACCTGAAAATCCAGAAGATGTTGCCAGACAAGCATCGGCCTCAATTCAACGGGCAGTCTTAGACGGTGGTATCCATCGTCAAACGATCCGACTTCCATTGAGTGAATCTATGTACGCTAGGAAAGAAGAATCTTTCGTAGCTGATAGAGCGATTGGTTGGCAGGGAGGCCCCCAAGAGACCTATCGCTTTGTATCACCAATGACGGAGTCTGTCCTAAGGCAGATATCGTTGAATGACGACAAGAACAGTGGCCTGACGCCGAAAATCCAAAGACAAATACTCTTGGATTTTGACGGAAGCGCTCTATTGAATGCACAAAGCCCTATGGGTGCTCTTTATGACTCTCTGGCGTTGGTGCAGCCAAACACTGACAATTATTACATGGAACTGATCGAAAAAGTTGAGAATGAATTCAGTGATACGCCTGGCAAGGCAAAACGCCTGTTCTTACTGATTAATCCAGCCTGGAAAGACGATCCTTCCAGCTGGGGCATTTTTCAATCCAAGAAAGCAAAAGACAAGATCTTGGATCGTTATGAAACTACCTTTGCCTTGGACCAGTTCATTGTGAAAGGCAACAAGATCAGCTTGTTCAAATCGTATCCTTTCGATTGGACTGCGTACTGGACACAACTGCGACCATCGGGCACAAGAGAAAGCGATGATTCATCGATTGAAGGTGCAACTCTGTTGGGATCAATGCCAAAGCGACCGACCTATCTGGAAGTGGAAAATATGCTCGACTCCGCTATGGCGGCAAGATCGTGAATAAGACACTGCGGCTGAACGATGCATCCCGATAGTACGAATTTTGAAAGCGTCCCAACGAAATTTGTTATCGTTTGCTCATCCAATGCGATGCGCCCATTCCAATGGCGACGCCAGCAGTCATATAACCAAGTGGATGAAGAAAGGATGGTGATAGCAAGGAAGACAAAATGCCATTGGTATCACGGTAACCTGAAGATAGCACATGCGCTCGGCGGTAGGCAATGTCCAACTTTGCCTGGGCTCTTGAACGGTGAGCTTGCAACGCCAGGAGGGATTCGTCTTGTTCTTCTGTGGGCAAGGCTCTTGCCACAATGATCCGATTTTGAGGAGTAATCTGTTTGTTCATACACTTCATTCGGACTTCGTGCGTTCCTTTGCCCATAATACGTCCTGCCAGTAGGACATCCATCATTATCTGTAAGGGTATTTCTAGTGCCTTGCTGGTCGCCTTCCAGGGTCCTCCGGGGCTAGAATCCTTTTGGCAACATGGAACTACAGCGACCGAAACACCGTATCGACAGGATATCTCCAATATTTGCTCGCTCAGATGTTGGCAGGCATGACACGCAACGACAAGGATCTGTTCAGGAGATTCCGTCATGGAAAGCCCCTTTTGTATCTCGGAGGGAAGGCCAGTCGTCAAACATTCATTCCGATAGACGAGCTCCTTCTTTTGGTTCGCGTAACTGTCGCCCTGGTCACTACTCCATAAGTGCCCCCATGCCTTTGTCACTCCGTTGTTCCCCACCTTGGCCGGATCAATACAAACTGCCCTTTGTATTGAAGGATTGGACACCAAAAATAGGGCTGCTAGTGCCCCATGACCACCGGCAACATCCAACACAACCTTCCAACCAGCAGTCGTAATACCACTGGTTTTCAGCTTTTTCTTTTCAAACTTTTGAAAGTGATTCTTCACAGCCTTGCAAAATGCCAAAGATTCTCGGAATTCCTTTATGGTCGGAGAGTGTATTCGATTGTCGTGAAGAGCGTGAAAGAGCTGTTGCTCCAAGTTGTATGTTGGTGGGGCAGCATCTTTGCCATTTTCCTGCTTCTTGTAGACTTGTGATTGCTTGGGAAGCGTCCTGTCTATCTGAACAGCACCATTCTGGTTTCGCTTTGGGAGAACGTCCATGTAATAATGTTGAATCGTATTGGTTTCTTCACACTTTTCTTCGTAATGATACCAACCATTGATTTGAACAGCAGCTGCGTCTGAAGGGCCATTTTCGTGATATGCCAAGAGTGTGGTCATCCACAAGGAATCATCGGCAAACATTTGGTCCAGGGGTAATAAGCTCCAATCGTCAAACCATTGAGGAGTGATCTCTTCACATCCCTCAACACTATTTAATCTCTCGTCACAGTGTTGAAATGCCAACCAGTACACGTGAACAACCATTTCAAGTTGAGATTGAGATTCGTTTTTTTTTTCGTCCGTCCCAGTTGATTCATTGTCCTCATCTGGAGCAAAGGTGAATCTTTGAATTCCAACCTTACTACCCTTCATTTCGTCAATCGATACACCTCCGATTTTGGCTTCTTCCTTCAACTCTCGGCAGGCACTAGCCTCTAGTGAAGAATCGAGCTTCACATCAAACTTGCCTCCCAAACACGTATACATGCCCTTTCCGAAGCCTCGATTCTTCCTTCCCAGTAGCAATCTGCCCCGTTTCTCCGCTTCATCGCTCTCCTCTGTAACAACTATAAAGGCAAATTCCTTGGGTTTGGTCGATTGGTGTCCGATGGCCGACGCGAAGGATTCGTAAGTTTCGTGTTTTTGACCCAACCTCGAGTTTGGCAATCGATTGGGGAATCCAGACGACGCCATCATGCATACTGTGAATGCAATCGAGTTGCATGAAATTGAGATCTTCATCTGATGGCAAGTGTGCGGTTGGCAACAGTGGTTTTGGGTCGGCTTAGTCCAAAAACCGAATGAATGTTATTGCTTGGTATCGATACTGAACAGCAAATTAAATGGATCTGGTCTGAAGAATTTTCTCGGTTGAGATGACTGGTATGAAGCAAAAGTGAGAAAGAGCATAGTCATGAGATGCCCATGACGCTTGAGGAGCAAACTCAAAAAACCTGTCTTTAAAACTATGTCTGAGCCAACTATTTCTACTGTATCTTCTGTTTTCAAGTCGAAACTCTGCTTGGTCGTAAGTTGCCATCTTATTGATATTGCATCCGCAACAACTAGCTTGAGTCTGTGACTGTCATTCCCAGCAAATCCAGTTCAAACGAGAATTCTTATTCCAAATGCTGGCCTTGCATGAATCAATTGTGGACCTCATTTCCGCCAATGAATTCTACAGGCGAGCCAAGAAGTTCTGGTGTCTTGCTTCGGCTAAATAGAATCTCGTGATTGGTTCGACATCTACCATATCTTCCATTCCGCCACAAGCTTGTCGGGCGGTTGTTTCTTGGTCTTCATTGCAAAAAAAGATAGCTGTGCGATATTGGCGATCAGCGCCTGGATACGGATTGCTCAAAGCTTTCCACTTTTCAAGAATGGATTGGTAGGATATTAGAGTTGGGTCAAATTCCACAAGTACGCTTTCTGTGTGATCCTTCATTTCGGAATAGGAAGGATTCAATTCGTTGCCACCCGAGTATCCAACCACGCATTTCGTCACACCATACATAGCTTGATACTCTGGTTGTGGCCCCCAAAATCATCCACAGGCGACTACTGCAATATCCATTCCTCTTCGCGGGGTCAGTGGTACCTCTGAACAAATCGGAGTTGACGACAGTGCTGACGATTGCTCTCCGTAGGCAATGCTGCTCTGAAATCCATTGTTGTTGCAAGTCTTTGCCCCTCGATTTGCCGACCAGTACGTGTGACATGGACGACTGGTAAAGCTGAGGCTCGTTCGTAGGACGAGAGCAACGAAAAGGTAGAGAACCTGTCTCATGGTGATGTTGTTGTGATGACGAAACAGGTTGCACAATATATAGCGCCGGTACATTCACGCACATGCGCGCTATTTTTGACTAATACGACCACCGCAACCTTCAAAACTTTGAAATCGATACTGCAAAAGGATGGTCTCATGATTGATTGCAACAATGAGCGACATATGCCAGAAGCATAACGAATATAGTTAAAAATTGTATTTTGTATTGCTAGCCATTTACAGCTTGGGTCTCCAACCATCGACGAAAATGTATTTGATACCAGCTGCGACTGAAATACCAATGTACGCAAGTAGAATAAGAGTACCGAAAGATTGGCCGGGGTTGCTCTCAAAGTCAATGCTTGATTCCAGTCCAGAAAGGAGTATGGAAGAATGTACAGGTAGGGTTCCCAATCCAGCAGGCTGTGCCATTTGTGAAAATGACGTTGCAGAAATCATGCCAGGCACTGTGTTGCAGGGAATGACAAACGCGCTTCCGGTGGTAAGAAAGAGGGATATCGAAGCGAGGAAGATGAGGATGTTTGTTGTGTGCATATTTTGTGGACTGTGGGATGTCAAATATTGGTAATATAAAAGTGCGAGGGTGTTTTTGTTTTGTGCGACACTTTCAAACTTTGACAATCTGAATAGGATCGAAGTAATCGGTGTAATTTTGTCTGCCCTCCACACCCGTCCATCCGTCTGTCATTCAGAACTGACACACTTTTAAAAAAAAGAAAATGGCATAAAAACGTCAAAGCTTTGTTGACGGGTCGAGGAATATGCACCAGAAACCATCTTTGGGCTTTCGGCTGCTGCAATATTTCCTCTATCCATTGAGGACTTTGACGTTTGTCTCTACACTGGTAGTACTCTGTCCTGTCACTACTTTTGCTTTCGTAAAAAATCCACCTATCTCTCGGTCCATTGGACGAATACGGTCAAATCCAAAATATTTGACACAGCTCTCACAACGACGAAGCAGCGCAAACGACTTCTTCTTTCTACCACCCCAGCCTCCATTAAGAAACATGGCAATCACAGCCCATGAAAGCACTGTCTCGGAAGACGCGTCAGTCGATGGGTCTATGCCAATGCCACACGACATGAGCTCTCAGGCGATCAATCAGTTGCACCAAGAGATCATCTCCCTTCAGGCACAAAAAGGGGATTCAATACGACTTCTCGACAAAGCACAGGTCTCTGCAATACCTGACAATGGACTTCATCACATCAATTCGATCGTTTGGGAACTTGAAAGGCCAACTGAAGACGGATCCTTTTCGTCATCAGATCGACCTTTTGTTTTGACGATCCTTTCTCAGAATGATCGGGTAGATCGTGCCAAACTCCAAGAGGTATTCGACCAAGCTTCTAATGGTGATAGTAATCGCTTTTTCCCAGCCAATACAAGGCTCAAGCTAGCCCCGTCTGATGAACTGCCTTCAATATGTGGATTCCCTTCCGGAAGTGTACCTCCTTTGGGGTTGACGCCATCGCCACAGTTGGTTCTTGTCGAAGAGGCCTTGGTTAAATACATATCCTCCATGTCGAACAGAAATATGATGCTCATTGGTGGGGGGGGAACACCTAATCAATCAACAGTTCTACCGCTTCAAACTCTGTTGGCCGGGATGGTGTCCAACGTGCGAACGGGATCCTTTCGACGGACAAGTGACGTTTCAACCATCACCGATTCGGCATCACACTTGAATGGATCTTCACCTGCGCCTCAAAGCTCAATATCCAGTCGAAAATGGAAGCCATTTTTTTGCGTCGAGCCTCCTGATACAGAGGAAGCAATGGCAATATTACAAGGGAAAGACTCGCGAAAGGCAAATCACTCGGAGTACTACACTGGCAACGCCAACGATAGCAGCAACTCGGACGAAACATCAAATTTGTCTCCGCAAGCCTTTACTGCTATTGGGATGATATCCGGTGTTCGACGAATTGCTCGACAATTGGTCTTTGCCGACTTTTCGCCTCCGCCACAATATCATACCAAACATGATGATGAGTTTCACGACCAGAACGAGGAAGATGATCGTCCATGGCGGAATCCAAGAACCAAGGAAGATATGGCGGTGCAATTGGTGCTGGGGAAGACCATCATGAACAACCTTGGCGAGGAGGACGGCGAAGTGGCACTTCGGATGTTGAAGAAAAACCAACTGATTCTGGTTCATGGACTAACCAATGTAGACAACCTCAACAGTTTGCTCAATTGGACCAGCAAAATGAGTCTCGATGTGCGTGTGACCGACTATCAAGTTCTACAACCGGCTCAGGATGAAGTCGCACCAAAAAAGAGTGACGTTGGATTTCAGTGGGAACAAGGTTGGACTGGCAACAAACGAATACCAAAACGGAGCAAGTATGTTGCTGCAAAAGAGAAAGTAGCTGAGCCCTCTGATCCAAACATGGAATTGCTTCAGTTGAAAGATCTCTACGATGAGAACGAGAAGCCCGTTGTCATTGCTGATTCAACAGCCTCTGTTGAAGGTATGCATCGAGATATTTCAAAGTGGCTTGAAGACAATCCAGAACTCAATGGTTTTGTTGGAATCGACTGCGAGTGGAAACCAACATTCCTTGCAGCTCAGGGTGAGCCACAGCCCGTTCTGTTGATGCAAGTTTGCGTTCACCCAATTCGAAAGATCTATCTTCTGGATCTGCAAACGCTGCTTCGGCCATTTATGTCAAAGGGATCACCAAAGACTGATTTCGAAGACGCTGTTTCCGGGGTGCTCGAGACTCTATTCCAGGAGAAACGGCTCATCAAGACTGGGTTCAAGGTATTAAACGACTTTCGACGTCTTTCAGCAAGCTATCCTCACATGACCGAATTTCACGAGATCCATTCCGTAGTTGAGTTGAGTAGAACTGCCATGAGAGTACTGCAGTTGACAAAACGAGCAAACATTGCAGCCAAATCTACATCATCGTTGGCAAAAATGTCAGAATTCTTCCTCAAGAAAAGCTTGGACAAAACAGAGCAGACATCGGATTGGTCATCCCGCCCAATGACGCTTTCACAAATTGAGTATGCCGCCCTAGACGCGATTATCACACCATATCTATTGGAGCATTTGCTATCATTGGTCGAGGGAACGATAGACCAATTTCCAACATTGGGCCGATGGGAAAACGACACCGCTTTTGCTGACGCGATCAAATCTTGGAAAATGATTGTTCTAAACCACAGTGACGATTCCGTGGCGATAAGGCGTCTAAACGCGCAACGAACGGTGGGCTCGTCGTTTGTTCTAGCACAATCGTGGACGACCGGGGATGAGCCACCAAAAGAACCAAATGCCCCTGACGATGATAAAGCACCATTTGTTGATGTCCATGGAATGACCCGGATACCATCGCCAACTGTGTCAATACCCCATGATTTCTTAGAGCGTGTGATGGCGAGATTGATTGGCGAACGAGTGTCAAAGTCAAAAGATGGGTGCCTTTCAGAGCTGCTTGCCAACCAAGCGATACTGGACCTTCCCAATCATCGTCTTGATTTCCCGCAGCGTGCTGGATATGTTGAATTTGCAAATGCTGTAGCACTCTTTGTGACAATGCCATTTCGACCCGGGCAACTTCGCAAGTATCCAAACGATTGGATATATGATGGGACTGCGTTGAGCTGGTTCATTCATGATGATGAATGGAAGAATGGAAGCAGCCGACTTGCGACAAAGATGCTTGGCACGAACGACCAAACTGAGGCGTCCATCATTTTGTTTGTAAGACGAGGAAAGGAACCCTTTGTTTGTTGTGGGCGTTGTTCTGCTGAGTTTCGAGCGAACGAAGACGTCAGATTTGGAAATGTTCTAAAGGTGACCCTGCACCTCAAGGAACACGACAAGCTTCTGTCGTCTGGTGACTTTCAAAACCTGCAATACATGTGAGCATAGCGAGAGTCCATCAGCTTGTTGAATCTTCGTTGACAGTTGGCGTGAAGAACGAGATTGATTTGATAATACCGGTACATGAAATATGGATGAAAATTCTCTTTTGTCATGATCAAGCCATCCATTTAAATCCTTGGTCTGTTTGCTGATTCCAGTTGTTCCAGCGTCTTATCCCACAAACAAAGAAGTATATGCAATGACATAGGTCTCAAGTCTGCTGAGTCTCGCACATTGGATCCATAATATAGATAGAATTGCGTGGGTATTTCCAAAACCTAGAATGATGAGATCTATGGGAGAACATTTGAGACTTTTGACAACTGCGAAACTGCATTTTTGTCTCACCAATGCTTGAAGCGTTCAGGTTGGGTGATGGTATGATAGAGGACTACCTCATTCATCATTCCAGAATTCAGTTATCGGTACCGGTCGGTACTTCCTCCGTTTCGAAAAGTGATTTTTCAAATCCAATCTAGTCGAGCTAATCAGCGCAGTAACAACACATTTGATTCGATTAATACGACTGATGACAATTAAAGCACATTTTACAACAATAAAACTTTTTGTGGTGGTAAACCATCAAGATGAGAAGGAAAGTGGACCTTTTACTTTCCATTTGTATTTTCATCCTGTCATGTAGCGTGACAACGGCTTTCACTTCTACGCAGCCCGTGCTCAAAAGTATATCTTCGTCGGAAAAGGCTGCTCATGCGCTTTTCAGGAACGGAAACCAAAAAAATCTGAGCTTCAGCACGGTTCATCTTCTATCCTCCCAAAATGATGATAATGGTGACAAACTTCCTAATCTTGCGCCTCGAGGTAGCTTAGAGTTACTTGTTTTGGCAGTGAGCTTGTTCTTCATTGCAACAGTTGCTGTGGAAGGCGATCGTCTATTTGCATCTGCTCCATCTTCAACGATGCAGTCTGTCGTCGATCCTGATGCTGTCCTAAAGGAGGATTTCCAACGATCGACATCTTCTGTGGAATTTTGAGCAGGTTTTACAAATTGTCAATTAAAAGGAGTTTATTTGGAATTTGTTTGGCAGAACTTGAAGTTCTTTTTCTTGCGTAATTGGATGGATTGACGCCATTGAAATACCGTACGACATGCAGGGCAAGGCGGCTGCTGAGAATAGCTTTATGGCTACCGGGGCTAAGGCTAGTTGCAAAGTACTTGAGTTTCTGCTACCCTTCCAGCTACGATGATTATTTTGTGGTGTACAAATCGAACATCTTTTTCATAAGACTAGACACGTAGGCAAGTTGTGCGTCTTTCTCAACCACAGCAAAAGGTGGTACATGCAAAAACATGCATACCCTTGATGTCGATTGTAATTTATTCATGCTGTAGAAGTAGAGATAATTGCAGACGAAGCGTCCAGGGTCAGTGCTACACTTTGATTCGATGTTGGAATGGATTTCTGTCTGATTCTGAGTCAGTCTCTCAATGTCGATTTGTGTATCACAGCGCTCGGACAACGGTGTGTCGTCTAAGATGGTTTTGTTCCTTGGTTGGAAACCTTGTTCGTCGGGTATTCTGAAAGTTGCATCATTCCAAGCGCATTTCTCCAATTGAAAGCCAGTGCCTTTGTAATTCACACCCAGATGAAGAAACACTGTAACCTTGGAATCACTTGGTTGCAACGAAATCTCATCTATTTTGGACTGAACATCTTGGGCAGAAGTCTCTAAGATCAAACACTGGCGTATTCTTGTTGCCAACTCGGCTTCATCATGACTCTCTAAATAGGACTGTAATTCTTGCACCAGTACAGTCGAAGGATTCTTTGGAATACCACGAAAAGGACCGAATCCTGTGACAACAAAAGAAATATCTATCACCTCCTCTTTATTTTCCACAATCTCGGACATGATGCACAGTAGTAGTGGTGGTGGGTCAAGTTTGTTGTTTGTTGTCCTGCGATTTTCAGTCCCATCAAAATCAAAGAACGACTGGTCCGATCGATTGATTGGGTCTGGACCGCACGGTCAAAATACTTCGCCCAATACTTCGGTTGCGGATGTGATAGCGGCACATGGTAATCCTGAAGTCATCGAAGACCGGGATCGACTGCAACGCGACGCCATACTGATTCCACACAAGTTCGATTGCGTTTCATCCCACCCGCTCTCTCTTGTCATTGATTTAAAGTTCAATCTCCTGGATTTGAACCTGCAGAAATGACCACGGCAGCGACTTTTAGTATGGCGAGAGATCAGATCGTTCTGATTGACGCTCGATCCACCACGTTGACCATTTCTTGGCCCCCGATACAAGATGTTGCATTCTATTTGCTGGAATACAGAACGAATATTGAGAACCAATGGGAAATGCTTGCTGATGAGTAAGATGCCACTACCATGTCTGATGAATCATGAAAGAACTTGGACAGTTTTACTGATGCACCTTTTCTATTTTGTAGTCTGACTCTCACAGAAATCAGGAAGACACAATTGGATTGCGTAAGTGATATATGGTGCTGGCGGGAAGGAATACACTGTGACGGACAAGAAAAGCTAAACTCATTTATTTTTCATTCACGTAGAAAAAAGAATACTTCTTCAGGGTAGCTGCAATCTACAAGGATGACACACTGTCAGGGTGGATTAGTCACAAGGAACCGTTCCAACCATTGCCTGTCAAGGAGGATCGAGAATTCAGTATGGCCCCACCGGTGGTGAACAGATTAAAAGAGAAGGAGACGTTGATGATCGAGTGGGAAGCTATTGAAGAAGATATCTATGCATTTGAGTTACAATTCCGCCAAAACAGAGGAGGACAGCCTTGGATCACCATCTCAGAGGATTTGCACAGCAACCAAGTTCGGAAGCGAAACTTGACGTGCAAGTGGGGATATCAGTTCCGTGTTCGACCAGTTACCGATCATGCTAATGAACCATGGTCGCTGCCATCCGAACCAGTCATTGCTAACGGAGTCAAGAGTCCATTTCCTAAGATTCTAATGAAGGGCTTGAAAACGACACCCCAACCTCCTCCACCACAAAGACCACCAAAGAAAAAAGAGAAGCCTTTGATGATCGAAGAAAATCATGAGGATACGAGAAGGCAACGATACGAACCTGACAAAATGGATGCCCCGTGGTTTAAGCCTGCGGAAGAATCAGAAGCAATGATTGTCAATTGGAACCCTGTCGAGTATGCAACCGGCTATGAACTACAAATGATCAAATGCATGAAAAAAAGGGCACAATGGAAGACTATCGCAGCCAACCTACAGGGTACTCAAGTGAAGAAGAAAAATTTGACGAACAAAGCAGGATACCAGTTCCGCATCCGCCCAAATGGTTTTAGGAAGGAAACCGAGTTTTCAGATCCTTCGAACATTGCCATTGCCAATTAGAATAGGTACATCGCATTGGAACAGACGATGCATAGTAGTTTTTTTTTTCACCTACTTTCTACTCTATTGTGACACTGTCCATCACTCCAGAATATCATCCAATGAATTGAAATATGCCTTTCTATTGGCTTCTTGTAGTCTCCGTTCATGCTCAACACTATCGCTGTCAATATTCCCATTCCCGTCGTCTTCTCTCTCGATAGGCATCCTTTCTACATCGTCGTCTTCAGCATCACTCTCTGCAAAGAAAATTCTACCCTTCGTCTTCTTTGGAACGTGCTCGTCTGATGAATCATCAAACTCTGATTGCAGAGGTTCATCTGAAGCCGATGTGATATCGGGGTCGACAACTTCGACATGCTTCTGCTGTGACTCTTTCAAAACCTTCTCTTGGTGCTGTTTGTATTCCTTCTCCTTTTCCATCAGGGCTCGTTGTACATTTCCCCTGGAGTCGTGAATGAACCACAAGAATGTATCAAGGACACAGATTGTGGTGCCCCATGTCCAAAAGTAGGCATTACCAAGCTGAGATGCAAAGCCTCCTGGTGTTGTAACAATAATCACACTCGGTATCCAACCACATGTCAACAGCGCCAAGAAAAAGCCTTCTGCGATTGTCTCGAGCGAACCTTTCACATCCTCGGAAGACTCTCTTACGATCTCCAAAAACACAAAGATCGCACAAGGCAACAGCGTAAACGACGAAATAAAAAGCAACCATAGGTATTGCGATTTGGGAATATCTTCCCAATACAATCGCAGGTTGTCCGGCAGTGTGTCGCGTTGGTTGAAAGTGTTTGCAAACAAATCGACATACCAGAACATGGTGAAAAAGCTAAAGAAAAAGATGGAAATCCAGCCAGGAGCCCGATATGGCCAACTGGTGACAAAGCTTCTGATTGTCGGCAAATCGAAATCCACCATCTTGCGTTCTAATATCCCAACAGTAGTAAGCAGGCACACCCACGTTGAGTAGTAAAGGTTGTATTGTGCCTTTCCATCGCCAGCGATTCCGCGGAAACTTGTTTGAATAATTACAGCCAGAAACCACCAAAGGAGGAGAAAGAGGATGATTCCCAACTCAAAGTAGCGTTTGGATGGCCCAAAGAACTTGATCCAGAACGAACGAAGAAACCAGCGATCAATGTGGATCACAACCAAGACTCCTGTTATGATAGCTGACACTAGACTGACAGTCTTCGCATAGGCTTGCTGCAGATCAGAAGCAGGGACCAATCTGACTTCTATTGGATCAGTTGAACCCTCGGCCGAATGATAATTGATAATGCTTGCAAGAGAAATGGTAAGATATCCATTGAATCTTGGTGATTTATAAAGTTTGACGACTTCTTCAGTTTCTGTTGCTACTTCATCTCCGCTTTCGTTCTGCTTCTTTCGTTTGCGCGACGACTTGGTTGGTTTCTTGGGGCCCTTGTTGGTGCTGGCATTGGTTGGTGTCTTCGTTGACATGGTGACGCGTTCCAATGCAACGATGCGCAATGCCGCTGTTCGAATTCGATTTCAAAAATTTGAAGCAGTCTAAGAAGTCGGTTGGGAGTCATCTTCTCTCATAAAACCTTGACATACGAAAGCTTCCTCTTTCCTAGTGTCTGTCCAAGCGCTGTTTCAAAGCTCAAATATTCATTTTTCGCAAAGTTGTAGACTGTCATGTTGGGAAATTGCGTCTGATATTCCAAAGTAGTAAACTTCAATGCTTTCTTGTGTGTTTTGTTTGGATTCCAACAGCACCACCTCATTACTTGATCATAGCAGTGAACTTCAAATATCGGAGCTGTTTCATTGGCAAATACAGTTACAGGTGACCCCTCTTCTTTGGTGACATCTATAAACTCACAAAAGGAATCCTTTATCGTCCTCTCCGCAAGTGGGCGACCCATGACTATCGATGCTGGAAGTGATTGAGTGAATGAGGAATATTTGATTGCCAGTACCACGTCCGCGTAGCTGAGGATCACCATATCTTGGAACATGAAGTGCCACTGATCCACATCACTATCCCTATTTGCCCCGAGTAAAACACCAGACTCCATGAACTCCTGTTCCAAAAGGGCAACGGGCCAGGATAGTCCGAGCTCCTCAAGTTGATCAAGAATCAGCATTCGATACTTTGGATCATCCGTTGCCAGGAAGATCATGGGTGGCTTGGATAGGCTGTCTGGTGGCCATGTCTCCACTATCTTCTTCAAGACTGTTAGGACAAATACCTTTGGATCGAAATTGATCGGTCTGTCCTTGTTTGTGAAGTCGCCCGTTTCTCCATTCCCAGCACGAATGTGAATTCCAAAAACAATGTGCTCGGCAAACTTGTTCTCTTCCATAAAGGCTTGGATTCGGTCCCGTCGACGGTATTTATTTCGCAGTGACATGTAGAAATCATAGTGTACTTGTACCTCGTCATTGGTACACGTACATGGCGGTCCTTCTTGCCCCTCACTGTTGCTAGAAACCATACCCATGGCACCATCTACTTCATTGGAGTATCCAACATGCTTTCCGGTCGAGTTGACATACTTGAAATCGTCTCGGGTGTACGGTTCAAACATTTCAGTAAACAAATCTGTCGTTTTGTTGCTATAGATGGTCCGTGACCAGTACCCTCGACAGGCAAATCCCATTCGTCTAGCCAAGTACATAGCTACAGCTTGCCTCGCCAATCTATGACCTAGACCCGCAAAACCATAATATTTGATATGCGAAAAGTGTTCAAAGGGGACCGAAGCGTTGAAATAGGGAGTTTCAATTGGTGCACCATACTTTTGATAAGCTCTCTCTCGTGCCTCGACTAGTTGCTGTTCTCGCAAAGCTATGTGAGCTTCTTTTGCCTTCTTTTCTTCTTCAGGACTTGGTGTGGGAGGCGTTGAAGAAACCTCTAGTGAGGCATTTACCGCCCGATGTAGCCTCTCCACATTCCTTGTATATTCCGAATGATCTTTCGGAGGCTTTGTCCAATTGCGCTGAGGTGAGGGCGCACGGGATGTTGTTGGGCTGCTAGTCACTGCCCTTAGGGAACGTCCCTCCTCTGAACCTTCTGCAAGAACAGACGGGATATTTTCCTTCACCATTGCAACTGTATCCAAAAGCGAGAGCTTCAAATCGCTCTGCACTCGTGCAATGCTGGTTCCTTGCAGTGTCAAACCCACAGCAACAATGACGACCAAAACCAACAGACGAAATATTCGCTGTCCGCTGCAAGGATTCATCGAGACTTTTAGCTTCATGGGAAACAAGTTTGATCTTTTCTATTGTATTCTATGGTTGGAGAGTACGAGGACGGTGAATGAATGCGCCCTTGGTCATGAAGTACGAGTGTGAGAATGCAACAGTTTCACTGGTTTGAATGAATCAATCAATCAAAAGCATTACTGAAATTTGCGGGGACGACCCGTCCCTTTTTCTTTTCTCCCCGTCACAAAAGTTGATCGTACTGGTCAATCGCTACAATGGTAGTTGAAGTAAGTAAGTGAAACAAATCGCATTCAATGAAGGTAACCAAAGAGACAGTTTCGTGTCTACTCTCGTCTAGGACTTTGTGGATTTCTCACGACTGTTGAAAGCGCCTTGTCGAGGGGGGAAGTCGAGGGATTTCAACGATCGACCAATGTGATATGGAAAGATCTTGTCAACGAACGCACTGCATGCATTCAAGAAAAGAAATACATTCATCTATGAGTGTGTCCACCTCCTTGAAGGCGTGTGTCATTCTGTATTCAAAAAGAAACACCCTGGACACTCTTCGATTGTTGGAGGCCAAAACTATCGCACCTTGTCGCGAGATTTGATCACCACTTTCAGATCCGGCTTGGGTCTCATGACAATGAGATTCGAGAGCTCAAATTTGGTGCCTTTCAGTGATGGTGCTAGGTTGAAGACAAACGAACGAATCAACTCGGCCATGATAAGCTTTGCTTCCATTGTTGCAAATCGTTGTCCAATGCAGTTGCGACCACCAGCAGAGAAAGGGAAAAAGGCAAAGCGGATTCTGGCAGAAAACTCCTCGGACTTATCCAGCCATCGTTCAGGCTTGAAATCATTTGGGTCGTCCCAGTACTTCGGGTGGCGTCCGAGCACATAGGTGGATAGGATCATTCGAGTGTTGGGTGGAATTTCTTTCCCAGCAAGAGTAATCGTCTCATCCGAGTATCGAGCAATGGCACCGACTGGTGGATACATCCGCAGCACTTCTTGCATGAACGCATTAAAGTATTCCATCTTGTCGACTACTTCCAAATCCAATAATAGTTGTGAAGACGGCGCATGTTTAGCAATGTCTTGGTACACTTTCTCCTGGAATTCTGGATGCTGTATTAGTGCATATATGGCCATCTTGCACCACGTCGCTGTTGTTTCGTGACCTGCAAAGATAAAGGTCTTGACTTCGTCATTAAGTTCCGTATTGTTCAGAGATAATTTCGAATCTCTCTTGGTGGCTTCCAATAGCAGTGTCAAAAGAGACTTGTCACCTTTTTTCTCCTTGTGTCCATTTTCACTGGATTTCTCTAGTTGATCTTTTGCATTACGAATAATCTTATCGACTTCTTGGTCCATTGCGCGACGACCCTGGCGCACACTTGGGTTGAAATATTTTCCGAGAGCTGGAGTGCCGAGCAGAATGGAGATAATTGTCACAAAGTTTGGTTTGAGTACAGTCGCCATTGCTTGGACGAAGCGATCCTTACTCTCTCCAAGATTGTTCTCGCCTTGCGGGTCTTCCGCCCACTCTTCGATGCTGTCCAATGCTCGAAATTCGTGGGAAAAGGCGACCCGACCAATGATATCCAAGGTGAGAGATGCAATGTGCGAAGCAATGTCAATCTCTCGCCCCTGTGGAGCCTTTTTCCATTGCTCAATAAACTCGGCTGTCATGCTGGGCACGTGTGTGCTCAAAGCATCCTTCAATGCTTGTGTGAAGAAGGCAGGTTGAATGATTTGTCGATGTCGCATCCATTGTTCGCCTTCGGCGGTGACCAGTCCCCATCCAAGTATATTACTGACATTTCCAACAATCTTGTGGTATTTGAGCGGCGTTTTCCCATAGGGAGCAATGAGAATTTCTCGAATAATATTACGATCGAGAATGATCAATGAATGCCGACCAAACATGATGGAGTAGTGTATCATTGGCTCATCCCAACTACCAATGGTGTTGATCCATCCAAAGTGTGGTTGCATAAAGGGTTCTTTTCGGATACGACCGAACTCTCCCAACCAAAAGCCCCGTCTTCCAGGACCGGGAATGCCTTGTTGCCAAAGTGGGGAGAACCACCACTTGACATATCGATACAACAAGTACACTGAAATTGAACCCCAAAACGCGAGGGTCGCTTGAAAGATTAATGAAAGAACCATTCCAGTGAGAGAAATATTGGAAGTAATGGTGAAATCTATGCAATCCCCAAGGAACAATAGTTTGCCCATGATGTGGTAGCATTCGACTCTCTCGACTCTCGACCCTTTTTTGTCTTGAATTTGCTACCGGCACCTGTATCCTGTTTACAGTATTGCTAGAGATTCATGATGATTCCTGTGTAAATATGTATCACTTTATATATTTCGATTACAGTTATGAAGGTAATGAAAGAGATGCCGAACCATGGCTGGCTTCTTGATGTAATGAAAGGAAACCGAGTCAGGTGCACAGCAGTCTTTCCCCAATCCGATACCCCACTCCTTATTGTAGTCTTCGTACCAATCATGGTTCGGTGGCTTGGGATGCTGCCATACATAGTGCAGCTGTGGCGCGAATGGATGAAAGCGTTCCCGCTTTTGTTCGTCCCTCGTGTCGAAAATGGAAATGTTGCAGGCCTTTTCCAAACACTGGGCAATCATGACATCTTCCATTGGTGTGTGTGTGTCTGGACGACATACTGGCTCCTCAAAATGTTCCATTATGCATTGGAGGGACGCCCGTGAAAGCGCATAACCAGCCCCTCCACTGTTAAAGTATGTCCCCGAACCACCTCCTTTGAAGCGTCTCCCCAGAAAGTAGCCTTTATTAGGATCATGTGTCCCCAAATAGTTCTTCAAGTTTTGTGGAATTACAAGCAAATCCTCTCCGCCAATGTAGAACCAATCAAAGTCAGCCTGATAATGTTTCCCCACAAATTTCCACATACTTCGACTCTTTTGCCACATGTTGTTATATTCTTCTCTCCCATCGTGCTCAATACTGATTGCCGGTATACGAGCATCTGTCTTGGTAGAAAAGGCGAGGAAACCATCACATCCCGAGGCCCAGGTTTCTCGCATGGCTCGAATGTTGGTGGCATGGTTCTCTTCCATAGTATAAACCATACACAGAACTTTATCATTTTTTCCTGGAGTTTTGGCGAAACGAGCTCCTTTGATTGGTACCAAGTCTATCAACTGTTTGTTTCCATCCGCCTTGCCTCCAAACGAGCCAATATCCTCACACAATTCATCGTCCAAGGAAGGTGGCCATGGATTACCATTGGAATCTTGACCATCCAAGAACATGCGATGTAACATGGTGACATCAGGGACCCAATCCTTGCCGGGATCGATGGAGGCATCGCCGGCCACTGCCATGTCCAATTTCGAATCTCGACATGTGTTGCAAGTGTGCTTTTCCTTCATGCACTCTCGCCAGGAACACTCCATCGACGACGATATTTCCGGTTGCCAACCATACCATGGATTTTCCACTGCATTATTACTGTTGTTCTTCTTGCTTATACTCTCCCTTCCAAGGCTTCGTTGCTCTATCGTTTGGTCTTGGTCCTGACTGTTATTGGTATTGGAACTGTCATGAGTTGTGGACACAATGGCATGAAAGTACAGTATCACGAACAACCACGTCGCAAGATACAGGGCTATAACACCTCCAACGATAGCTTGTATCTGCTTTCGGTTGACCATTTCTTTACAAGTGTTGATGAAGATAAGATAAGAGATTGACTTTTGAAGATGCATGTCGTCGTCCAAATTCACCGACTGATCGACTGGTTCGAGTCGAACCTACCACAGCTTGAAGCACAGTATTTCTGTTTGCTTATTTCGGCGTTGAGATTCTACCGTACCACTGTGAAATGTCAATACACCCTTTATATCAAAATTGAACCCAATATCTTCGATTATGACTACTTCTGCTATTTAGTCCAACAATGGATACAAATCGGGATAATCTGCATAGATATCCGTCTCGCTTAAAAAGTCGCTATCGTCTTCGGGGGTCCAAAGAATCTCAGCGGAAAGGAGACAGTCTTCGGTTTGTGCATCAGAAGCAATCTGACTCAGTGCCTTTCGTACATCCTGTCGACTACGCAATTGTTTTGGCGTACGAGTCGAGAGAGAATTGCCTTCAATACATAGACCGAGTGTGACTACGGCCATGGTGGCCATTGGCTTGAAAAAGTTATCACCATTCTTCTTGTTTTCTCCCTGCTGACGTTGAATAGTTTTGGATCCACCAACGTTGCTGACTGTAGTGGAACATAGGACACAACCGTATGGTTAGATGAAGCCTCTGCTTTCAAGAAAGAGGACACGATGTAGCAGCTTGTGTGCAATCATCTTCCTCGTATCCTTTGTCAATGTTGTTTTTATTCTTCTTACCTGATTCTCGATCCAGTTTGCTTCGGTTCATAATGGAGGCCTTTTGAAAGGCAACTTGCGCTTCTCGAACCGAGCCAAAGTGTCGAATCGATGTGCCAACAGACACAATGGAAGAATCCTTGCGCAAGAGTTCCAAAGCGACTTCTGACACTGTTTGCTGGAGCCCTTGGCGAGTTTCTGTATTGGCGGACATGGCCTTGGACTCTAAGTTTTTCAGCAGTGAAAATGATGAAGTCCGATCAGGAACTTGGAGTGCTACAGTCATAAAGGCTGCTGTGGCTCCAGGACCCAAGGGGCTTTGATCTATACTGCGGGAGTGGTGTTGTTGCTCGTAGTGTCTTCGGACCCCGGTGCTCACAGCCAATCCAACTCCGGTCCACAAGACAAGATCCCCCGCTCGCACTTTACGGGGATGAATCTCTCGCATATAAGGAGATTCAACAATGGTGGTGGTCGAATACCCCAGTGGCCTGTGATAGATGGGAGAAGAGGTTCGGTACCGAGGGTAGGTGTTGGGGTAATGGTAATGCTTCTTGGGAGGTAAGGGTCCCCGATGAGGACGAGAGGGCGCTGCAGGGCGGGACATGCTAGGCCGAGAGGGTCGGGAATAGGTGCCTCCAATGCGACCACCACTGGTCCCCGCCAGGGCTGGTGGAGAAAAGAGAGACGCCAGAAAAATAGTAGCCGCCATCAACCACTGTTTCGTACTTTTTGGTCGAACGATGTTTAACATTCTGAATAGAAAGGTCTTCAGTTTCAATAGGCGAGCTGAGAGAGTGCTTCTCGGCAACGTAGCCGTTGACCGTTTTGAGAAGAGGTTCATGGATGTTGATGAGGTTTCAATAGGAATGCCGCTTGTTGACTTGTATTCGATAGATTTTAGAAGAGAACGGTCCAGATCTGATCTTCCTCTTGCATTCGATACCTGATTCAAATTATTAAACGGCGGTTGAAAAGCATCGACTTCATGCAAAGATGCTGCTACAAATATACAGCAAACGAAAGCCATGCTTGAGTAATTTGTTCTTCGCCACACCATGATCAAAATTGTTTCTTTGGCTACGCAATTACAAATTCAACACCGATAGGTCTTCCTCTTGTTTCACTTGTGCTTTCAGTGCTTGTCTTGTGGTGATGTGGATTGAAACGGCGATGGTTTATCCTCTTGTAACCTCTGCTGTACAGTACTATCGTACCGGGAATGTTGACACAAATGAAAATTGAACTGTGGCATTTCCGAGTGACGTCATCAGGAAGCGAGCAGTCTAGTCAGTCAACCAAGACCCAGACGACTAAATATAATGTGGTCACAGATCCAAAAGATCGAAGAAAACGAATCCATTCATTCATTCTTGCCACTGCGATCCTCGAAAATGACGTCGTTTGGAACGAATTGGCTCTTGCTAGCTCTTGCTCTCCTTCTCCTGAAATTATCGGATTGTGCCACTGCTGATGAGGTCAGCTCTGAGAAGCCAAAGGTAGTAGTACGCTTTTATGGCGAAGCCCAATGTCCATTCTGCCGTAAATTTGTGACTGAAGTTTGGCAACCCATTTGGGAGGATCTCGAGCTACGCAACTATATAGACTATGACTTTGTTCCATGGGGAAACGCCTACTTTGCCACCAAGCAGTGTGGCAGTGGACCCTACAATTCGGTAGAACGTGCGTGCTGGTACAAGAACTGTATCAACGAACAATCGGATGGCAAGAAGGATTGCTTTGATAGCGAAGCGGTCGTCTATCAGCACGGTCAGAAGGAGGGCGACGTGGATGTTTACGAATCGTGTATCAAGACTCTGTTTGGACTGGATTATGCAGTTGAGTTTACCTATTGTGCTGAAGGGCCAAAGATGGATAACAAGTCTCAGGACTCCAAGGCATTGATGAAGGAATGTGCTGGCTTGGTAATCCCCAAGGTAGACTTTCCCGCAATCGACGAATGTTTTGACCTACAGGGAAGAAAATTGGAGATTCACAATGCTCGAAATACTCCCGAGCATCCTGGAGTTCCATACGTTTTGATTGAAGGAGCTCCAATTGACGACATTGCGCACACCAAGGAAACAATCTGCAAGCGTCTCGAAGAGAAGGCACTTGACCCGCTTCCAAAAGCGTGTCGGTCTGAGCGCCAGAGTTTTCTTCGCCATTTTTTTTCAAAGATTAGAGGAACCTAATAAGCGACGGAGGGGCAAAGTGTAATAGAGCTATTGCGTGTATTGTTTATACTGCAGATTTCTGGACTACTCAGTGACTATCCTAAAAGGTTTTCTTCTTCCCACCCTTGTTCAGAAACATTTCAAAGTCGTAATCTTCCTCCTCGCTATCTCCCTCCTCCTCATGGTTTTGCCCACCGTCATGAATAGACTCGCTATCAATCTCATCTGCTTCCAACATAATTTGCTTCTCTTCGTTCCGTTTCTCCGTCAGGAATGATTGTGGCACAAACGACTCGGTCTTGAAGTAGTCTATTGAATTGCAAAGTTGTTGTATGTTTCCTTGAATGCAGAGTTGTTGCATTTGCTGCAACATCGACATCATGGTGGAATACTTGTTGTAGAATTCTTCTTTTCGACTAAGGTACCAAGAAACAAAAGTACCTCCTCTCCGGCTTTCGCTCTCGCAGGCATCGATAGCTTGTTGCAGCATATTTCCACCAATGTCAACACGGGCACAGATGAGGATTAATTGATCCAGAGTATGATGTACCAAGTTCTGGTTTGCTTCGTGTCTGTCCAATTTTAAATGGCGAGCACCGACACCACGAGAGAAAAGTATCTGTTCCTGAAAGAACTGCTGGTTATAGGTTTGTGATGAACTTTTGTATGACATCTCAGGAAAATTAATTTGGCACCATTGTCGCCTTGATTCAGCAATCTCTGGACAGAAAGTGAGGCCGCAATAAACACACTCAGCGTCATCGAAGAAGAAGGGCGATCTTGAATGAAGGGACGATTGCCACTTCAGCTGTTGATCTCGAACAAACCCCATATCAGCCCATCGATTCGGAATAGATGCAAGGGGGTGCCTTGTCCCTGTAGTCGCAGCACCACTGGGTTCTGGAATGATTTCTGACTTGGCCGAAGTTTCCTTTTTTCGAGCCAAAAAAAGCCGTATTTGTTGCTGAATCACCATGGCCATCTTCCACTTTCGAAAATAATCGATACACTTATTGGCGTAGTTTGCGTCCGCCGTTTTGTAGTGTCGGTTGCAAAGCAGTCTTTGTATTTTCCTGGCAGCTTCTTGCCGTTCACCATAACTACTCGCAATCAAAACCTCGTCAGTTTCACCAGTATGGTGATTCCGATAATTCTTAGACAAGAGGTCTTTAGTGGGAAATGGGTCATTAGACAGAAGGGCCAATAACATATCGCCTGTTGCTTCTGCACTAGCTCTTTCAATTACTGTAGCTTCGAAAGCCCCAATGGTATTTGCAATCAGAGTGAATGCACTGGTTTCGTTTCTTATCATCGCACAGGAACCATTGGTTGCGTCGCGCTCTATTCCAAAAAGTACAAGCCTATCTCGTGTCGACGCTTCAAACACCCTATGAACTAACTTGAATAGCTCAAGTGCTGTGGAAGATTCATGCAAAACTTGTTTGGCGTCTGAAATATCCCATTGATTTGGAGTCTTCTGTAACACACTCAAGACTTCTCGAAGTTTCAAAGCGAGCCGAAGTATGTTAGCACTCGTTGGAATCCGAGGCAGCGTGTTCAGATCGTTTTCAATATCGCTCCTTCCCATTGACTTTCCACCATGGGCCAACATAATCGCATTGTAGAGGATGCAAAAGCCAAGGGTAATACATCGCACTAAGCACTCAATGTCTTCCTTCTCTGATGACAGCAAATCACGAATAGTGTCGGCAAGAATTTCGAAGTGCAGCAGAAAACGATTGAAAAATGTGAATGTCACGTCTTTTTTCTCAATGCTATGAATGGTATCCAATAGGCGGATTCCAAATCCTCGTCCAAATGCATTGCCAGTGCCACTGTCGCCCACCAAGTACATCTCAATGTATCGTTTTTCCGGTAGCGCAAGCCAAATTTTTTTGGAGCCAGATTCACTGTATCGGTAAGAAATCATTGCAAGGAGCGCCACACAATTGGTCTCAAGCAAACTGATCTGATACTGCATCGGCAATGTTTTCAAAGTTTTCCTTTCTGAGGTTTCTTTTATTAGCCTTTCAACCAACGTGATGGAGTTGAAAAGGTTCGTCTTTGCAGATTCCAGCGCCCACTTCCACATTCGAAAGATTGTCTTCACAGCAGTGACCTTCTTTGCCTTTATTTTTGTCTTCGATTTGATAAAATGGTGCATATTGTTTTTTTCATAATCTCGTTGCGCATCTTGCAAATGCTCTGCGCTATTCAGCTTCTTGCCGAAAAGTTCAACAGATCGATCACTTGCCTGTAGACAGATATCAAGAGCTCTCCATAGTTTCAGCACCTCCTCGAATGAAGTTTTTCTCTGCTTTTGTGGCAGGTCATACCAAAAAGAAAGTGCAAAGTTCCGGAGACAATCTAAGATTGGTTTGCCTTTGATAGTAATGCAGCCTTCTCGGCCAACCTTGCTAGCGTCCTCGGAATAATGAACAGGTGTACCAACATAAGAATTAATGAAATTCCAGAAATCGGATAGTGCTGAGTTTCGGCCTGCTTCAATTTCATATAATTTCGACCCCCAAAGAGAACTCTTCTGTTTTTCGAGTGCAAGTCCAAGATTGGCAATTGTCTTCATTTCTTCGAAGCAATATAGGCGAAATTGTAGGAGGTCTGAGGGCTCAGCGATAGAAATTGCCCCAGATATTCTTTGAACAATGGTAGGCTTGATTTGTTCTTGAACACGATTCAATACGTCAATTGAGAGGTGGCAGCAGTAGAGTGCAAGCATATGATTGATTTGTTTCGCATTGACTGGCACCATTAATGCTTTTGATGCGAGTGCTGACGGCGAAAGCTTGATACCGGTCTTTTTCATTGCAGTCCTTAAACGCCAGTTTGTAACGACTGCCGTCAACACCAAATCAGGATCAAGAGGACTGACCTCCAATCGAAAGAATGAATGAATTGCCGCAACTGCCGATCCATCAGTCGACGTTCCATCTCTCAAATGAGAGATTATATCCTGGATTTCCTTGCCCATTTTCAACAGTGAATCAATCGTCAGATATGAATCCAATTTCCTCACAATTGGGGATTCGGCTGCAACTTCTAGCAATGAAAACCAGATATCAAGTTTCCACAAAATGAATGCCCCGTCTGCAGCTTTAACCAATGTTTCCCAGTCGTTTACTTTATTGGTATGTCTTGCTTGTGCAAGAAGCAAGCCCAGCTTTGTCTCAGCCAACAGACCACTCCCAGTCCCTTCATACTCCTTTACAATCGCACTGAGCTGTTGGGAAACCAAATCAACATCTTTGTCTCCACTGCTTGGACAGCCCTGAATAAGCTCTATATGCAAGATCTTGAATGAAATAGCCATATTCTTTGAACCGACATCGCGTTTGCTTCCAATGCAATCGGCTGCTCGAAGTAGCTGCCCTCTCTGCGATAGCAGTTTAGCTGCACCATCAAAGTCATCATCGCCGAGCAATTCATTTAAAAGAAGATCAGTCACATCCACGAGCTTATCTTGCTTTTCGAAAGTTCCCGGGCCAGCATCCGTACAGAAAGCAGGGTGCTCTGAACTCCACTTGCATTTGAGCAGAAATGATTCTGCATTTGTTTCAAGACTCGATAGTAGCTGAATTCGTTCCTTTCGCGTTGATATGACAGACAGTGCCCTTGAAAGCCCGTCTCTATTGTTCTGTATATGACACTGACGGCACGCAATACGAGCTGTTTTTGTCATCGATTCTTGGAGCCGTCTTGAAGCCCCGGAGTTTTTACCAATATCGGAAATCCAGTACGAAATAGGACTGGGGTATTCTGTTTCTGTGCCCGACCAAACAGATGCAAGATCCAATATCACGTTGCTTGAAAGCCGAGAATTGCTGTCCAGAAGGGATAAGGCACGTTCCAGGTCATTTTCTTCCCACGACGAAACGCAACACCGAAAACAATCCACCATCAACTGGCTGCGCTCATCAACTGACCGGTCTTTGCCGGAGATACAACTAAAGTACAATTGAGATGCATATGAAAAGTTGCGTCTTTCGTCTGCAGATGGTCTCTTGTTCGGCGTATGGTCGGATAACACCCGGGTCGCATAGCGAATAGACGAATGAGTATCCAGCATTTTCGCCACCCGACCAAACTCAGAACTTCCTGTTCGCACCAGGCACAAACCTGCTTTCACAAGAAACTCCGTGTCGCCGGTCTCAAGGAGATTGAGAGCAATCCTATATCGCTCCAGTCTCTTCTCCGTTCCACGTTTCTTTTTCTTTGGACCCTCGGTCTCTTGTCTTTCGATGCGTAGGAATGCAGCATAAGCTAGCGCTCGTTCCATCTTCGTAGTTTCGCCAGCTTTTTCAAAGCACCGCGCGGCAAGCCGGAGTGCAGCAATGTTCTCATTGTGCCCACCAGCACTATTGAGGTAATACTGACCGCGTGCTTTCCATTCATCAACGGTGTCGATCTGCCCAAAGACTGGTAGAGAAGACAATCCTTGACCATCATCGTTGTAAACAAATTCGACAAGCTTGCGCCGACGGAAGTAGTTGAACATGGGCTGGCAAAGCGAAGAATCCATCTCAGCAATAAACACGTTGACTCTTGCTCGAGTTATGGCTGTATACAAAATTTTGAGTTCAGTTTCGAGCGTCTTGTGTTGCTCTGAATCGAAAGCAAGAGGTCTAGTTTGTTGGGTTGCGCTGATATCTTCCCATTGAAACGTTTGAGACCCTGATTCACATTCGTCGTAGTAACTTTTTGCCTGCTCCAACCCATAGTTGGATATCACCCTCCACGAGTCACCTGCTGGGGCTAGGAATACAGTGATCAGATAGTTGAATAAATTCAATTGTGCGACTAAACAAATTGAAGAGATAGTACTTACAATCTTGGAAGAAATTCAAGACAAGAACGTCATCAAACTCCAATCCTTTTGATTCTTGCACCTTCCAGGAAACACAGATTGCAAACATGAGCCAAGAATCATTCGATCACCTGCCTGTCTTCATTCTCGCATCTTACCGTCATCACCCAGTCTTTATCAACACCAAACTCCTCAGGTAGATGCTGTTTCGCTTCTTCGTTCCGCACAAGAACCACTTGATGGGCTCCAAACTCAATTCTTGATGTCTCCCGTTTGGATCCATCCAACATAAGGACCAAATCCTCGACTGACGACACAACCATCGCTACAGGTTTCGGCCCTGGGAATAGACCAAAATCAGGCGGCAACCTATCTAAGCTCTCTTGGAAGAAGTGATACAGCAGCTCGACCACAGCTGCCGCAAGATGGAGAATTCCAGAGTGACTACGATAGTTGTGGGTCAACTTTTGCAAGCGAGGTTCATCGCCGCCGAATTGACCGTAAAACAGTTGTCGCACATCCGCGAACCGAAACCAAACGCCGGCAGTAATACTCTGAGCAGTATCTCCGGCCAGCATGAGACTGTTCGAGTCATTGCACAATCTTGCCAAAAGCAACAGCTCACTTTGTGTAAAGTCTTGCACTTCGTCGACATAAACTGCATCGACAGGGATGGGGCAAGTCGGAAGCTGTTTAAGCTCTTGTCGAGGTGGAATCCGATGTGCAAGATGGTATACTATATCCATTTCATCGTAGTACTTGCCCTTTTTCATTTTTTCATACCTCTCGTATAGGTCAAAAACCTCTTGCCTTGAGGGCTGATCGAGTCTTGATTGCTTTCGTGGTAGAGAAAGATACTCATCTCGACTCAAGAAGCGAATATGTGAAGACGAAAAAGCATCTTCGAGATGTAATGCCGCCACAGATCCTTTGATATGACTCTTTATCTCGAGCCATACCTGATCGGGAGCCATCTTCGACTTAGTTTTGGAATTGATTTTGGACCAAAGGGTGCAAAATCTGCTGAAGGTCATTTCTTTTCTAGCACCAGACTTGGAATCCCTTTCACCAGAAGTGTCTCTGTTTGTATTATCGAAAAACTCCTCTAGCCCACGTTGGGCCGTGTCATCTTTCAGCCTAGCGCTGATACGGGTCTCTAATTCCTTAGACGAGAAAAAGCGTTCCCCGGACAATTCTCCGTCCAAAATATCCAGCCATTCTGATGATGTCAAAAACAGAGGAAAGGTAATGCTATTACTATTCTCGTCATCTGGAAACCGCATTGGAGCTGCTTGGTGTGTACTCCTGTGTCGTTTTCTCCAAGCTAGACCCATACACTTAAATGATCTTTCCACTTCCCGGCGAAGCACATCATTCTTGGTCAAAAATAGCTGCCGAGGAGGCATATCGTCATCATTGCTTCCAGCCAACGATATACCCTCTGCCCACATTCGAAAGACAAGACATGTGGTCTTCCCTTTTGAGCAAAGTAACAGCAAACACTATGAGCGACCCCTTCCACATCAACACGCTCGTCAAAATACAACGAACGTCTCGTACCTGTCCCACTTCTTCCTTGCAACAACAGACTGCGTTTTGGGTTTGGATTAAAATGAATTATTTCGTGCTCTTGTGGCCCAGGAGTAAATGGTAAATCGGCATTATCCACATCTCCGTCCAACAGCAGCCCAACAGCCTCGGCATTCATTTCATAAAACTTCAAAAGATTGTATTGCTTCTCATCATCATTTGCTGGAGCATAGTATACTGCCTTCGTTGGTACGTCAAGACCTTTCACCCCTTGTTTCATCTGAAAAACCTTAGGGATACGCTGCGTAATACACTGACTCCCTTTCTCCCCGTTGTTTTCAACACTGCCTCCATACCCGTCCAATTCCGTGAACACTTGGCACTTTTCTCCACGAATGTGAGACTTCTCGATCCGATCGACTGCTCGTTCTACTGCTTGATCAATAGCCGTAGTGAGAGCGTCGTGATTGACAACAATATCCCATACACGAATTACCTGTTCGCCAAAGTACTCCCCTTCACGCGACCTTCGTGGAGAAAAAGATACAGCTACCTCCCAAAGAATACGGCTCCCTGAGTCAATCTTAGACTCGTAGAGATTTATCGAAACACTTTTGCTAGTACGAACAGGCTTGCATAACACGTATGGCCACCTTCCAGTCGAGAGAAGCTGCATCCTGCGAACTACACGCTCGCAAAGGCCATATTGCTTCTTGGATCGCTTGCGGAACCACTTGTGTGCTTGTTCCGTAATTTCCACGACCCATTCGGATGTCGTGCTCCAATTGGACAAATCAAGCGACATTTCCACACGGTTGACGATTTCTTCAGCTTCTTTTTGGTCGAGGGTGGCACATCTGGCCATAGCGGCAGCTATTTCTGTCGGTGATAGAGCTGGCGGCGGTACACTACTGACGCTGTGGGCTTGATCTTCAGCTTCAACAAGTGTTCCTGTATCATCAATTTCTTGTTGATCGGGTTGAATTCGAGTGCCATTAGTGACAGTACTTTTCAAATTCCTTAGCCGCTCTGCATGCGACTTGATAGAGTCATCGATAAGTAGTTGAAAGTGTTTGATACTTTCTTGTGCGCTTTGTGTATCATTTTCGCGTACAGCGCTTGCAGCTGGAGCCAGTTCGGTAGGTGTATTTTCGTCCGAAATCGCCGGATCGATGGTCTCTGCTTTCTGTTTCTCTGCTTTTAGTTGCCTCTTCAAGTGCTGCATTCCTTTCTTCAATGCATGCATAACTCGTCGGGCCGCGTCTTTACTAAGCTTGTTGGACATGCATTCCGTGACGATTTTTTTGTCATCCGTCGATTCCAACCGTACCTTCCATATTGCCTTCGCAAAAGAATTGCCGAGTTCGCTTCCTCCCCTTCTTGTTGGTAATGTGCCAAGGATTTGGCAAAGCAAGTTCGTCTCAATAAATGGGACTGCTTTGTGGTTACTCATCAAATCAATGATATCTGTCAAACGGTCTTTTTGCAAGAGATCCCGTAACACACTATTCGCCTCTTCTCGGAACCAATCAGTCGCTTCATCACAATTCAACAAGGCAAAAACGTCCTTTGTGCGACAGTTGTCCACGCATTTGAGTAATAGATCTCCAGCGGTTGCTTGGATCCATTCAGCTACTCTTGAGGCCTCGATGTCTGATGAAGATAGCAGCCGACAAAAGATACTACTTGTTGTAGTCTCGGAAATTCGAAGCCAGTAGAGATCCCCGGAGTCATGTGGTGTCGTTTGAAAGAGAAAGTTTGAAATAGTTGCAATACTGGGCTCCTCTTCAAAACCGACGAGGTCACCCAGCTCGCACTTGTTCAATTCATATGGGCTTCGTGACAACTCTTCATCTAGCCATTCACACAATCTCTGTAGGGTGGATGTAAGATCCATTGGAGTTTCATCATGCTGAATAATTGACTTTGAAAAGTCCAACTCATTACAACCATGTTCTGCTGAATAGCCGTTATCAATTGCCCTATCATTCGAACTCAAACGTACATGGTTGTCATAATGATTACTCGGATGAAGTTCATCAGTTTGCGTCTTCGGTTCTTTAGCTTCCTCGGCGCTAATAGCAGAAGAGTTTCCAATCAGCGCAGCGCTAGGGTGTGGGTCCACCTTGACTGGAATCACATCATCCGTTTTCAAATCGAGTGTAGGTTGTTCTAAAGCTGCTTCACTTTCGACCTCAACGGAAAGCTGTTCGATTGAAGGCTGCACATCAGTGTCAGTGGCGCTCAGGGACTCTGCCATGGTCTTCTTTTTCTTCCGCTTTTTCTTCCTTTTCCTTTTTTTCTTTGCTGAACCAGACGACTCCTCAACTGATCCCTTGATCGTTTCTCCTGTCAATTCGTTTAAATCTGTTGTCAGCGAAGTGTCACAACCTGTTTCTCGACCAGCAATTTTTTCTTTGTTTGTATTAAACTTCTGCTCACTTCCCCGTTTTAGGAAGTAATCTACAGGTGCTAATTCGAACGGGATACTGAAATGGCCCTCTCCGCAGAGATGTGCCGTCCACAATGAAGCAATATTTTTCGATTGGTCTGAAGGATCAAAATGTTCTCGAGAGGGAAGTTTTGTAGAAGCTAGCTCTGGTGGGCAGAGCTCAAATAGGTGCAGCTCTCCACAACCAATATCAAATGGCCGAACAGCGAACTGCTTCGATACGTCATCAAAATAGAGGCAGAGATCGCGATCGGTGTTCGAAGTTGGTCTATTCGATGACAGACCGAGATTCGTTAGGCCTTCCATCCGTCTCCATCCAATGAGACGACTGCCTCTGGTGTTGTAAACAAAACCTTTTACGAGGCAGTATACGCCTTCCAGCGTCTGCAGCCAGCCTTCTGGAGCGGAGCCTTCATTTTGGTTTTCAATGAATTCATCCGATCGCCGAAGCGCAAGAGCAGGTGACGAGAGAAGTGCGTACTCACTTAACGTGTCAGTAGGGAATGTCTTCGGTTCGAGGAAAAGCTTCAAAGGTGTCAACGCGATTTGCTTTCGTCCCAGGATCCTGGAGGTCTCATCATCAATGAGTTTCCACTCATCATACATATCTTCCATTGATGCATGATATTGCGTCGTGCTATTCTTCTCGGTAGAAAATGATTTGGAAAGCATAGGGACAGGTTTTGGTGGCTTCCGTTTGGTGCGAACAAGAGTGCCCTCATATCCATTCTCAGAACGGACAAGAAGAGAGAAGTCTTGGTTCATAACCAGACACTGTTGGTAAGGACTTCGCACTACGTCGTGATCTTCGAAGTACTCTGCTTCGTTCAGCCAATCTCCTTGGTTGCGACGATAGTCTTTCTCATTCCTTGAAAAACCTCGATACTCGACAAACATTAAGTGTGTCATGTGCTTGTTTCTAATATACGCTGGAAACGGCGACTCGTACTCCTCGCCTGGTTGAGGAGGTTCCGGAAGATAAACTCCAACAAAGTCGGCCAGCTGCTCGTAGGAGCTGACATCTGCATGCGATGGATGACTATGAAGAACCATGGGCTGAAGGTACCATGGCATGCTCTTCTCCCACAGACTGAAAAGTCTCTGCTCCAAGCCGATATTGACAAAGCCAGTTTGCCCAGATCGTCGTTGTCCCATATTGTGGTTACCACCACCAGAAACATCTCGTCGCGAAGTCATGCAAACGAAATCAAAGACGAAGTCCAACTGGTAGCAAAGTAAATCTAAAAATTGATCAAACGTAAAGTCACAACAACCTTACTGTACGTTGGCACAATGATTCCTTCTCGAAATCATGAGAGGTTTTGAATCGACCATGCTGGTACCAACGAAAGTGCAAGTACTGCAGGTAAAAACACATTTCGCTACCGTAGAAACACTCGTTGCTGCCATGAGTACCATGTTAAAAATTTCACAAACCAATCACTGCCTTATTAATTGGCTTCGTTCGGTTCTTCAAAAACATCCATGGACGACTAATACGAATCGAATCAAGCACCTGAACAATAACAGTATCCGCGAAGAATCGTCCTCCTACTCGCTTTGAACCTCTTCTTTCTCATTTCAGTGTCAGATACCGCTATTAAGTTCCACTGAGGGAAAGCACTAAAATGTGGTAGTGCGATTTTATGGCGAGATGTACGACTGTTTTACAAACCAATTTAGAACGACCTCGAGCTGCTCCTCGACGGCCGACTAGTATATGTGATCTATTCGATGTTTCGATGGATTTAGTTTAAATATGTGTGTAAAGCTTTCGTTGCGAAAAGCAGATTGTCGTTGTGAAAAACAGATTGTCGTTGTTGTTTTTCAAAAGGTTGTTGTTTGTTTGAAAATATTCAAACGGCCACGGCCAACGATCAACATTTGCAATCGACTCGAAAGCTCACCTTACTCGGATTAAAGATCGATCCAAGCGATTCAATGATATGACTCTCGAAGGTGATAAATCTCTCAGTATATGGATTGTGGCTTCATCCCCTGGAGGGATGCATGCTTTGCCACCTAATAACAAAGAACATTGGAGGGGACTACTGGAATGAAGGGTGTATTACAATCCAATCCGACGACAGCGAGGACTGCCTGCTGCTACCACACCACAGCCACAGTTATTGGCCAGCACGGTCAGAAAGAGCTTCATGTTGACCTCTATGCATATTGTGTAAAACTTGCGCCCGGATTAGATTGTGCTGTTCAATGGACCCGCAATGTCTGTCAAACGGCCACTAATGGAAGATGAATTGTAGGATGCCCGAAAGTGGGTTGATCAGCACCAAGTTGAACGCAGATCCCAAATCCCATTTGGCAATATCAGCGAGTGATTTGACCATCTTGGGTCTTGGGGTAGAATAGGAAAGCCACAATGCGAAACAAAAACCTGATTGCCTAAGGATTCCATACATTCTAATTTATGGCTCCTCGATTGATGATGTGTGGTCCTCGCGAAACAACAAACCAAATCCTGTGACACATAGAAGCAAAAGAGCTATTAGCTGAAGGCATGCAAAGCAATTGAGAAACCTTCGGTGGTAGTTCTAATCGACAGAATAATGGAATATTTGATGATACAAAGTTAAGAGGAAACACAACCACCACCACTCAAACAGAAATTTTTGAAAAAAAATTGCAGCCTGATAAAGAAAAAATATTTGATCATTTTCGAAGCTTGCCAACATTGATAGGCGCGTGTCTCGGCTCTCGCCTTGAATCAAACGTCCCAGTATCTAGTTCTATACCTCTCCTGTAACGAATCGAAAAAGGGTGAGCCAAACGACCTTCAAAAAGTTGTGGTTCTGTATTCTTTGACGCGCACCTACATGAAACGGATTGGTCGCCTGTTGCGAAAAGTATTAATGCGTGCGCGATGACAAAGAAAGCATTTTAACGCGAAATGTAATTCCACGAAGTGATCAGTAAGCGCTAAAGCATTCTTGAAGACACAGATTTGCGCTGTTCCATTTGATTTGGTCAAACTGCGTTCGATTCTATTGATTCACGTACATAAGGCAGTTGGAACTAAGTTTTGCATTCGAAAGGTGGCGTTTTGGAATGATCATATTATTTCGCTAGTCTGCAGAACTGAGCAAAAATACGAGATGAAATTGAACGCTAACCTACTGAGCTTGGCCGCTTTGGCGGCTTTCCCCAGCATGGCCAATGCGGCTCCTACTCCAGATTGTGCTACCCAAAGCGGTTGTATTCAATTCACGGTTAACAAATTGGACTCTGATTCCTGCGGTGTAGGAGACTGTGCTGTTGAAGTCTGTATGGAAGTCAACAGTAGTCTTCCTGGTTGTGTCAAATCTGATACTTTCAGCCACATGTGCATGCAGAGTGATACCTCTGGTTGCCCAGCATGGCAGGATGAAGCTAAGACCATTCCTCTTTTGGGAGCTGGCGGCGGGACTTGCGAGAGTGGAAAAACCTACGGTGAAGGCTCTGGTTCTGGAACTGCAATTTTTGCTGGAAAGTGTGAAGGCAAAGACGATATCACGATGTGTCAAGAGGGAGCCCCTGGTCAGACTCTTTACTGGATTCTTAAAGACGGAAATGTAAAAAACAACCCCGCGGAAGATAAGACCTTCACCTTGCCCTTCACTGTTAATAAAGCAGACGCGGGATGTACTGGTGATGTTCGATGCTGGAACAACGAGTACAATTGTGGCGCTTCGTTTAACAAGGCCCAAGCTCCGAAGGAGCGTACTTGGGCTTTTACCATTCCATCTTCTGATGGAGGCTCTTGTGATGCCTGTGGATCAAGCCCACCTACTACACCCAACCCACCTCCTCCACCCACCGCACCCACGCCCAACCCACCACCACCACCTCCCACCGCACCCCCACCAACTACACCTATTGAACCTGCCCCAACTCCACGTGTTGGACCTACACCAGCCGCACCCACACCAACTGCGGATAATACTACACCTACACCAGGAAGCAATGGAGATCCTCACTGTAAGTTTATCAGGCCCCGTTATAAAACCACTTGTACATAGGATTGTTTGATCTAAATTCCTCTTTTGTCACTCATACACCTACAGTCAAGACATGGAAGAACGAGCATTTCGAGTACCACGGGCAATGCGATTTGGTCCTTACCAAGGACGCAAACTTTGCCGATGGCCTTGGTCTCGACATTCAACTCCGTACCAAGTTGGTTCGCTACTGGAGTTACATTCGTAACGCTGCCATCCGCATTGGCCACGATATCATCGAGTTGGAAGGATCTGACGATCCACAAGAGCAACACGTTCGATACTGGTACAATATGCAATTTAGATCCGATGAAGCGAAGACTTTGGGTGGATTCCCCATGATCATTCGTCGAGCCCACTCCAAGCTAACCAAGATTGTAATCGACTTGGACAGCAAGTATCCTGGTGTCAAGCTTGTTATGTCCACCTACAAGGAATTTGTCAAGGTGGAGGTGGAAGGAGCGACCGAAGAAGCCTTTGGCAAATCTGTTGGATTGTTGGGTGACTTTAAGACTGGAAAGACCCTTGCCCGTGATGGCGAGACTTACGTACATGACTTCCGTGACTACGGAAACGAATGGCAAGTCACCCCGATGGAGGACATGCTCTTCCATTCTACGGAAGAACCTCAATTCCCCAAGAAGTGTCTGGAACCCGAGGATCCTCGTGGAGACCGTCGTCGCCGTTTGGACGAGTCCAATATCACTATGGAGCAAGCCGAGAAGGCCTGCTCCAGACTGAAGGATCCTTTGGACCAAAAGGATTGCGTCTATGATATCTTGGCCACCCAAGATATGGGAATGGCTGGTGCCTTTTAGACTCAGTTAAAGCCCCAAGATTTTGTGTGAAAGGACCGCGATAGTTCGCGTGTGTAAACAAGATGATAAGATTGTTTTAAATAAAGTATTGAATTACAGACAATCAGCTCAGAACGCTAGGTCCTATAAAATCGGCTATCTGCAAGTGTATCTGCCATCAGTCATTTCTCATGACAGAGATAAATCAACCTTTTTCTTTTTTGGTCCACACACAGTGTCTCTGACGAGTGCCTTCACCCGTCGAACTTGTCCGAACTTATATTAAGTGTTCGAACCAGTCTATGCATTGGCGTCGGTAACTGGTACCATTCACGGTTCTTCCTTCTTTGGTTTCAGGCATCCAATCACAACCTTCAGATCCTTGCTTGATTTCGAATTTTTGCGCCGTATGCTGAATGAATATTGATATCACACCATGAATAAGCACAGAACGACATGAGCTGAACTCATATCACAGACAGAAAGCGCCCAATGAATGAGAGACACAGAACTGCGCATTTTCAACTCCATTCCAGATTCACATGACTCAAAAATTCGATGCTTGACACCTGGTTCTCCATGATGATATCGATTCAAAAGGGAGATATTCGTAGAATTTTTGAGAATTTGACGCTTATCCCATCGGTACGAGTATCAGTACCAGGTGATTTTAGGAATTGGATCAAACAACTCTTTTCCACACACATGGAGTTGAGAGATCTTGAGTCTTGCGTGTAAACTGCACACACAGAGATCTCGACTTCACGTGAAGGACTGCATGCAAAGGACTTCACGTAACGCAGTTATGCCGAATCCCGTATAATAACGCGTATTTAGTGTTTCTAGTGAATTTTTAACTACAGGTGCGGGAAGAAGAGGCAGGGTTTAGCGACTGTGATTGAAACGATGTTGATCATCATTGACTCTGCATGGAATCAAGTTTTGGAAAGTCTGCTTGGAGCTTCACGTTCACTACAAACTCACACCGATTCGACAACAGTTTGAAACGCAAATCATCACAAACACCAACTATCACCAAAATGAAATTGAACGCCAACCTATTGAGCTTGGCTGCTTTGGCAGCATTGCCAAGCATGACCTATGCAGCTCCTGTTAGTACTTGCGACGCACAGAGCAGTTGCCTCAAGTTCAGTGTTACAAAATTGAACGAGGATGCCTGTGGCGTAGGCGGAGACTGTGCTGTTGAAGTATGTATGCAAGCCAAGGGCGGATATTGTGACAAAGGCGGTTCCGAGGGTTTCAGCCACATGTGTATGCAGAGTAACGGCGCTGGTTGCGCTGTATGGGCCGATTCTCCTGCTAATACAATTCCTATTTTGGGAGATTACGGCGACGCCGGAACTTGTAGTAATGGAGAAATCTCTGGACAAGGCTCTGGAGTTCCTACATTCGGGGGTAAGTGTGAAGACAAGAACGATGTAACAATGTGTCAAGAGGGAAAGCCAGGCCAGACTCTTTACTGGATTCTCAAAGACGGGGAAGATAGTACGCAAGAAGACAGGTCATACATCAAGCCATACTTCGATGCTGCTGGAGCAGACACGGGGTGTACTGGTCAAGTCCGATGCTTCAACTACGAGTACAAGTGTGGAACGACTGGAAATGACGTTCAAAAGGAGAAGGAGCGTACTTGGGCTTTTACCATTCCTGATGGAACTGGTGGCTCTTGTGATACCTGCGGAGGAACCCCAACTCCACCTTTGTCAACGCCACCACCAGATCCCACACCACCGCCACAATCTGACATTCAACCAACACCTGGAAGCAATGGAGATCCTCACTGTAAGTTTATCAGGCACCGTTATCAAACCACTTGTAAAACATCTTGCCTGAGCTAACCCTTTCTTTGTCATCTCAAACACCTGCAGTCAAGACATGGAAGAACGAGCACTTCGAGTACCACGGACAATGCGATTTGGTCCTTACCAAGGACGCAAACTTTGCTGATGGCCTTGGTCTCGACATTCAACTCCGTACCAAGTTGGTTCGCTACTGGAGCTACATTCGTAACGCTGCCATCCGCATTGGCCACGATATCATCGAGTTGGAAGGATCTGACGACCCGCAAGATCAACGCGTTCGATACTGGTACAATATGCAATTTAGATCCGATGAAGCGAAGACTTTGGGTGGATTCCCCATGACCATTCGTCGAGGTTACTCCAAGGGAACCAAGATTGTAATCGACTTGGACAGCAAGTATCCTGGTGTCAAGCTTGTTATGTCCACCTACAAGGAATTTGTCAAGGTGGAGGTGGAAGGAGCGACCGAAGAAGCCTTTGGCAAATCTGTTGGATTGTTGGGTGACTTTAAGACTGGAAAGACCCTTGCCCGTGATGGCGAGACTTACGTACATGACTTCCGTGACTACGGAAACGAATGGCAAGTCACCCCGATGGAGGACATGCTCTTCCATTCTACGGAAGAACCTCAATTCCCCAAGAAGTGTCTGGAACCCGAGGATCCTCGTGGAGACCGTCGTCGCCGTTTGGACGAGTCCAATATCACTATGGAGCAAGCCGAGAAGGCCTGCTCCAGACTGAAGGACCCTTTGGACCAAAAGGATTGCGTCTATGATATCTTAGCCACCCAAGATATGGGAATGGCTGGTGCCTTTTAGACTCACTCAATCAGTCACTCACTCGTAGAAAGGTTGCTGTGAAAAATGACCCCACCAGATTGTATAATAACACTAGCTGCAGAAATACATACGTCAACTTTTAGAAACTTTGACCTATATCAGCATGTACAGTAGGGAATTTTCAGTTCAGAGTCAGTCCTGTAACGATTGAAAAAGCAATGTCTTGAGTCCATCTTTCGATTATTCCATTTCTCCAAATGTCACAATTTGACTGTCTTGAGAAGAAGTCGAAAAACCGGTCACTGAGACTTTGGCTCAAAGCAAAATGACCACGAACACTGTCGCATATAAATGAAGACGAGAAACTTTGTAAATCACTGAAGTGACTCTGGGTGATCATTCACACGTAACTTCAGTAGGTTTCCTACACAAACCGGAAAAAGCCCGCACTAGATGTTGAAACCGGTTTCGCGGTCATTGTCCTGATAACCTCTCCAAGTCTACGATTAACGAAGAACCAAGATTGAGAGTTGCCGATTTTTGGGAAACTCACGACTGTGAAGCATTATTTCGCAAGTCACCCAAACGCAGCAGAAATACTAAAATGAAATTGAACTCTAACCTATTGAGCTTGGCCGCTTTGGCGGCTTTCCCCAGCATGGCCAGTGCTGGTGTAGATAGTTGTTCGGAGCAAGTGAATTGTGTTAACTTCAGTGTCGAGAAGTTGGACACTGATTCCTGTAGTCTAGGCGGGGAGTGTGCTGTAAAAGTCTGTATGCAAGCCAACAGTGGTTTCAATGGTTGTGACAAGAGCGGCTCTTTCAGCCACATGTGTTACCAGACTGACGCCAATGGTTGTCCTGCATGGAACAGTGACGGTAGTCCTCTCATGGGAGCTTCGGATAGCGTATCATGCGCGGATGGTTTCCTTGGAAAGTGTGCAGGCAGCAATGTCATGATGTGTCTTGAGGGAAAGCCAGGTCAGACTCTTTACTGGGTACTCAAGGACGGAAACACGAATGATAATCCAGGAGAAGACGTAACCTACACGAAGTCTTTCACTGTGAACGGTGCAGATACCGGGTGTACCAGTAACGTTCGATGCTTTAACGAAGAGTACAATTGTGGCGCAAAGTATAATAAGGCTCAAGCACCGAAGGAGCGCACTTGGGCCTTCACCATTCCATCTTCTGATGGAAGCTCTTGTGATGTCTGTGGATCAAGCCCACCTAGTCCTACTGCCCCTACACCAACCGCGCCTGTTCCTACCGCTACACCGCCTATTGAACCTACCCCAACCGCGCCCACACCTACTGCGGATAATACTACGCCTACACCAGGAAGCAACGGAGATCCTCACTGTAAGTCTATCGATTTCATCAGTTTCAATCCAACATTGGAATATCAAGTTGATCTAACTTTCTCTTTTGTCATCTCTTTAAAACCACTACAGTCAAGACCTGGAAGAACGAGCATTTCGAATACCACGGACAGTGTGACATGGTCCTCACCAAGGACGCAAACTTTGCTGACGGGCTTGGTCTTGATATCCAAATCCGTACCAAGATGGTTCGCTTCTGGAGTTACATTCGTAACGCTGCCGTTCGCATCGGCCATGATGTGATTGAATTGGAAGGATCTGATGATACTCAAGATCAATCCATTCGTTTCTGGTACAACATGGAGTTCAAGGCCAAGGATGCCACCACGTTGGGTGGATTCCCCATGACCATTCGCCGATCGCACGAAAAGATGACCAAGGTCATTATTGACTTGGACAGCAAGTACCCTGGAGTCAAGATTATCATGGCCACCTACAAGGAATTTGTCCGTGTCGATGTTGAAGGTGCCACCGACGAAGCCTTTGCCAACACCGTTGGATTGTTGGGTGATTTCACCACTGGAAAGACTCTTGCTCGTGATGGTTCCGCCATTGATAACTTCCGTGAATACGGAAGCGAGTGGCAAGTCCGCCCAGGTGAGCACATGCTCTTCCACAACACCGCAGAACCTCAATTCCCCAAGAAGTGCTTGGAACCTGAGGATCCCCGCGGAGAACGTCGTCGCCGTTTGGAAGAGTCTGATATCACCATGGAGCAAGCTGAGAAAGCATGCTCTGCCTTGAAGGATGCCTTGGACCAAAAGGATTGTGTCTATGATATCTTGGCCACCCAAGATATGGACATGGCTGGTGCCTTTTAAATTATTTGATATCTTAATCTGAGGCCTCTGAATGGAACCGCGCAGCGAGAGATCTTCGACGCTGTTGCTGTGAAAAGCAAGGGCTACCTTTCGATACTTCGTAACTTACATATACAATATTAACATGAATTGACACTTGTCTATTTGAAAAGCACTCGCCTTCTCGACCATGTAGGTAGGTACTATCATACTAGTAAGTCTCTGATTTGAAACGGAGCCATGGCTGAAGAGGAAAGAGTTACGGTATGAAACTCTCACTCCACTCAAAGGTATGTGACATTCACTTCAACTTTTCGCCATCGATGTCGGCTAAAGTTTCAGGTAGTGAAGCCCACCTCTTGCCTCTCGCCGTAAAGAGAGTAGAGGTTACCTGATACTGGTACCAGGTACTGCACCAATCAATGAAACTGAAGATTGAGAACTGCCGTTGGCGCGACTGTGAAACATGACGGAGGATGGACTGTAAAAGAGAAGAACGGAGAGTGCGATGCAGGAGTTTCTCCTTTTGGCCACGAACGGTTCGGTACCAAGTTCTACGGGCGAAATTATCCGATTTCGAATGCCACTGAATTTTGTACTGCTTCTTACGCGTGCATCGCTACTCATAAGTGTCATTTGAATCTAGTAAAATAGCACTAATCGCAACATTTATCGACATACATTTTCGCGTTTTAAGTATTACATTCAACGATTAAAGAAATTGGCAAATGTTAAGTGTCTGAATCACGGATGATCTTAAGTAAACAAAAGCCGCTTGCCTCCCAAATTTTGTCACGCAACAAGATTTATATTTCGTCCTCAAATCCTGCTCACAGCTTTTGTCTCTCCATTCATTCTTCGTTCTTTATAGCAACAGAACCAATACAATACGATACAATACCATAAAGTACAATACCTACAAGTATAATGAAGGTTATCTCGAGTTTGCTGAGCTTGGCTGCTGTCGCAACCATCGTTCCCACGGCAGTGGATGCTGCACGTGCCGACACATGCGAGGATCAAAGTAAATGCATTGACTTTGAGATCACAACTCTGGGCGCAGACGCGTGTGGAGTTGGAGGGAACTGTACCGTTGAAGTTTGCATGCGAATCCAAGCTGGTTCCTCCAACAACTTTGGAACCTGTCCCAAGGATGTCGGCGGTGGTGGTTTCAGCCATGTCTGTAGTCAAACCGACGCCGGTGGCTGCCCTAACTGGGGCGATCAAGCTGAGACTATTCCGCTTTTGGGACAAAGCGATGGCACTGACTGCACTCTCACTGGACACGGATCTGGGGCACCTGCCTTTGGTGACAAATGCAGTGGTGAAGATACCATCGTTATGTGTCAAGAGGGAGCTCCTGGTGCTACTCTCTACTGGATTATTAAGGACGGACAGGATACAGAACAGGAGGATCCACAGACTCTTTATCCCTTCATATGGCATGACACTCACCAATGTGGAGCCGAGGTGAAATGTTTCAACTATGTGTACAAGTGTGGCGATGGCAAATCTGACACACAGACAAAGAAGGAGCGTACCTGGACATTCAAGATCCCAGACAGCGATGGAAGCGATTGCGATCCTTGCACATTTTACCCACCCACTCCTACCCCACCATCCCCCACTCCTCCAATCACTCCTGAACCTCCAATTGTCAGTCCTCCACCATCACCAACCCCTGTCGCTCCTGTCGCGCCTACCCCAACTATCAATACAGTCCCCTCACCAAGTGGAGGAAACGGAGACCCTCACTGTAAGTCTATCAATTGATCGTATCCGCATCAGTTGCGTGTATGCATACAACACACTACATTTGAAACAAGTTGAACTAACTTTCTCTTTTGTCACATCATCTCTTCATGGTCACTACAGTCAAGACATGGAAGAACGAGCACTATGAATACCATGGACAGTGTGATATGGTCATGACCAAGGATGCCAACTTTGCTGATGGCCTCGGTCTTGACATTCAAATCCGTACCAAGCTAGTTCGTTTCTGGAGTTACATCCGCAACGCCTCCATTCGCATTGGTTCTGATATCATTGAACTGGAAGGATCCAGCGATTCCGAGGATCAATCTATCCGTTACTGGTACAACATGGAGTTCCAAGCTGAGAACGCCAACACTTTGGGCGGATTCCCCATGACTATTCGTCGCATCTACTCCATGATGACCAAGATCGAAATCGACTTGAACAGCATGTACCCAGGTGTCACCATTGAAATGTCCACCTACAAGGAATTCATCAAGGTGGAGGTGAAGGGAGCCACAGAAGAAGCCTTTGGCAATGCTGTTGGTTTGCTAGGTGACTTCAAGACTGGAAAGACCCTCGCCCGCGATGGTGTCACTGAGTTGCACGACTGGAATGAATTTGGAAACGAATGGCAAATCACACCAACCGATGACATGCTCTTCCATTCTACCGTTGATCCCCAATTCCCAGAAAGGTGTATCGTTCCCGAGGATCCTCGTGGAGATCGTCGCCGCCGGTTGGGCGAGTCCAACATCACCATGGAACAAGCCGAGAAGGCCTGCTCCGGATTGAAGGATTCTTTGGACCGAAAGGATTGCGTCTATGATATCTTGGCCACTCAAGATATGGGAATGGCAGGTGCCTTTTAAGTTTCCCCCTTCCTGATCCTTTCATAAGAAAAAAGACAAAACAAACACGAGACTAGATTGTATTACTATCAAACACTTACGTATTTCATTAAAGAACAACGTATCTTCATACAAACAACAAATTCTGTTGTATCCAATCCAATGTATTTGCGAATATGAGAATAGACGAATGAATGATGATGACGTGTCCGAGAATGTCTTTCTGACAGTCATTTGAGAACCGTGAACAACAGACACATCACGAGACTAGATCGATTGTAAAACTATCTAAGCAAATACGAGCAAGATTTCTGCATCCAATTCGTCTACATATTCTTATGTGTACTCCTTGCATCGATTCAAAGACACATTGGTTGGTTGTTTTACTCCCAATTTCAATGGTTCCTCTACAGTTTTTGCACAGTGTATACACGTTTGTACGCCAAGCTGTTTGTATCAGACCTATAGAGTCTAATATGTTTGATCTCCCGACTCTGCAACCGAAGGGACAAGCGCACTGTACTAACAAACTAAGAGGGCAGGAAACGAGCCACCTTTTGATGAAATTTAGGCTATCGGTGGTGAATTTTTCGTATCGGACAATAGCTGTGAACTGTCCGAGAATATCTTCTCGCGGTCATTGTGTACCAGTGGTAGATCCCCAAGATGTCGGCACAAGATATAGGTAGAAATGTACGTTATTCGAGTACTGGTTTTGTGATGGTATCCAAATTAGCGACCAAAAACTTGGGATTGATTCTGCAGGATCGATTTTGCTGGTGTTTCGTTTGTCAGCAGCCCATGATCCGCTTCGAAAAATTCGGTTGCGGTGAAAGTAAATAAAACCACCAAAAAGACCGTCGAGAAGACAACCGATTGAGATATCCTTTATTAGGAACCATTAGAATTACTGTTGGCTGGAGCGGTTGTTTGATTAGAACGATGAAACGCGCCATAGGGCCAAGTTTCTTAATCACCCTTTGTCTCTTCTGCTTTTTGCAGGAGGGAGTGGGAGCTGTGGACACTCGTAGTCATAGTGTTAAATATTCTGAACGAGCCCAGTATATCCACGATCATGGAACTGCCACAAGAAGCAGCAGAAATAATGTCCAGGAGAATGGAAGGCACCACGAGGAAAGTGAAGTCAGGGTGGATTCTGCGAACCATGAGCAGCTACATACTCGCTCCGGTGAAAAAAGGACTGCTCCCAAGCTTGAAGTGACTTCCCACACAACAAAAGCTGCGACAAACGTTAAAGAGCGAAACAACTGGGAAGATTCGCATGGCCGTACTTCAGGAAACGGCGCTGCTGTGGATGATTGGAGCGCGAGGACTTACAATGACCCCAGAGATGGTGAAACACAGGAACGTACACATTCTGATGCTCACCCACCTCCGCCTCGTAATAGTAATGTTGCTGCGGATGACTGGAGCGAGAGGACTTACAGTCACGAAACAACGACAAACGAACGCACATATTCTGGTGCAGATGACAGGACCGAGAGGACTCACAGTCACTATACAGACGGCGATGCAGAGGAACGTGCACATTCTGGTGTTCACCCACCTCCGCCTCGTACCAGTGATGCTGTCGAAAGGGAGGAAGGGAATGCATATGCTCGCGACAGCACTACAACTACTACTTCTCATTCACGCACACACTACGGTGGCGATACTGGAGAGGAGCGCATCAATGCTAACAAACATCCCGCAACAAAGACTTCTTCCAGCCATCATTCAACAGAAGAACGAACTGGAGGAGAAGAGGAGGAAACAGTTGTTGAAGCAAAAACTGAAGCCCATCCCATTGGACTTATCAATGGATTGGATGGAAAGGCTGCAATGGGTCGCTCCATTGAATTGGATGCGCGCGAAATGGATACGACTACCACCATCCTTGCGTCAGCCCTCATTGGTTTTACAGTTCTGCTATTGCTATTATTTTGCATTGCAGAGATTGCCAAGAAGCGACGCGAAAAGAAGGCGGATTCGACCCGGCTGCTTCGGGTCTTTCAATACCTACACGAATTCAATGTGGATGATATTGATATTCAACTATCTGCAGCTGGTGGATTCCACGTGGGGTACCTCAACGGTTTGGCCCAAGGAATCAATACGAAGAAACAGGCAGACCAGAAAACAGATACCTCCTCGGATGAGGGTGAGAATGGTGGAAACCTTTCCAAGAAGGTTTAAGGTTTTTAATGCTAGATTTACTAACTAGTAGACAAAACAAAATGCATGTTTATCCAAGTTTTCCTAGGTGCACCCTATTTCCATCCTTCTCGTTGAGAGCTTCCACATCCATCTTGCATTAATTGCAATGTCACTGGGTCTACAGTTTTGTCACTGGTTCACACTGTCCATGTTCCATGCAGGCTTCCTTCGCTGTGATGTCCAAGTACCAGTACCGATTTGATGGACTTCAAGAAGTGTCCGTTAATTTTCCGTAATTTCATACGCTAACTTCCAAAATTCAGTATTTCACCTCACAGCAATGGATAGCGTCAACCAAGTTGTTTTGATGTGCACGCTGTAACGTTCAAGTGTCCTTCGGACTCGGTAACGATGCCAACAGATACATCTCCACGAGTTCTGTAGAAGTCATACCTAACCTTCTTGGTTCGATCACATACATTGTAGAGGAGTAGATGGAGCCGTCGATATCTGTACAGTACACCGCAAATGCTGGTCTGCATCCGCCAATAATGCCGAGGCAGTTGCAATGACTTTATTCATCTTTGAGTTTATGTTGTATCTTCATGGAGAAGACTAGCAGAATAAATCCCTCAGATTTTCATAAACTCCAAAGTATGCAGCCATTTTCATCACCTGTCGGACCAATAAATGCAAGAAAAAGCCACCTCATTGTGCAGCACGGCAATGGCTGACTAGTCCGCAACCAAATGCATCATCCAAACCTCTTGATGCGTCTGAGCGAACTGAGAGGATGGGTTGCTCGTCTTCTCGGTGAGAAGAACGCGTTCGCAGTCTCACTGCTCATAGGCGAAGTATTTGGAGATGGCGCAGGCATTCTTCCAAAAGTTGCAACTAGACTCCTTTTTTGTCGATCCGAACAACCGTCACCCGCACCATGGATCCAACTGGTTCACTAACTATCATATCAACATTTCGTCCAACGATACAGCCGTCCTTTGCGCCGGTAGTTGGTCCTACTACTGTGGCACTTACAATGTCGCCAACAAAGTCGCCAACAACGTCTTCTACTCCAATTCGTAAGAAGGGAGCAAGCGAATCTCCAACGATTGCTCCAACCATAGCTCCATTCTTAGGAGCGACTCCCATTCCTACCGGGACTCCCTCCTACATGAACTGAAGCCACGGATACCCCCACAAACAATCCAACAGATGTCTTTATTTCGCTGGGTGAGGGAGGATCTCAGGACCCCGACCAAAAAATTTGGTTTGAAGGAATCACCAACATTCGTACCATCCGCATCTAGTGGGGTAGAAACCTGAACAGCAGCGGTGGAGGAGAGTTGTGTATCACGGAGCTCCAAGCATTCGGAACGGGAAAAACGAAGTAATTTAACGTCGTGCTGTAAAAGTCTTGTAGTGCCAAGTTTACTTATTTGGATGATAGAAAATAGTAAAACTAGAGCAATCATAGAACAACGGAATTCTATCTTTTTACAATTCTAAAATTTTGGGATTTCAAGGGACGTAGTGTCGCTTTTGAAATGCTCTGTAGGCATCCCCAAAAGTGACGTTCTCCATGATTGAACAAGCAGCGAGTGGTGCAGCATCTCGGCGGCATTCTGGGTTTGTGTGGAAGATGGGAACCTGCTTCAATCTCTAAACAAGAGTATTGTTCGATTGGATTGAGCTCTGGCGAACGAGTAGGCAAGAATAGGAGCAAGATCCCATACTTGATGTAGAGGTAACCTTCCAAATCATAATTCTCTTTGTATCCGCGGATTTCAGCACTGTCGAGGACAAGAACATCTCCACGAACCAAGAAATCCTTCTGGATAGAACGCAAGAGACAATCGCGAAAAGTTGCGGCATCATTGGTTCCGTCATGTATGTAGTAGTCAAAGGGACGCTGTCCAGCAATACCGCAAATACCGGTGATATTGTGCTGGGTGAATAGGTAATCAGAATTGACAGTCACTAGTTCTACCTCACCTGTCAATGGATTACGTCGAACCTTTGCATCAAACAAGTCGTTTCCTCTCAAATGTTTCTTGTCGCCAAACTTTAGGCGACATGGGTCAATACGCTGGGTAATGCCTTTGTAAGTGAGGAAGCGATTGATATTGTCCAGTGTCAATTTGTCACGTGGCACCTTCAATGTCTTCATGATGCTTCCGTTGAGCGGCTTGGTGCTGCAAGCCGAAATAAGCTGGGTGGAGCAATCTGTTCCAGTCAGAAATCTGAGAGAATGCTTGTAATCATTGAGTGTTCGCTTGGAATTCGTCTGGCGCAGATATAATAGCACAAACTTGTCAAAATCGTCAAACGTGCGGTTTCCAAAGCTTCGCTTCTTTGGTTTCTCCTTCTTTCCCCCCACTTTCATTCTTCAATGTACCCACCAAGGCTATTGTACTCATTGATGCATTTAGAAGCAATTCCAGCTTTCGAAAGCGTACATTTTCCTTTGTTGGTAATGATAGTGCGGTACAAAGGAATGGCCTCCAACTTCTTGGTAACACGATACTTCTTTCCAGGAAGTTCTTTACATGCGCATTCATGCAAACAAACCCTCAGTCATTTTTCACAAAATGGTAGGTTTGGTTGCAGTGGGACTAGTCATATTCGAGGAAAGATGTGCAAGATACAGTGCTTGTTGTCGTATATGTGCCAATTGAATTTTTGAAATTTCATATCTGTTGCGTTTAGTTTGACTAGTATGACTTACCGAAAAATGTGAATTTCGGACTGACTCTCATCTTCGTGCTTTTTTTAAAATGTGAACGTGTGGTGACGATGCAAGCACTGTACTGTAGTTCGCAAACTAACACTACAGTCCAGGAAATCGGTTGACTTCAAGCAGCCATGGCTGATATTTTGTACCACATAGTCCAGCCCAAGAATCTTTGGAACTCCAAGCATTCGGAACGACATTTGTCGAAGAATTATTGTAGTGCAGTGTAGTGTTGTAAACGTCGTGAATGTATAATATTGCCAAGTTTATTTGTTGGGGCTGTCAACATTGAGGCTGTCAACAATTACTGGAATTTGTACTGCCATCGATACCACCCTGAGCAAAACCTTTTAGTATTCATTTTCTTAATTCAGTTCGGTCATAAGTTTGACGATAGCTTCATCTTCCACAAACGGAAGAACATGAGGTATAATCTGATCTGCTCCACTTAGATGTAACATTTCCTGCTTGAACTCAGAGGGATCACATGTTTGATTTGTTTTCACCGCCCATTCTTCAATCGTTTGTTGCAGAGAAGTCGCGGGACTAGGAGTATCATTATCATCATCATCATCATTGTAGTGACCATGATTCTCCTTCATGCCTCGGACACAGCTAGTCTTCCACACCACCAATTCCAACAGGAGCACACGATGCAATAGGGCTCGAATTTCCACACAAATTGAGTCCAATCGCTCCCGTGTCACAAAATCACGTTCGTAGGATTTGGTTAGACTACTCAAGAGTTGATACATGGTTTGCTTCCAATTCTCCAATCCTATCCGTTCAATTCGTCGACAAAACATGCCCTCTAGCAAGTATCGAACTGTATCCATGTCTCGGCGCTGAGCTCGATTGGTCAAGAGGTAAATGTGAATGGGCAGTCGTCCTACATTGTCCTCCTCGAGAACTGTGGTCTTTGGTTCGTCGTATGCCAGCAATGATTGGATCACCTGAGCGGACGCCCCACCGCGACAGGCCACATGAATTGGCAACTGGCCGTAGACTCCAGCTTCATACAGCGAGGTTTTCTTGGTATCACTTTCCAACAAGAGACGGATGACGTCTTCTCCTGCATTGTACCGACAAGCCATGTGAATTGGCAGACTACCCGCCTCGTCTTTGATATATATAGAGGTTTTCTTCGCATCGCACTCCAATAATAGCTTGATGACCTCCAAAAACTCTCTCCGTGAACATGCCGTGTGAATGGGTAGATCTCCCCATTTGTCTGGCTTTAGGATGGATGTCTTGTCTTTGTCGCTATCTAGAAGCCATCGAATGACGCCAATTGGTGCGCTGTTGTCGCAAGCCAAGTGAATTGGCAATCGGCCACTAAACGAAGAATCAGGCTTTTCTTGGGCCGTCAACAAGACGGCTCCTTGCAAGGCTTCTTCCGGGAACCGTGAGACCAACATGAGAAACTTTTCTTCCAGGGTTTGATCCTCGTCATGCCATTCAAATAATCCCACGCTCCGAGCTTTTTCAAAAAGTAATTCCAATTCATCTCGAAGTTCTCGAGAGAGCGCTTGATTCACTACAGCATTATCTGCATCAGTAGTAGCTGCGGATGACATGCTGCACCGGGCGTTTTGTATGAGAGTGATGATGATTATTGCATGTGTCGTGTGCTCCTGTGAATTCTCAATGGGTGGTACTAAAGTTTACATATTGAATATTATGATGTCCACGTGTTGGATCCGATGAGTCAAATAATGTGGACATGAGACCAAAAACCGATGAAGATTCAGATTGATTGATGCATGGTAAATCAATCCGCAGTCCATCATAATTTAAAAAAAACACAAAGAGTATGCAAGTTCAACAACATGCAAAGCATCATCTAGATGAACTTGCTCTCCCACAAGTGGCCAAAACTCCCAAGGAAGCAATTGTGGGACCAACGTTGGCGGAACAAAAGGACAACCTCAAGGATTGGCATTCTAAATCATCGTCAGGAGTTGGATCGCTCTACAGCCGCAAAAGAAAGCGAAGTGAGATGCCCAAAAGTAGCAGCGAAAAGAACAATTCTACAATTACTGCCAATACTAGTTTTGATCACGCAATGGGGACCTTTTTGGCGTCAGGATGTTGCGTCATTCCCAACAGTGTCTTGCCACCATATTTTGTAAAGGAGGCTTTGGAAAAGGCCACGGACGACTTGAGTCTTTTGGAAGCCCAGGTGGCCAATTTGAAACAACAGGCCATTGCGCAAGAAAACCCAAACCTGTTGGCCCAAGTGGGTCGAGGGGACTTTAGAGAAATCCTACATCGGGATGGTGGTCGACGTGACGTTCGATTTCAATTGGATCGATTTCCTTTCACGGCACGGGGCTTGGTGTACAATCCCATCGTATATCCTTTGGTTCAGGCACTGTTGGGTTGTAACAGCAGTGGTGGTGAAGATGAAATCTGTCTACTTTATGCTGGAGTCATGTGGGCCAAACCAAATGAAAGCGACGACCGTACTACTACTACTACTACTACTACTGCTACTACTTCTTGTGAGGATGGTCCCCAAAAGTGGCATGCCGATGGAGGACATCTCTTTGATCATGTGCATTTGCCACCTCATTGCATCAATGTCTTTTATCCATTAGTCAATCTGACTAGTGATAATGGTCCCACGGAATTTGTCCCTGGCAGCCACCGACTCGGTTGTTTCGACAGTACTAGCAACAACGAGCACTTTGGATTGACGTGTGATGCTGGAGGAGCAATTTTGTTTGACTATCGCATTAAACATCGAGGCGCCTTTAACCAAACGAAAGAAGCCAGGCCTATTCTATACTTGGCATATTGCAAGCCATTCTACAAGGATACTGGCAACGCCCGCTCGGAACTAAGCGTCTTTCACCGCGACCAGAAAACAACCTCAATACGCTCACCACCCTGGGTATCGCGTATGCTGATTGGAGCCGCAGAAACGATGGGAAGTGGATTTACCAACGAAGATCTACCTGAATCGTCCAAGGATGATAGTGAAACGACCACTTCTGCTACAGTATTGCCAGGGTCTGGGGAGCGTTGGGTGCTCTTTCGAATGAATGTCGAGCTGCCAAATGAAAACGGAGAAGACGAAGCAAAGACGATCACAGTGTATCACGGTGACATTGCCAGCGAGGTATCGAGTCGCTTTTGCAAGGAACAAGGACTGGATGAGAGCTTTGTCCCCGTTTTGGCGGGTGCCATTCAGCAGCAGATGGACACTGTCACGACATAAGATTCTTTAAACAAACAGACGAATGGTTTGATTGTCGGCATGGAGGAGTCAGTTGAAGTCACTGGAAGAGAAAGAAGAAGACAAGTACACATTTCACTATTTCAATTTTACATGAGGAGACGCGGGGTTCTTGTCGAATCCACCAAGACTGGTTCCGACACTTCGCGCCAAACGCCAATTAGGTCTTTCTTCTCCACTCAAATCCAATCGCCTCCAATTTCCGGACTCGATATACGGGCATCTGGGACACGCCATTTTTCCACCCGACATACCTTTCCCGTTGACTCTTGATCCATTGGAGGAGAGTTTTGTCCTCATTCCAAGGCACATTGAAATGACCCTTGGCGAGACGGAACTTCTTCAGCTTTTCGTATTGGTGCATCCACTTTGTCCTTTGAGTTTGAGTTTCCTTGAATGGTCTGAGCTTTGCAATATCAAAAACTCCATACTTTGCCAATAAATTGTATCGCCCTGGATGCAGGCTGTCACGCAGGTAGATTTTTCGTTGCGTTCGCGACCAGTGACGAATTGGCCCTAAGTTGCGAACTGTCCCTTTCTTCACTTTGGTCTCACGAGACAAGACGAATTGCTCGAATTTAGCAAGCCACTCACAGGCTTCCGTTTTTGTAGAGACTTGTATGGCACTGTATTGTATACCCCGAAATTGTTCTACAGAGAGTGCCGGCCGCTGTGGTGACTTGGCAGCAGATGCAAGAGGTTTGGTCGGTGCTTGAACTGGTGCCGCATCAGAAGATAGCGAAATTGCCATTGGGCCAGAAGGGTAGGGCCAATTTGGACTTGGGACTGATGCGTGGGGCGGCTTCGTAGGTGCAACTGTATGTGCTTGTAGAGGTCCATAAGACTGAAAAGCTGAAGTAGAGGCTGTGGGAAAAGGAAGAGGCCCAGAAGTTCCTGGTGCTTGGCTACACCGATCAAAAGGCAAATAAGTCGACCCCAGCCAGTACCCAGGAACGAATGCCGCGACTCCACGGGTGATAGGGACATGTCGTTGGTGTGTTTCGTATTGAGCAGTACTAGAAGTAGGCAATGTCATTGGAAATGGCCTGGGTTGGGGTCGGGCTGTAGAGTTCATGCCTCGAAGGGGTGATTGTTGGTAGGCGAAAAACGCTTCCGCACGATCTGTTGCCCCTTGCGTCCGATGTACGTTTGCCGTTGGGCCTGTTGTCTCGGACACTCTTTCCGCGTTCAATGATTGGTTCATGATTTCAGCTTCTGGGTAGGCGTTTGGTTTGTTTGGACGATTGTTAGAGCCTTGCTGTCCTACTTTACTTTGTTGCAAATCCTTGGGCTGCCCATCCCGTTCTTTGCTTTCAGGCACGATTTCTTCTCCAGTTTCGCGCTTCCTTTCTACCGCAGTCTTATTGAGACTTGTAATGGGAGAAAAATCGTTTGAGAAAGCTGCAGTGGACATTTTGAACGAAGAATAGTGGTCAGAACAGGTGTTGCTGTCAGTCAATGGTTTGCTGTGTGAAATCAAAAAAATACATGAAATTCGCGTTCAAACTTTGGCGCGCTATAAAATATAATTTACAAAGAACGCTTTTGTATCGTTATTTGTTCAAAAGGAGCTAGCTAGCTAGCTACAGTACTCTCTAAGTAGACGAAACGAATCATTGGATTCCTTTCATCATACTGACGACGGTCGAACGACCGTCACAACAGCATTGCAAGTCCGATCAATTTATCGAACTTGTGTGCGAGTATACATCAAGAAATACTTTTATTTATTTATTTCCCTCCCTCCACATCCCTGTTAGGCCCTGTTAGGCCATGCATTGATGCAAAAAAATTTTGCATCAATGCATGGCCTAGTAGGCAAGCAAGTCTCTGATATTCCGCTTCGCGGGATATCAAAGACTGGTCTTTTGGAACAGCACGCCTCGCGCGCAATCCAAAAGACCAGCTTCACACTAGCAGGTACCGGTACCGTACTGGTACATACCCACCAGTGTCACACCAAGAAAGAATCCCTCACGGAAGAAACCAGGCGGTAGGCGCCAGTTGGCTATCTTCGATAGAGTACAACAATCACAGATCCCCAAAGCAAACAAAGTGAAAAAGTGAGAATTCAACTCTCCATGGTGCAGGCTTCTACGATGGAACAAAGTACCAATTCGTTTGGCTCGTTACATATCATAGCCAAGCCGCACATTTTGGTTTTGCGCTCTTGCTGTGAGTCACGGTGACCCAATTAGATATTTTTCTAATGTTCAATCCAACTAGGAAAAAATAGCGGTGATAGTTATGCTCTAGTTGGTATATTCTACTGTTGAAACCAACATGTGTTCCAACTCAACTTCCGCTGTTAGCTTGCGAATTGACTACAGCGTCAAGAAGCCTCGAGTGGCAACACGGAAGGCTGTCAGCTTTTGTGTGAATCGGTCGCGGTTGGCGCTGTCCAAGCTCCGATTCACGTCGGCGAGTAGTTTCGTCAGAGCCTCGTTCAGCGCGACTTGATTTTCTGGTGATTGCGTGCTCAACAGGTGGTCCTTGTATTGCGCGAAACTAGATTCGCTAGCCAACATGAGACTGAGCATTGGTCGCATGACCGCCCAGTGATTCTGTGGAGGTCCAAAGAGCAACAAATTGAAGAGCGTAGCAGTCAAACTTGAGAAAAGATTTGGCTGGGCAGCAATGTGCTGGAACAAAAGAGGAGAAGACGTGTTAGGATTGCAAACTGTGTATCAATATTGACTTTGCCATTGAAGAAGCATACCTTGTTCAAATTGTGCATCGGCACCTTGTCCTTTCCACTGTTGTTGAAGTAGTAGGTCGTCATGTGATCTACGGTATTCGCACAAAAGGAGCTAATCGAGGGGTCGCTCGATTGCAATCCGTCGTGAACAGTGGTCATTATTTGCATGAAAATGCTGGTATCCAATGCAAAAACAGTCTTCCTGTGACTGCGGAACAGAATCTCAACAAAGCTATAGTAAGCTTTGCTCAACTTTGGATATGCATTGATATCTTCCATTGGAACGGAAAGAACCATTTGCAATGCAACGTCAAGAGCACTTTCCAGCGCCCGATCATTGTAGAGTTCAAAGACGCCAAAACAAACGTAGTTGCCTCCGAGTGCGGAATTCAACACAAGCAGAGACAACGATAGACCCTTGTATCGCTTCTTGTAGATTTCGGGGTCGGTGCTACTTGGTGGTGGTGTGGCGAGCAACCGTCTACCATAAGCACAAACGACTTCACTGGTGCACCGAAATAGAAGAATTCCATTGGGACTGCTTTGGTCAAAATTGACTCGATTTGCCTTGTTGTGACAGAATTCTTGCAGAAAACGCAGTAAACTGATAATCACATCCGTTTGATCGTACCAAAGGTCAGCAACCTTTGGGAGGAGTGGGAGGTGGGTGGGGTGGAGGATTTCAAAGAGAGAACTGTACGCCTTCCGATTGTGAAGACTGGCAGTGATACCTCTCAAATCTCGAAAGACACCAATCAACGGTCTTCGACAGTTTTCACTGCGCAGATCATTCGGTGAAAGTAATCCTAGCTGTCCAATGGTATTGACAATTGGTTCTAGGAATTGCTCGAACGTCAGACCCAGCTTGTCTTCACCATTCGGTGACAAGAGTAGCCGTGTCAGAGTCGAGTGAAACGTTGTTCGATGTCTCGCATTGGAGGGGATCGCCAAGAATGGAAAGTGATCCTCCGTGTGGTGCATGGCCAAAAACCGAACCGTCTCAAGATTCAACAAGAGCTTTGAACTACTGTATCCACCCGCCATGTCGTGTAGTAAATCCAGCGTTTTCCCAGTAATATCATTGTCATCTGGCCAATACTTCAGGTTATTCCCCATTTTGGTCACAATGATATTTGCAACCACCGTATGATCACCCATTCCCAAATGCTCAAACATGCGCTGGTAAATCTTTTGTTTGCTGGAAGGGGCCGAATCCAATTTGGCCACAATCATGCCCACAGACAAGCTGTCACTACTCGCCGAAGAGCTGGAGCCAGACATTTGGTCCCACATGAACATGTACACTCGTCGAAAGTTTTGAAAGTAAAACAACAAAGCTTGTTCCAACATTGGATCCGCTCGACCCTGTCCACTGGAAGCAGTCAATCGGTAATCTATGCCTTGGGCTAATTGGAGTGCCCGCCGACTCAGACTTGCATCAATCGTCTCGTCACCCTCCCCTAGATGAGCGGAGGACCAACTGTGCCCCCCGACAACACTTCCAATAATAAAGGTCAACCAAGTCAACTGTCCTTCAATAATAGCCAGTGTTTGTTGAACATCAGTCGGTGCCGAACTCGTAGGATTGCTTCCCAATCGTTGTATCAAATCTTGGTATTGCGACATGAGTGGATCAAACTTGTTGAGTATCATTTGTGCGACTTGCGCGTATTGGAATCGACATATGACGGGCAACCGATCCATTTGTTCTCTTAGGGAACCATCGTCATCCAGTGGATTCTCCAAGGCTCCGTCACTGCGCAAGACTGCTTCCACCGATCCCAACATGCCATCTATGTATGTTTCTACCACTGTCAAAACTTGCTTTTCCAAACTTTGGACGTGTCCTTGAGCCCCCGTTTCTGGTCGGACATAGGGTACTGCTGCTACTAAACGTCCCCATAGAGAGAGGAGATAGTGTATCGAGTTGGTACTGTATTGCCAGTTGCGTATGGATTGGACTGTAAAAGAGGCAGCAAGTTCGAGCCATTCCATGTAACCATCCGTCTTGACGAGTTCTGACAGCTGGTAGTTGGCCTTTAGGCGCCCCAGCAATCGGCAAAACTGATGATAGTTGTCTTGGTGTTGAAGTCCCGTTTGTTGGGAAAGCATCTCTCGAATACCATTGATGAGTCTTGCTAAAAACGCACCACGATCCTTGTCGGTAGGAAAGATGGATCGTCGGACCGACGCCATGAGAATGATAGCCTCCATGGCTTTGGACGATCGTGGTGGTTCCGTGTTGGCATAAAACTCAAACATTAGCTCTGTGGTGGCGGGATCTGACAATAGGGGTCTCCATGATGTTGGTGCTTGAATAGTTCCCACATCCTCTGTTGACTCGTCCGGGTTGGTACCAATGAAATCAAAGCTCAAACATCGAACACAAAGGCCTAATGCTTGTTCCCCCATTGTGGCCTCTTGGCGTGGTTCTGCGGCTGTGGCAATCGATTGAATGAAAGAACGAAGAAAGGAAGAAAGAAGGAATGTTATTGTGAGATACATGGCATGTGTGTCGTTGGAGTGCAAGTCGGTGGACCCTGCAGGATCCAGCAGGATTTGATAACATTGGCACGTACTTATGGCTCGTGTCTGAAGTTGTTTCAGCGTGGTCAACCCCAATTGAAAGACTTTGAGCAAGCATACATCCCGAAAGCTTACGCTAGTCTTTCGATGTTGTGTGAGTGTTCTTCCCAAGGTTGGTATATTGAGTTCATCTACCAATTGGTTCAATATTTTGAGTCCCAGTATACAATGGTCGACAGTAGCCTGCAAGAACTTGGTAACATCGTCCGCCAACTCCCGATGAACGTTATCATCGAACCATCCCAATTTGGTAATCCGACAGACCAATTTGATCAAGGAGGTGACCACATAGTCTTGTAATTGAGGCCCGTTGTTCGCCAGATACCCCAAAACGTAGTTGCGAATGTCAATGCGTTGAGGGATGGTAAAAGAATTCCAATGCACCGTTATGAGTTCCGTCAAAGAATTTGTGGCCACCAAACGAGCGTATTGCGAACTTGAATTGTCCAGAATGTATTGGCATTGAGGAATGTATTCTGCAGAGGTCCGTAAGCTGAGGAGTCGTTGTTGGGCTTCTTGCAGTGTGATGGGTTCTCCGTCGGCATTCGTGGAAGGAACGCCCGTGTAAAGCGTTTCGCAGAGGGCTTCCACTTGAGCTAGCTGTTGGGCGTCCATTGCTGTGGTTCTAAGTGTGAAGCTGTAGGAATCTATTAATATGTGTGTGTGTGTGTATGACGTGTATGTATGATAGCAACCAGTGTGGAAACAATGAATCAATCAATCAATCAATCAATCACGCGTCGTCCAAATCTTTTTTAGGCAGTGTTGATGTTGATTGGTTCAAAGAATGAAACGTGGATTGGTCCTTGCAAGGTAGATTTGTCTTGCCGTTCTCCCAACTACAATCGTGATCTTCCTTCCCTATGAATCTATAAGGTTTTTGTTATTGGTGGTAATGGAAGATCCTCACCAAACAAAACAATGCTATTGCCACAAGCTGCTGATGATTCGATCCCTTTGTCTTGAGCCGCAGATTCTCGCCGATTGTACGTGCATGCGCCTGACTCCCGTACGTAGAATTTACCAGCGGATATCTCCCTTCTAACCCTTCTAAACAGTTCTTTCGATTCCTCCGATTTCAAATTAAAAGTAGACGCAAGAGAAGCCTATAGAAGTACTATTTATCCGCCACCATAAACAAGTTGTTTCGAATCAATCGATACAGTACCCGGTAGTTACAGGCTCGAGCCGTCTGCTGCTTCCTACAGTACCTAGTGCTGTAGTCAGAGGGAATTTTCAGTATACTGTTATCCGAGACAGCATTGACAACAGATAGTGGATATTATTTGTTTACAACTATAAATTTCCCTTTTTGTTCCATGTTGCTGTACCGCCGGTTGGTAGGTATCCAGTACGTCTACCAGTACGTATGATAGAGCGAGGAGAGTGATACCACCGAAAAGTTTTAAACACGAAGGACAGACTGACACGTCACAAAGGATACAACATCCACCCATCATCGCCCACAACTTCATCACCATCACATCAACCATCACATCAAAAAGCCAAAACGATTGATTCATTCTACCTATTTGAACAACAAGAAAACACAACAAAAGAGAAAAAAGACACAAAATGATTCAAATATCCCTGCTCCTGGTTCTTGGTGTCATTATACCGGGACTTCTAGCCATAAGTGCTACGCAGGGTATTCATCTGACGACAACACCAAAATATTCCGCCGATCCAATTGTCGAAAATGCCTTTCATCAACTTCGAGGAGGTTCCACTCAATCATCCACAATCGAAGAAATGGCCCAAGAACTGATCGATTCCAATCGAAAATTGGTCGTTGTGACGGGCGGCGTCCTGTCGGGTATCGGAAAGGGTGTCACGGCGTCATCCATTGGCGTCTTGTTTCGGGCCATGGGATATCGAGTGACGGCACTCAAAATTGATCCATACCTCAATGTAGATGCGGGTACCATGTCGCCATTTGAACATGGAGAAGTATTTGTGTTGGATGATGGTGGAGAGACTGACCTTGATCTCGGAAATTACGAACGATTCCTAAGTGTCTGTTTGACCAAGAATTCAAATTTGTCCACGGGCAAGATTTACCAACAAGTGATTGAAAAAGAAAGGGTAGGAGACTACTTGGGCAAAACGGTACAAGTGGTTCCCCACGTTAGTGATGCCATTCAACAATGGGTCTTGGAAGTGGCCAAGGCGCCAATTACACACTTTTCCAAAGCGACAGCTATGGCAACCGATACTTCCAGGCAAGACAATGATAGTATGGAGCCGGAAATTTGCATTGTAGAGTTGGGAGGAACTTTGGGAGATATTGAATCTATGCCCTTTGTGGAAGCCTTGCGACAATTACAAGAACAGGTGGGGTACAAGAACATGTGCTTTGTTCACGTATCCTTGGTGCCGGTTTTGGGCAGTCCCATTTCGGAGCAAAAGACCAAACCTACACAACACTCGGTGAAAATGATGATGCAATTGGGACTTCGGCCAGATTTCTTGTGCTGTCGAGGCAAGGAAATGTTGGGAGATGACACCCGAAAAAAGTTGGCGCTTTTTACTTCTGTTCCGGAACAAGCCATCATTTCGCTTCACGACGTTTCCAACATTTATCGGGTTCCACTCATGATGGTAGAACAGAATTTATGTGGGATGTTGGCGCAACGACTCCGTTTGCCAAAGTATCGAAAGCATGGACTCAAATACAATGCGGCACCCGACCTTTGTGAGTTGAGAAATAGCAAACTCTTTCGAGAATGGACCCAACTGGCGAACAGTGTGGACCAACCAGAAAATGATTGTACCATTGCCATGGTGGGAAAGTACTGTGATCAGGGAGATGCATATTTATCCGTGGTTAAGGCTCTTACCCACGCCTCCATTGCCACGAAGCAAAAGCTAACCATTGAATTCATCGATTCGTCCGAGTTGGAAGGTGGCAACGAAGAAACCATGGCGCGATTGCTAAAATGTGATGGAATGGTGGTCCCTGGAGGATTTGGATCGCGAGGATTTGAAGGAAAGATCAATGCCATTCGCAAGGCTCGGGAAGAAAAGATTCCCTTTTTGGGCATTTGCCTCGGAATGCAAGCTGCAGTCATCGAATATGCTCGTAGTTTTGGTGGTATGCCCACAGCACACAGTGCCGAATTCCAAAAGGATCTTGTCGAAGGGGAGGACGATGTCGTCATTTTCATGCCGGAAGGAGACCGCGAACGAATGGGAGGAACTATGCGATTGGGTGCCCGGGAAACCATTCTACGGGACGGAAGTTTGGCACGCAAACTCTATGGCCACGAACGCATCATGGAACGTCATCGTCATCGCTACGAAGTCAATCCTATCTATGCTAGAAAACTTGAAGGGCTGGGATTGAAATTTGTTGGAAAGAATACTGATGCCAGTGGAGAACGCATGGAAGTCATTGAACTAGACAATGATGTTCATCCATACTTTGTCGGAGCTCAATTCCATCCAGAATTCACAAGCCGACCAGAGAAACCAAATCCAATGGTAAGCTCGTTTCACTATTTGAAAAATACATCTTATTTTCTTTCCTTTTATCTCACGTTTTGTTTTGCAGTTCTTGGGTCTTTTGGAAGTTGTCAAGAAGCAAAAGGGTTTCGATGTTTCGTCGTAGTGCAACGGACACAAGTCAAGTTTCGGGAATAGAAAACTCGGAAGAGAGTGAAGCAACCTTTGCGTCACAAATTCATAAAAGTTGCCAAAATGTGCTTTCTATTAGATATTTGTTGTGGTTCCATAGAAAAACATTGTACCAAGACTAATTTTTGAAGAGGCAATTACGCTTGAACTCTCCTGGAAAAGAATGGATCGTCATCGTCGCACTCCTCATCCATATTGTATTCATCATCTATCTCCTCGTCTACGTTTGAAGTCATATGAATAGTTCCGCCAGGGCTAAGCCGACCTCTGAGTTCAATATCTCCTTCCCCAGCTTTTTCTCTGACGTTCCTCGCTTTAGAGCTTTTCTCCTTGGGCAGTCTTGGCGGCTTCTTCTTATCTTTGGCAAGCACCTCACGCCTCATATCCTTAATGTATGATTTGTATCCGCGTTTCGTTGCCAAGGTCTTCGATTCATGATCGATAGGGACTCGTTCCACCTTGACAGCGCTTCCAAGATTCAACTGCGATAGAAATCCTATGCTTCCAAGCAGAGGATCTCCCTCGATTGATGATTTGGAGAACAGGGCCTTCATTGGAGTGGCGTCAAATATGTCATCGTCCTGGGGCGAATTTGGAATTTCTTTCAAATTTGCTTTGCCCTTTTTCTTCCTCTGTCGAACGTTTGGGGTCTTGGCCAATGAAAACCATTTTTCTTGACAATCTTCGGCTGACCTAGTTCCCACGAGATCAGCAACATCTTGCCAGTAGGAATAAGATTTTGGATCAACTTCTTTCTGTGCTTCTTTAAGGAGAAGAATTTCATCCTCCCTCCATTGAATAGTCTTAATCTCTGGATTCTCCTTTCCTTGCTCCTGCTCAATTGGTTTTGGTTTCGGCTTCAGTCTCTCTGCCGAAGTTTTGCTATTGCGTTTCTTCTTCGAAGCGCTGGTTGCTGAAGGCGTCGGCACATAAATCGAATCATCTTCGCCTTCAAATACTCCGAGACGGCGAGGGCGTCCCACCGATCGACGGGATCTTCTTACTCTAGTGGATTTAGTCTCGTTGTTCTCCTTATCATCATCCGAGTTATCTGGTGTTCGAAGTCGAGGAGATTTTCGAAGGGGAGTTGGCCCTGCCGTTTTCTTTTCTTTTTCTGTCTGGTTAAAAGGTTTTCTTCCTTGACCTAATCGTGGCGAAGGTTTGACATTAACGTCAATAGAGAGACCAAACCCTCGTCGCCCTTTAGGATCTTGCATCTGTTCACAAACTATCTCGCCTGTTAATTTTCTTGCTGGGACTGATTTCTTGGCTCTTTCTTTGCCGTCACTTCTATCGGAGGATTCTCCTGTTTGTTTCGACTCTTGACAATCGCAATTTGAATCCAAGGAGACGTTTGGGCGTTCTGCGACTTGATGCCTTTGTTCAAATGAATCAGCCACTCTTTGATGTAGCAAAGATAGATCCGCTTCTTCCACTTCAATTACATACTTTCCAGCTTCTTGATTCAACGCATCTCTTTTTATAGAGGTGGCACGAGACGAGCCTTGATCCCATGTGTGCGACATGCTAATCAAACGCCTCGATTTGGCGATGCGACATTTGGTCGACAGGGACCCCTTTCCGAGTGATTTCGACTCCTTCCTAATATTACGAATTGATCCGGAGACAGATTTGTTCAACAATATATCACCACCTTTGGTAGATAAAGAGAGCGAGACTTTCTTTGATGCCTCACACTCTTGGGTCACCACTACAGGGCTTTGGACAGAAAATGAGGCGCATACTGACTCTTGTTCAGGATCTAGCAGATCAAGAGATTGTTTCGGTGCCATCTTAGTGCTTTCAGTGTTCTTGTCTCGTTTTGGCGAAAGGACTTTGGTTTTCTTTCCTTCATGCATATTTAAACGTTGGTGGGCTTTCGTCGCTTTCTTTTTGCCGTGAACATTGTGGTCTTTTGTTTTAGCATTCGATCCATTATTTCGCTTGCTCGAAAACCTTTTTGACTTTTTGCTGCATTTTCCTCCATCCTTGTAGCCATTGCAATCGAGAGACTCAACAGTCAGTGGTGAAACCAGGACACTCCGGTTCAAGACTGGGTTCGGTACAGGGAATGAACGTCCGTTGTTATTGAGCCCACATAAAGCACCTAGTCCACCACAAGAGACTTCAAGTTTGTCTTTCCGTCTATTGCTTCGTTCATTACTTTCGGTGAACTTTGCCCTTTTGCCTCGTACCAGTTTGGATATGCCAACAGAAATATTGTTCCGTATTTTCTTGCTTGCTGGTTTCACCAGCTCTGTAACTTGCAATTCCTGGGTATCTTGCAATTTTGAAGTGTCGTCGATACTATCACGATGCCTCTTTGGTCGTCTAGTCTTTTGCTGTTGTTGTGACGGCTTTCCAGAGCTACGACTCTCCATCAAAATATTCCGAGCATTTGCCTTTTCTGAAGTCTCACTCATCTTTGACTGCACCCCACTAGATCTTTTATCTCGAACAATACCGTCACTACCAGTGCCTTGTATCAGTTTGGTCACAAATTCCCTCGCTCGTTTGGATACTCGTCCACGCTTATTTCGTCTCGGTTCACTTTTTCTTCCAGACTTGGATTGTGCATTCTTGGACCTAGCATTTCCATTGAGACTACCCAAGAGCAGTAATGATTCAGTAGCACCAAGAGATTGCATTAGTGACTCATCGATGATTTGAATGCTTGGATTGGAGTCATTGAGTGGACGAGATGATTGCGTTGCTCCAATTTTGTGAGACAGTGAATCCGCTTGTTCTTTTGGAACTGAATGTTGTTTAGACGACCGGCTATTCTTTTTTTCCCGCTTTGCTGGTTTGTTTCCATCGAGATTCATCAAGACTGAAACGAATTCTGCTTTTTTTCCAACCCGATGCTTTTGCTGTTGTCGCTTTCCCCTCGTCGCTTTTGTTTTGCCACCACCACCACGGTTGGAAATGTCACCGAGGCAGTTGGATGCCTTCTTCCCCCTCATCCTCGAAGACAGAACATCTTCTGGAAACAGAACTCTCTCCAGCTTCATGATAGATGATTTGAGGAATGTGGATATGTTGAATTGGACTACTTGTACACAGTTCCAATCCAATCGTTCCATCAAACTTCCAAAAACCCGTTTGTTGTTTTCTTGGTTGGACTCCCAAAAACGTGAGTCTGAAGAAAACCGTTGGTTTGGGGCAATAGTAAAGGTGTCTCGTACATGTCCGTCTCTAAACACAACACCCACCAACAACGGCTAGCGCGAATGAAAAAACGGCTGTGCGGTCTGTCGTGGCTCCCTGAGACGATCCGACGAATGACAGACATGTATTTGTGATGACGTCAATTCAATGAATGAGTGCACAACGGTTTCTTTACTTTCTCACACCACACATCGTAGCCAAACATGATGCCATCCAGCGTTTCCAGATTGGCTACCCGCGCTCTAACTCGAAGCATTCCATCGCTACTTGAAAGATCTGCAATAAAGAAAGCGGGATCAAAGTTGAATATGGCCAAAAGGACCTATTCTCGCAGTTGTAAGTGTACCCATGAATCCCCCTCTCGTGTATCGGAGTAGGTTTTGTCACCCCTCCTTTCTCATTCTATTGTTTTTCCTAATATGATCTTCCACTCCATCCCTCCAAAACTATGCTCAACAGTTGAGCTTGCCAAGAATACCGTATCCATCACATACGTCGATCCAGATGGCGAAGAAATAACTGTGGATGCTGAAATTGGTCAAAACCTGCTCCATGTGGCACATGACAATAATGTAGAACTAGAAGGTGCGTGAAGATGTTGGATTTGAAAGACGTTACAACGATGAAATCTTTTTCAAAATTGTTTGTTCACATGTCACATACTACTTTTTTCATGACAATACCATAGGCGCCTGTGGAGCTGAACTGGCATGCAGTACCTGTCACTTAATTTTTGAACAAGACGTATTCGACAAGTTACCCGAAATGACCGAAGAGGAAGAGGATATGCTCGATTTGGCGTTTGAAGTCACCGATACGTGAGTCTTTACTATATGTTCTGCTGGCTTCTGAGCGATGTAAAAAGAACCTGACAAGTAAGTTGTATTATTGTTCTTTCAATACTCTTCATTGATCCAGATCTCGGTTGGGTTGTCAAATATTGGTTCGAGAAGACTTTGAAGGCATGAAGGTAAGCATCAATAGATGATTTACTGGTGCATTGCTCCAGTCAGAGGATATCACGACTGACTCATTACAAATCACTCTTCTTCCATTCCTATGACAGGTCCAAATACCAGACGATGGTTTCTAGTGTATGGGGGTTCTGAAGAAATGAGTCGTGTGTCTCAGTGTCTCAATGGTGCAACTTTAAAAGTTGGAAATTTCTTGAACCAAAGAGACAACCGAACGAGCTGCATGTACACATTCTTGTCTATCCAAGCAAGCAAGAAGTTTAGAACACCCAAGACATTTTCTTGACCCTTTCACTACTCCGTTCTGCAGTCTCCATTCCCATCGTCAGTTGTAGAAACTAGATGTATGTGATACAGCAATTGTGTTTTCAATCTTCTTTCGAGCAAATTCAAATTGTGAATGCGAGCCCTTCCAATATCATGTGTCTGCAAGCTCGCCAATGAAACTCTTGTGTTATCTAATTCTTTCTCCTTTGACACGACCCGACTCGTGTGGTAGCACACGTGCGCAGCAATGTGCATCCGACAGGCCACAAATAAGATCCGAGTGCACCTTGCGCCTGTTTCAAATTTTCATTGGCAACTGTTTTATATACGGTATTAATTAACATCAACAACTCCTTGAATACTCTACAAGTCCAATATACGATTGGGAACCAGCATCTCGTATATACAAGTAGAACTACTCAACTACTCAATAATAGCTTTCACCATGAGTTTCTCGAGCTTCTCAACGCACCCAGAAGATGAGAAAACACTGGCCGAAAATGCTCAAAGTTCTCCCAGCATACCTCCACCGTCGCCCCCAGAGCCACCTTCTCCCAATCCACCGCCGCCTCCTCCGCAATTGTTGAATGTCCCTGATCTCCCTTCCAATCAGCCTGACAACGACAATGCTATGGATTATCCTCCAGGAAGTCCATCGGGTCCTTTAGATGGACAATCCTTAATTCTGATGGGAGACGACAATACGATTTCTTCCATCAACACAGATTACCACACGCTGCAGATGAGAGCACAGGATATAGAAAATCATAACGATGGCTATCGAGAACCCGAGCATCCCACTGGAAGTCCTCAAAAATCGCAACAGTACCAAAGTCGCAGTCCCAATCCTGAAATGGCGCGGTTGCCTCAAACTGTCGACATGAAAACGACAAGCCAAAACAAGGAGCAGCCAAAACAACAACGACAACAACAAGACGACGAGGGCAGCTGTCTGCCACAGTGGCTCGTGGATGCTCCGTTTTGGCTCAAACTGGTCATTGTTACTTCCACCGCTTTGTTATTAGGTGCCATGGTATTGATTGGAGTGGCAGCTTCCCTTGAAGTTCAAAGTCGTGAGAATGAGGCCCAAAACAATGCTGCCGTCTCGCCACCTTCTCTAGCTCCTGGAAACTTCTTTCCCACCCAACCCGATTTGGAACCAACCAATATTCCACTCACTGCAGAACCTACATCTTCCCCATTGGAAGACATGCCTCCCTGGCAACCATACAATACATCCACTTCGGTTCAATTCTTTGTGGCGGGCGGGCGGTTTGCGGGAGATGAATTGGCGAATTTGCCGGCAGAATTGAGCAACCTCCCCAACATCGATGGAAATACGGTATTGTTTCACTTGGGGGATTGGAATTCGCCTTCTCTGACACGATGTGAGGAGTCGGCCTACAGTGACATTGCCACCTTGTTTGCGAATAGTAGCCTGCCAGTCTATTTCGTTGTAGGGGACAATGAATTCAATGGTAGGTCAAATGAAGATCATACATCAGCATGTATCTTGTTTCTCACTTTTTCTTTGATTCTCTCTTGTTCACAAACAACAGACTGCCCCGATCCCAGAGAGGCATTTGAATTCTGGGATCAATATTTGCTGGATTTTGAAACCAGGCATTGGCCAGCGCCGTCAGTTTGGAACATTGCTCGGTCCGAAGATTACCCAGAAAATTTTGGCTATTTGCATCGTAATGTGCTAGTCCTAGGCATTAACCTAGTGGGGGGTGTGGTACACGACAACAGGGAATGGGAAAGGAGGCATGCCGCGAATTTGGAGTGGATCAATACTAACTACTTTGAAAATGAGGCCCGCTTTGATACCATGGTGGTTTTGGCTCATGCAGATCCTGAAATCCTGGCCAATGAGTCTTTTTTTCTTTCCTTTTTTCGCTTGGTCAGAGATGTCTACACTGAGAAGCAAGTCGTCTTTATCCATCGCAATTTGGGTTCGGATGCTTGGGGTTTGGAAACCGGCTACGATGGAATTCCAAATCTAATGGTTGCCGTGGTAGAAGGGACGGTATGGCCGCCCATGCTGGTGACTATCGATACGACAGCTGGTATCTTGGAAATTGATCAACGACAATGGTACCAAGAATACAAGACGGGTGGATTGGCATAATAAGGAGGAAGTTGTCATCGAGTTGAATGATATGAAGAATAGACAGAAACGGAAAAAAAGAAGCAGCAATGAAAAATTGGGTTCTGTTGTACACTATTACTAGAAGTATAACTATTATTACCATTAGGATACTGCACTACACTACTCTGGTGAAAGACTGCGTCTTCCATGCATACCAGGTACAGATCATTGTTCCATTTTCCTTATCCTATCAAGAGTAAATCTTGATCCTATCCTAATTTGACACGCGCACTCTGCGCGAGCTTCTTCAGCAGTATCTTCCCGGCTCGACACTGTATCTCATACACACACACACACATGATGGCTGACTACAAAAATTGACTAATCGATTACTCTTTTATCTTCATGGAGCAAACCTACCTTTCATCAGTCTAGTGTTTGACAACGATCATCTTCCCGGAGATAAGGAAGCATGGCCGAGCAACCACTCCCCATGACGGACGAACAGGCTGACGAAAACTTTTGGCTGTCATGCTTCTTCCTCCGCAATCTCCCGGCCAACATTCCTCCACAACAACTATCTTCCTGGGTTTCCGAAACCTTTCAAAAGCGATGTACACGAATTGTCTATGCAGATGATGTCATGAAAGACGTTTGCCGTTCCGGCAGTTACTTGATTGAGCTGTCCTCACCCACAGCTCGGTCCATCTTTTCCCGACAGGGACGAGGCGAAAACTTCTTTTTCAACATTCGATTGCACTGCGAAGAAGTACGGTCGGAGCAATTTGCCAAAAAGGCATTCTTGGCTGACGTCTCATTGAATCCGCTCCAAAGTCCAGGTGGAACCCTTGCTGGCACTATGGATCGTCCCACATCACCACAAGCACATCAAGCACATCACTTGCCTCACATTCCGCAAGAAGAGTCATCATTAGCGCGACGATGCCTTTTATTATGGCAAGTAGAAGATCACACATTTCCAGTATCCATGGATACTATTATGCAGCTATTTCAAGGTTGTCTGGGAGAGGCAGTGAAGCAAACCACGATACTCGTACCGAATTCCAGAAATACCAGAGACAAGATGATGATTGAATTTTCTTCCGAAGAAAGCGTGGGTCGGGTCCTCAAGGCATTCGATCCCAAAGCCCGTACCTTGGCTGTTCCCGTTAAACTACAAGCCGTCAAGAAACGAGCTGGAAACTTTGCGAAACGATGTCTCTCCGAGGCCGAACACCTTGCCACCATTAACAACGCTTACAACAAGAAGAAGGATGGTCGCAAAAAGAACCCCCACAACCAGTACCAATACAATATTCAAAGTCCGGTTGCTTCCATTCCGCAGCAACACGATTTCGGATTTAGTAGAAATTTCGAATTGCAGTCCCCGTTGCCACCGCCGCTCTTTCCCGAACCTGCCACAAAGTCGCAACTGGGAGGCCTTGATCCACCCATCAATTTGGAGTCTCTGTTGCCCCGCGATGGTGAAGCGCCCATTGGGGATCCTTCAGATACGTTGGGACTATCTTTCATGGCCTTGGGACAATCCAGCAGCAGCAATCTTCGGAATGAATCATCATCATTTCCAAACTTCAGCTTGCCCTTTGTCGATTACCCAGATGGCCCAAGCCAAGAGGATCCAGCTTGTTTACTTCCTTTGATCCTAGATTCTGCCAATGACCACGACGAACCTGCCCCGCCATGGGGTGGGATCAATTCGGACAGTCAGGGGTTGGAACATCTGTGGGGTGGGAACAGAAATTCGTTTCCCGATTCGAATAGCAACGATGATACTCCAGGAAGAACCTTCGAATTGGAACAAAAACTCCACGCGACCGAGCGGGAGAATGCGGCGCTGATTGAACAAGCGATCATTACCGAACGAGAACTACACACTCTGAAAGAAGAGATGAGAGAGAAAGATTTGCTGATTGAGAGCCTGCGGAAACAATTGGAGGAGAAGGACGAGCCTTTGACCGCACAGCGTTGATAATATTATGATTTGTATAGTTTAGCTTATACTTTTTGCTTCTGTTGTCTGGCATCCATCGCTTTCATGGCCTTTTGTTATCAAATATTGGTAGTATGGCTAACAATGAAAAATCAAGGAAAAGTACTTGGTACGGTACGAGTACCGGTACCGGTAGGCAGTATGTCAAAATGAAAAATCAGGATTCAAAATATTCTGTCTGTTTGACGTACGAACATAGGATGATTCCCATTCATAAAATGAAAACAATGATGAAATGAGATCTAGACTTGACTACAACGCTGTTTAAAAATCTTGCACCAATATCAACAGTGGGTCAACAAAAAATAGCATGGCTGATACGACGAGTGATAATGAGACCAAGAGGCCATCGAGCACCAACAAGTTGGATGAAACGTGGTTCTACTATCAGAATCCAACGAGTGGGTGTGTTGCCACCGCCCCCATGACACTGCGTCAGTTGAGCCGTCTCTTTTGTCCCGTTCGAGAAGGCTTAAAACCGATTTTGCCGCCTCAAACTCGCTGTCTTCAAGTGCTGCAAGGAGAGCAGTTTGGAGAATGGAAGTTGGCCTCGGAGTTTGATGTCTTGAGAGAGGCCTCGGCTGAGTGGTATTTCGCGACAAAAGATTCTGGCTCGGAGGGTCCCTTTTCATGTAGAAAAATTTTGGAAGAAAAACCTCGTTTGGTGTATGCTGGCGGGGTTACAGAAGAGTGGGTCTCTGTGGACGATATTCCAAATCTCAAGTTGGTTTTGGAAGCATTGCAGAACGCAACTAGTGTAATACCAAAGAATAATGTGGCTCAACCAGCTGCATCAAAGGAAGTTGTAGAACTGCAAGCTCAAGAAGACCTCGAGTCTTTTCTATCAGCAACAGCGGAAGAAACGAAGGCCTCTGTTAGTGGTTCAAAAGACGTTGACCCTGATGCTCATATTTACGAAAGCGACGGGGGTACCAAGTACGTACAGGATCCGATGACGGGAAATTGGGTCCACGAGGCCTTGGCACTGGAAGAAACAAAGAAGGAAACAACGGCACCAACAGTTGCTACCACCACCACAAAAACAAAATCTGGTAAGAAGAAGCAAAAGAAAAGCAAATTTTCGAACCGAAATGCGAAAAATTGGATATACATCAGTGGCCTGCCAACAGACAAGGGTATAACAGAAGATGATATACACAAGTATTTTTCTCGGGCTGGGCTCTTAGATTTAGACCCAGAATCGTTAAAGCCAAAGATCAAGTTGTATCGCACTGCCAGTGGTCAGCTGAAAGGTGATGCGTCTATTTGCTATGCCAAAGCAGACTCTGTCAACTTGGCATTGCAGGTTCTAGACGAGTCACCCTGGGACGAAAAACACATTCTACGGGTGCAGAAAGCAAAATTCGAGGCCAAAGTAACAGGAGATGGTTCAAGTGCAGGAACCAAACGACGTCGACCAGCGTCAGATGCCAAGCGAAAAGTTGCTAGGTTGGCGCTCTTGCAAGCTCAAGATGAAGGGTTTGGAGGTCGTCTCAGTGGTGGTCGAAAAGGATTATGTATAGTTGTTGTGAAGAACATGATGGACGGGATTGAAGAGAACAAGCTGGAGGATATGATATATTCCTATTGTCAAGAGCACGGTGAAGTGGAGAAGATTACATGCATGGAAAAAGCAAAGGTTGTCATTATCAAATTCGCCGAGCCAACATCAGCTGCAAATGCTCTTGGTGCTTTGAATGGAAAACCCAACCCGTCCACTAAAAAGAAGATGGAAGCTATGTACTGGGATGGAGTCACAGACTACACTCACAAGGACGAAGAATCGGACGAAGAAGAAAGACTTGATCAGTTTGGACAGTGGTTGGAATCTCAAGAAGAGCTCCCTGATGAGTTGCGGTTAAAAGTGGCGGATGACTAAGCACTAATTAGAAAAAAGGCATGGAATTGTTCGACGCGGTACTCAAAAATGGACGGCATCTGGTGAGTGGTCGTTTTACCGGTGTATGAGTAGAGCTGAAGCGAAGGAGAGCGTAGCAGGTACACGTACACGTGTACACGTACCAGATACGGTAAACGGTACGTTTCGTAATCTTGTAGGTATCAATTTTTATAAAAAGACGAATGCTACAGTATTTCATATCTAGAGATATATATGAAATAGTATCTGTATTTGGAAGTTGATCAAACTAATTTCAAAGAAGCTTTCTCTGTGGCTCACAGGAGGTCCAAAACGGTACTGGGGAATTGTGTTGTGTTTTCCGTTGCGGCGAGCATTTGCAGATGCCATCGCACACGTCGCACGCATCAACGAAACAAATCGAAGGAGTGGTCTTGGAGATTTGATTTTTTTAGCTGGCTTTGATTTCTTGCATGCAGTATTGAGATGGGATGGGATCTTGTCGTACACTTATGACTCCTTTTCTAGAATTCTGATCTGTTACATATGTTGTTCGACACGGTTATTAAGTAATTTGATTTGATAGCGAAAGCAGCGAAGGTCACAACGACCATCTCATTTCCACAGAAGCCACAGTTTTCTACTTTGAGCTGAGCCAAAAAAAAACACACGAACTCATTTCTTGTACCTATTGATACCAGTACGTCTCTACGCATTTATCGCTTCGAACTCCCTGAAGGCAGCAGCATCTCACACAAAGTTAGAAGGACAATACAAGCGGTCGTCCAACATTCGATAGAAATAGATACATCAGAAGCATAATGTCAGAGGAAGAAAGGGAAAAAGTACAACCAGAAGATAACAAAAGCATGACGGCGGATGCCAACGGAAGTGACACTGATCAAGCGTCTGAAAAAGACGAAGGCGAAATCCCAGCTTCTGATGCCATTGCAGACATTATAGCCAACGGGTCCAGCCTATACTTGTATCGCGACTTCAGCAACGTTGCAGAAGCGGAGTTGGAAGATGTCCCCGCTTCATCACCGCCTCCATCTCGTGCTGGCGTAGAAACCTCCATTCGGGTACAAAAGTTCCCAGTGAAGCTTTACGCTATTCTCGCACAGAAGGAATTCAACGAGATCATTACATGGCAGCCACATGGCCGTGCATGGAAAGTTTTGAAACCCCAAGCGTTTGAAAGTTTAGTCATGCCGCTGTTTTTTGAATACAGTAACTACCACTCTTTCAACCGCTTGGTGAATGCTTGGAGCTTTCGACGAATCAGCTCGGGTCCTGACCGTGGATCTTACTATCATGAGGTGTGTTTTCTCTGTTGTACATTGCCTCATTAATCCAGACTCCACTTACACTTTGCCTCTTTTTTCTCTCCCGGAAACAGCTATTTCTCCGTGGAAAGCCTCATCTACAAAAGTTCATGAGACGACTTCCAAAGACCCACAAGAAACTTCCTATGAAAAAGGAAGACGAGCCTGACTTTTATGATAGAGAAAAGATCACTCCTCTGCCTGGCTTGGATGAATCGCAACTTCCAGTCACATCTATTATCTCTCCAATGAAGCGCTCCATGGCTGGATCTGCTGGTATTAGACCCAGCTTAACTGGGTCTCTCCCAGCAGGAACCCCTGGTCTTGGAATGAGGGAGTCGCTAGAAGCCAGTAGAGAGCAATTGCTGAATCTGAATCCCAGGTTGGGCTTGAATCCTCAATTTGGTGCGTTGGCACCTTTTGGAGGCATGTCTCAACTCAACAGCATGCAAGCCCTTGGCAGACTTGGCGGCATGGGAGCTCTAGGTGCTATTGGGTGCCTTGGTGGCGGCCTTACCAGTTTCAATCCAGGAGCTGCCCTTGGGCCACCTGGATCGCAAGGAATTGGAGCAGCTCTGAGAGCTTCACAGTTGGGCGTTGGTCTGGGCCTGAATAATCCAGGATTTATGAACCCTTCCAACAATCCGATGGACCTCCGCCGTTTACAAGAGTTGGAGGCAATGGAAAGACAGGCATTTGGTCTTGGAGCCGCCAACCGGTAAATTTTTGAATTTTGGTATGTGTACCACATGATCACCCTCCCGAAACATTTTGATATTATTTTAAAAGAACACAACTCATTAGGAGTAATTTATAAAGAAAATTTTGGAATAGAAAATTAATTTTCTGCTGCTATTAGTAGAACAGAACCAATTAGTGTTAGAATATTGGGAAAACTGGAGGTTTATACTACGTCAACTCGCTTACAGAGATGGGATGACAAACAGAGACCTCTGATGCGGTGTCAACGGAGATGACGTTGACACACGATACACAAATTATAAGAATGCATAACTATACATTGAACTGCCCCAAACGGCATCAGATTTTCACATTAGGTACCTTGAGCATGCAATTTCTCGTATCGCTCTATCTTCTTCATCTGTTCTGTAGCCAGACCAATAGCGTACTCGTTACTGGGGTCCGTCTGGACTGCGTCGTACAGTATCTTCCCAGTCTCATAGAAATCTTTTTCGCAATGAGCTCGGGCTACCAATAAGTTGGATTCTGTTCTAGCTAGTGAGGATTCAGTATCACGAACACCTCCCGCAGCTCGCTTCTCATCAATCACATCGAAGGCAATATCTAGCAATCGATCGGCATCGTCGCACTTGCCAAGGTTGAATAGAACCATGGCATACACAAAGGTATTGGATGGTCCTTGCACCCGAGCATTACCAATTGGTCGCATTACATATTCTGCTTCCGAAAACCGTCGCTTGATGGAGAGTTCATATCCGAAATTATACATCGTGTGGTGGCTTCTGGGATTGACCGCATATGCAGCCGACCACAATTTTAGCGAGTCACTCCAGCTTAGGTTGCGCTCATGTGTGCGTGCGCAGAAGAATGAAAGTTGGAAGATGATAAGAAAGTATGCTGCTGCAAACTTCCAGTGTTCTTTCGTTTGCATGACCATGGGCATAGTTTGGGCATCCTTCATCAAAAACTTCTTCAGCAGTAGATTTTCGAGAATGCAGAATCCAAAGAGCGGAAGATAAATGACTCGATCGGCTTTCATCAAACCCACCACGACCAAAATGTTCGACGACAGCAAAAAGGGACTAAAGGTGAATGCCCAGACTGCCATGTTAGTAATCTTCATGGCGTCTGCGTCCCATACCTTTTGAGTCAGGTTTTCTTTCTTGGTGAAGGAGTCACCTCCCACCACCATGCTCCAGAAGGAAACCCCCGAAAAATACCACAGACACATGACAATGAAGGCTCTTGGATCCGATACCTTTTCAATCAAATCAATGCTCAGTCCGGACCAATCGGGGCTCAAATACATGGGATAGATCGAATCTCGAATGTACAGACAGTAGACCCAAGTGATGGAAAACCATCGAGTGAAGCGATCTTCCGCAAATCCCGCAGGATTCTGTTCTACGATAAAATCAGGGGATGTTTCACCATTGAGAATGTAACGCCAGAGGACCACGATGACGGTTTGTATCGCTAGAAAGATGGTTCGAAATGTAAAGGTCCAAGCATCCTTGTCTTTCGCTTTTAGTTTGTCCAGCAGCACCAATACTTTTCCATGATGTTGCAAAAAGTCATACAGGACCAACGTAATCAATGTTGTTGCACCTTGCTCTTTCGAAAACAAGGAGAGTGTCATGAACACCCAAGGGATGATATAGATCCCAAGAAAGGATGAAATGCCAAACTGTTGTGCTTCTCCTCCTTTTTCCTTTTGAATGCAACTCGCAAAACTCAAAAAGGCGATTAGATGAAAGATGCTCATGAGCATTTCTCCCCGACTTGTAATGTTGGAAACCACCTCGGCGTGGACTGGATGCAAGCCAAACAAGAACCCAACAATCAATTGTGATACCACATCGTTAACGAAAACAAAAGAAGTTGCTCTCGTTATTAGTGCCGTCACGAGCCCATGCAACAGCACATTCACCACATGGAACCAATAGGTTGGTGGATATTTGGCATCCTTTTCCGCGTATTTCATTCCATGCACATAATTCGCTTTTAACGACAAAGTTGTAATCGGTCGAAATGACTTGTGCGATTGTTCTTCTGCCATGGGCGATCCCCAGTAATCCCTCGTAAAGGCTTCCTTCCACGGAACTTGTCCATTGACGACAACATTTTTAATGACAGAGCCGGCATCGTCGTATACCCAGCCGCCATTCAACGCTTCATCATCCCAGTATGCCAAAATAGCAATGGTGGCAGTCCAAAAAGCGGGACTCTTCCAGAATTTCATCATGTCTAGCAGAAAGGAAGAGGGAAAGAGATGGATGAGAAAGATGCGTTGTATGTTGGTTACCTGTTGTGGTTTGCGTTTTGTTCACTCGGTCTCCGAATCCTCACAGGGAAAGAGGTTGTTGGCGTTGTGTTGCGTTGTGTTTTGTTCCGTTGCCTGGTTTTGACTTCTTTGACTAAAGTGACTCCATTGACTAAATTGACTTCAAATGCAAAAACGAGACCGAAGACACAGATCCAGCAAATCCTCTATCATATGATCTCCACCTATTCACTCACAGTCGCAATTACCTCTTCAGCCAACAACATAACGCTGCAGAAAGATGGTTAATCCCATGGAAGAAGCCATTGTGCGGTGCAAGACCACTGCTGGAACCTTCACCCTGAAACTCAATCGGATTTGGTCTCCCAACGGATACGACCGTGCGGTGGAACTCTTCGAACGAAAGTTCTACGATGGATCGCACTTCTTTCGAGTCGTCAAGGGATTTTTGGTACAGTTTGGAATTTCCTATTCGGAAGATAAGGAGCTGCAAAAATTTGCAAAATCGACAATAAAAGATGACCCTCCGAAAGGAATCAAGTTCAAGCCTGGAACCATGTCTTTTGCTGGCTCTGGTGACAATAGCCGGACATCGCACCTTTTTATTTCCTATGGATCAGCACAGTCACTGGGAAGAGAGAAATGGGAGACCCCCATTGGGGAAGTCATTGAAGGCATGGAACATGTGGAATCATTTTATTCGTACGGAGATATGGTAAGAAGATTGCATACCATTTTATTTGTTTCAAACAAGAAGATCACGGTACCGCATGGGTAATGAAGAAAATATACTGATTATTTGCTGCCTCCTTTTGAAATCAACAAAAGCCTCCTTGGGGTAAAGGGCCCGTCCAAGGAAAAATTTATAGTGGTCGCTCCTACATAGAAGACAATTTCCCAAAGACTGACAGCTTTATTCGGTGTCGGACGGAGCGATTGAATACGGTGGACGATGACGACGACAAGATTGTGCTGAAGTCAGACCACAAAACAGACGAGGAGAATTTTGCTGCTTCGCTCGCTAAGCAAGAAGCGGGCGCCATCGGCAAGCTGCGATTGAATTCGCCATTGAAAAACATTCAGGATGGGAATGGAGATAGCCTCATCCTGATAGCCGTGATCATTTGTTTTCTACTGGGATTGCTTTTCGTCGTTCTCCGCTTGCTCAGCAATCGAAAGAATAAGGCAGCCAAGACATCATAAACTACTCTTCTCTTGTTGCTTTAACTATGTGGAGTACTCAGACAGAACATGCTACTACTCTTTGCGTCTTTGTCATTTTTGCAAACAACCGCCTTACGATGCTTGACTGACCATGCTTCCGTAGAAATTTCCGTTGCATCCATTTCCATCACCTCCAAGTCGGCACCACTTTCAAGTAAAAGGACAGCCACACTTCCATGCACCCTGCAGTGGTGTCTAATTCAGCTTGCAAGAATATTAAATTTGAAGCTTTTTCAGAACCGCCACGTTCTTGAAACGTGCCACCAACAAAAAGTATCTAGAAACCGCGCTTATAACCGGTACCTGGTACTCGTACCAGTATTGGACCATATAGCCACAACTCAACATAGACAAGATCTGTTGCTGCAACAGAGAACTCTTGACAACGACTCATCCATCAACACCATGACAGAAGAGAGTGATTGGGAGCTGGTGAGCGACTCCGAACCGAGTGACTGGTCCGCAAAGCAGGTACATGTCGAGCTTCCAACCGCGGGTGTTCTTCCAAATCAAACCACTTCAGAATCCCCAAACATATCTTCAAATTCAACCAATTCCTTCTCTGTGATTGACGGAATGGATCCATTAGCTCTTCACAGTGACACAGGGAGCTCCATCTCCTCATTTTTTCAGCTCTCGTCGAACGAGTCGTTGATGGGCTCGTCCATCTGTGATCAATTTGATCTTGTGTCTCTTTCTTCCGGCGATGTATGCTTTCGTTGCAAACGATGCCAGGCGCGGAACCCTATAGGAACAGGCATCTGCAACATTTGTCATCTGGCACAAGTAGCCAATCCTTGCATCGGTTTGGATGAGCAACTTGCGTTGGCTCAGCAACAACGAGAAGAGAAGATCGCTTTGCAGGCACTGCAATTCGAAGAGAGGCAGTTGCAGAATCTCATGAATGATTCTCTTTCTGACAAGGCAGCATATCTTGCTCAGAAGCTAATGACACAGCTTGAGCCTCACAATTCGATACTGAAAGATTATGCGAAGTTCGATTTTGTGAACCGAAGTTTTGCATTCCTCGGCAAAGCTTATGGATTGCTTCAACGACGCTCCATCCTAAGGGCAAATCTGAATCTGGTCTGCGGCTATGTCATGACGAACCAAGCACAGGGAACTTATCTTCGAATTCATGGCTTTAGAAGTGATATGAAGGTTCCTGTGTACCGAACCATGGCAAATGCGTTGGAAGATTTTGACGTGAACCCATCAATTCACAGACACTTTCCACCATCAAGCCTCTCACCGATTTCGGAAAACGATGTAATGCAGAGGCCACTTGTATCCATATGGATCGTAGCAGCAGTTGGCTCAAAGATAAGTCTTGGTGGACAGACCAAGAGCATCAATGTGCCAGGAGATACAATATTCCCTTTGGCGTGCTTGGATGCGATTTCAATGGACGCCAAAGCCGATGAAATTGACAGCCTTACCAAGGTTTTGTTTCAAGTGATAGATGATACTTTCGTCGATGGCCTTCATATGAAAGTGAAGTCTATTGCAACCGGTTCTACTCAAGATCCAGAAGCTCTACATCAAAGAACGACGAAGCCTATCGCAACCAGTATCACTATTGCTCATGCAAGACGACAAATGATGAAGCCTATTGCATCCAGTGCTACTATAGCTCCAGGTCGAGAGCAAACGACGGCTGACACCAGTTCTTGTTTCCAAGCAGGAAGTCGCGGCAAGAAATACGATATTGATGAACGATGGCGGAGCCAACGAGGTTATCCACCTAACGTTCCCAAAAGGTCAAATCCACAAACCATGAGAGTTCACTCAAATAGCGAAAGGACTTCTGGTACGATCAGGCGGATTGATCAGAATGCAATTGATAAGTACAGGCGAAGCAGATACGGGACGTTGTCGTTTTTTTGCTCTGGTGTCTCAATGAAGGACTTGGCAGGTCTTGATCATGACACCCGTACCTCGCTTCGATTCTACAATTTCCCAGTTTCTCGAAGCCCCGAATGGCTTTTGCATGAGTTCGCATGTCATGGATTCCCCAAAGCAAGGTTCAATCTGCTCTTTCTACCCGTGATACTTGAAGGTCAACGTTGCGGTCCCTTGTTCCTTGATTTTGTTAACTACAGGGATATTCCAGAATTTTGTTTCCTCTTCTGCTCAACGAAAAATAAGAGTGGATACCAATTCCAACGACCTCAGTACACCAAGCACCAAGGAAAGGCTGCATTGACTGCGTACTTTCAAACCACGCCTTTATTGAATGAGTTTGAATCTTAATGACATACGGTATGCATGTACACTACCGTAGCCTTAGGTGGGACTCAAAATCATAAAAGTGTACAGTAATGTATTTTGCAACTTTCTAATAATGTATATTTTGATCGAATGAATCAATCGAATTTGCCCTATTTTCAATTTACCAGGAGGCAGGCACATTCACATTTCTCGTTTGGCGACATGGTAACAAAACAGTAAACTTGGTTAAAATATTTTGTCAATACAATGATAAAAAAGAAGTGCAAGAAGCAAGAAATATAACTCTGAATGAACGAACTAAGAAAAATCTGAAACGTGTCTTTGCATGCCGTTGAGCCAATAACCAATAACCAAAGGATGATGAAACCTGAGCACTTTTCGGAATGGGCAGGCCGTGTTGTTCAAGCCATTAAAAAATGCCAACACGACGAGGCAACCACCAGCACTTGGGACCTTTCCTTGTGGGAGTTTCAAGACGACAACCGGACGCTTCCTTGTCTTTTCCATCCATCTGTATTTGAAAATTACAAAAAGGCAGTGGATGATGATTCAAAGGGTGACCGTGAAGAAAATGAGGTTGCGCTAGAGGATGAAGATATCATACCGGACGAACAAGCGATTGCACTTCCACAAGAATTCACAACGATGGAAGAAAAGCGCATACGAGTGCAATGGAATTTCAGCATTGTTTACAGTGACACATATGGCGTGCCCGTGTTATACTTTCGAGTTCAGACCTTGGATGGGTCCCCTTGTGAACGATCCAGGATATTGGAATGGCTCCCAGACCAGTCGATTGACGACAGCTGGGACTTTATTTCTCAAGAAGAGCATCCAATTAATGGGCTTCCATCCTACTTTCTCCATCCATGCCAAACTTCCAGTAGACTGAAAGATCTCTTGCAATCAACAAGCCAAAATGCATCCATACTATGGGCCTGGATGTCCATGATATTCCCGGCAGTGAATCATCCAATTCCTCCTTCCTTTTACAGAGATATACGATCAGAGCTAGACGAATCGTAGTGGAAACCAGAAACCAGCTGCAGACGATAGGTTGAGTTCTATTTCTATGTTTCAAAGGATCAATTTACCGCTTCCAACGGGTCCATGCCAATATTTGCTACCTGTTCGTAACCAGCTTCCTCGCGTAGTTCTATTTGACGGCGTTTCTGAGTTGCATAACCATAACCAACAACACCTCCTGTCACTGTGAGCAAGGATAAGAATTTGCCTCGTGTAAAACACATTTCTTCCCCACCAGTTTTCCCACAATAAACCCAATCGGTGAACACGAATACCAGCACCGCTTGCAAACCCTTCATCACCCCTGCACTCGTAGCCCCCCCAGGAAATTTCTGTAATGTATGGAAAAAAGTTATCGAGTGCACTGTATTACTCAGCGCAAAAGCCAACAAAAGATAACTGGCATATGCAATGGTCGATCCAGCATCTTGCATTGGCTCCCAAATCTTGTCCTCAAATCGAGGATATGTATACACGGCTTGCCAGAGCAAGTAGCAAAACGCTGCTACAATACCCTGTATGGCACAGTTTTGTCGTATCGTCAAAATGTGTTCCCCGACAGTCATGACGGCTTCACACATGACATAGGTAAGCGCGTGCATCATGGAACCAAATAAAATCAAGACCAAACCATTGACGACATCTTTGCCCAAATGCATCGAACCACCCGTCGTCAACATCAATCCACCAAATACGACTAGAACAAACATCCATTGACCAAGATTCATTTTGCGGCCCAAAAAGAGTTGGGAAAAGAGCGCTGCCCAAACTGTGACGCTGATGAGCGATGTAACGATGATTGGTACTATCAGAAATCCACCATGTGATGCCCAAGCAATAAATTGACTCCCAACAACATACCTGCTGTAAACAATGGCGAAAATCGTTGGCCCTGCCATACTTGCACCTGTATAGTTCATCGCTGCCGCAACAATGTCAAACAAGGCAATTCCCACCGCCTTGATGATGGCACGATTCGATGGCCACTCAGAACGATCTCCCGACAGAGTAAAAATAAAAGATGCCGGTCCCAGGTAGTAGAAGAACATATAAAGCTGACATGTCGGATCAGCAACCCCTGCATCCTTCAATGAGGTCATGAGCAGAGGTTGGAAACATCCAGAAAGTACATAAAAAGCAGCATTCATCAAAAGAACAAAATCATTTTCAGCGGAACCATTTTCGACGGATCCTGATTTCCCAACTGCCATTCTGGAAACCAACTATCAACGCTGTCTCATTCCCACTTTTCTTACAATAATGCACCTCCACACAACGACTTGGCGTGACGAAGAGCACAAGATGTCCTACCGTACCGGTACCAGGTACTGATGAATGGAACGACTGACTGCCAGTTGATGTGCATGCGCTGCGAGGAGGATGTCGTCCCTCATTTTTCTCCGCCTGCCACATTTTTCTACGTAAACAAAGTACCGAGGAAGACGAAATGTTCGGATGAAGAAGAAAAAAAGAGGGTGATGTTGCAGCTGCAAACAATATGATTATAATGTTATTCCCCATGTTCCCCAATTAGACCCCATAATCCCCTCGCTATAATCTTATTAACCCCAAAGATACCTACGTAGGAGGTGGTGGAGGAGGCGGCGGTGGCGGCCTTGGCATTGGGGGTTGTGGCATATGATTGCTCACATGAGCATTTGGGGGAATCCAACCATCCGGTGGAATTGGCACTAGAACTGGTATGATGGTTCTTGGAGGGTATTCCGGTGGTACTTGAATCTCCACAGGGTAGGTTGGTGTGACGTAGATCAGCATTCGCCTCATCGGTGAAAGGTTTGGAGGTACTTCCACTGGAATTGTCATGAATCCGTTTGGTGCAAATGGTGGTGGACGACGATGCGGAAAGTTGTTGTTCATAATATCACAAGAATGTGACTATTGAAACTCCTTAAAGACAAATTTCATTAGCGTTCACTGTGCAGACGAAGGACAAAACGTTCAAGCAGTAGAAGAGAGAGTCGAAGAATTAAGCAGTACTTGTTGTTGTTGTTGTGTTCTTGTGTTTTCACATTCACACTGCCTAGTTGACGTATCGACGGACTGTCGACACGAGTTGGCCGAATTGAAATTATTTTCGGATGGAAAGGAAGAAGCTACAAAAGTTCCTCGAAAATTTCTTTACTTCATCATGTACCGGTAAAAACTACCGGTATATACTATTGAAGTAGTTGTAGAACTATTGAAGTAGTGCTCAAAGCCATGTTCTACATAATTTATGGGTGCTATGGAATGCTCGATAGATGCAGTCGGAGATAGGCATGCGCGTCCCTCCGCACAGGGATTAACATATAAGCACTCACTTCATCTTCATACAGTACTATAGAGTCCTCAAGCTGGCCAGTGGACATCCCTAAGCTTTGATAATTCATTGGTGAATCCTACTTCTTCGTAGCAGTCTTTCTTCGGTCCGTGCCGAGCAAGAAGCAAGAAGAAGGCTGAACAACACAATTCCAACAATGGTGGCGACTGACTCACTGCAAAACACAAAGCGACTTGAGCCGAGTACCAGCAAGTCATAAAATGGAACTTGAAATTCAAATTGCTGGTACCATGTGATTCGAGCCTGTAGCAAGTCAACAGATCCCACAGATCGAAACAATTCCACAAGAAGTTGCTGGTGCTAGCCGGCCTCTCAAGATGGCGCTCTTGCTCCTGGACGGCCATTCCTCCAACGCAATAGGGATCATAATGAAGGATGGTCTAAGAAAATGAAACGACATCATATTCTTGTTTTGTGAGTGATATATGGTGATTACATACTTGTACTGGTATTGGAAGAACGATTGATCGGACCTATCCTTGATCGGACTGCCTTGTGGCATCAAACGAGTCGCTGACAGACGTGACGGCTGGATGCTTGTCTGCAGGCTGCAGGAGCCATCTGCTTCCCAGAGAACAATTTCGTTTTTTAAACTTAATGGTGGTGGCTTCTCATTTACGTCACCACTGATGGAATGATGGCTTCGCAAGTTTGGAACTTTTTTTTGGCACTCTCTCTCCGCTCACACATCACACGACTATGAAGGTTGTTCTTCTCCTTTCTCTTTTTGGCGCAGCAGCGGGCTTTGTGCTTCAGCCTGCCCAAACTTTACGTTCTTCTGCTTTGCAATTTCGTAAGGTGAACAATGAACAGCAGAACTTCGTTGAATTGAAGAAACCAGCGTAAGTTCTTTTCTGATGTTCGAAAGTGGTTCTGTTGAATCTTTCATCGCTGATGCCAATCTATGTACTTGTTTGCAGTTCTACTCCCTCTGTCGTATCCCCCAATGCTTTGCCTGTCTCTCAACGTCAAAAGATGAAGGACGTTGTCGTTGCACCTGATTACTGGCTCACTTCGACAATGTTGGCTCTTGTTCCAATGATCATGTGGTATCATCCTTGTAAGTCATCAGTTGTTATCGGTTTCTTCTTGTGACGCAATGAGATAAATGCCGCTCACAGCTTTCCAGCATACTATGAAGATGGTTCCATGTCGCTCATTGCATTAGCCGGTGCTAGCTTTCATCTCATTTTCGGTCGCTTCTTGTGGGTGCAAACTGACAGAGTTCGATGTGTTTTTGAGAAGGATAGCTTTGAGTTCTACAACCTAAAGGATGGTAAGCTCCAACAGAAGCCACAGAATTATGTCGCGGACACGAGAAATCGTTGGAAGTACGATTCGATTATCAACTATGGCTTCTTTCCTTCGGAAGACTTTCCCGTAATCTGCTACTTCAAAGGTAAGTCAGAAACTCTCTGGTGTATGCGGATACGGATACGGAACTGAAACTCACCGCATGTCTTTCGCAGAGACTGAAACACCCGAATGGAAGTGGGACAGATGGTTCGCGGCCTTCGATAGCTACGGCAATGGTCAGCCACACTTCTTCCCTGGAATTTGTAACGTCAAACAATTCAAGGAACAGATGGAGCTTCGTGGGGTCAAGAGCAAGCCCATCCCTACTCTCATGCAGTCCAAAAAGGAGTAGATTGTACAGGATTGTACGTTGAATAAAACATAAACATAGTCGATACAAGTTACTAGACTTAGCTACGATTACGATGTACCGGTATGGTAGTGCTTCCTGATAAATACAAGATATACATCTTCTAATACGATTCGATCAATTCTCCGATCTCGGATTAAAAACATCCCAAAAGAAAAGGGGGAGATGTCTTTGCCCCACAATAAGGGAGATATTAGGTATCGTAGAAGCGAAGCGCGTCATGTTGGTGTCAACAATTCTGCGGAACAAACCAAAGCACCATCAATTCTCAATCCTGAACGTTGAGAATCATGATGTTTCAGCAATCAAGCCGCAGCCTGTTGGATGCGTCGAAAAAATCCTCTTCTTTCCGATGGACTTCATCAGTTGGACGAACCTTTTCATCAAGAAGCCCGCAGGATTGGGTGACGACAGAGGAAACGGATGATCCTTCCATAGCGATCCTCAAGATGAACCGTGCCCCGGCCAATACCCTTAGCTTGGAAATGTAAGTCTCACTTAGATCATGACTTGATCTCTGAGAATGGTCCTTGATTCTAAGAGAACCTATTCATCATCCTTTTGTCTTTCAATTCTTCATTAGGTGCACCGAAATCTCCAAAGCCATCAAAGAATTAGAATCCAACAAAAAGACCCAAGCAGTGATCTTGACATCCAGCTTACCGACAATTTTCTCAGCAGGACTTGATTTGACGGAGCTGCACAATCCTGACAAGTAAGTCTGTAGAAAGCAGACGTAGTGATGAGGCTCGTTCCAAAACGCAACTCACACCACGTTTCGTTGGATGATTCATTGATTTATTCAGAGATCGCCTTCCAGCATTTTGGGGTGCCTTCCAACAGCTATACTTTGATTTATATGGAAGTCGACTGGCGACTATTGGAGCCATTAATGGGCATGCTCCAGCTGCTGGATGTATGCTTGCTTTGAGTTGTGACTATCGAATCATGTCCAAGGGCAATATTGGTTTGAATGAATCGAAATTGGGCATTTGCGCTCCGCCATGGCTTGGTCAACAAGTAAGCTGCGACGGAGGTTGATTTTGCTCATTTTGTCGCCATTGTTTCTCAGCAATCTCTTTGCTCCTCTAGTTTATTGACACTATTGGTCTACGAAAAGCAGAATTGGCTTTGAATATGGGAACCTTATTTGATACGAAAGCAGCGTTAGATATTGGATTGATTGACGAGATCGTGGGAGAAGACGATGTCATGGATGTTGCAAAGACCCGAGCGTCACAATGGGTGGCAATACCAGCACCAGCTAGGGTGGCGTGCAAGGAGCTGACGAGAGGTCGACAACTGAACGAATTGAAGGAGAACCGAAAACAAGACGTGGATCACTTTTGTTCTTTTGTTAATCAAGAAGCTATGCAACGTAATCTTGGTTTCTATTTCGAACAACTTGCAAAGCGAAAGAAATGAGGAGGCTGATATTGACTTTTAACAAACAGAGGATTTGGTGCGCAGTCTCTCGGCGGTTTCCATAACACAGTACTCCACTAGCTTAGCTCTTTTGTCGTCTTTCCAAAAACTCCAAAAACTTCCTTGAATGATCTAAACATAAATCTTGTGGCATGTCGTTGTGACCTCTGCCAGGAATCCATACCGGCGGGTACGCCACGGACTCGTGAAATGATCTCTCTTGTAGCTGTGCATAAAGTGCTTTTCCATTGCTGCAGGGAACGACCTTGTCATCTTCTCCATGCATGATAAACACAGGGCACTTGATGTCTTCAATTTTGGAGTAATTCCTGAAAATGTCTAGTGGGTAAAGACTATAGGACGAACAAACACCAATGAAACATCGAATGCCACTTTCCAGAGGAGATTGTAATATGCATCCACCAATATCAGGACACCGTGAACAAAGGTCTACCGTTGGCCCTGTCCCTAATGATCTTCCAAAGAGGGCAATTTGAGATGGTTGAAGCTTGGCAGTTTCTGTCGCGTACTTGTAGGCAGCATTGATGGCTTCGTAGCAATTATTTTCAGATGGTTCACCTTCAGATATCGAATAACCTGGATACTCATAGGCAATCAAAGATGCCTTCAAAACATGAGACACGACGTCCAGGTAGTACAAACTAATCCCAACATCTTCTGCATTTCCGTGGCTGTAGATGATTGTGAACTTGGCTCCAGGATTCTGAATGTGAATTGCTGGAATCTTGATTCCAGACGTTGTCACAATAAATTTCAGATCAGGACGAGATCGCAATTCATCTTCGCTGTAGTCTTTTGGAGGATGTGGAAACGCAATGGCAGAAACGAGAGCTCCCATTATTCTGTTGAACTCTTGCTGGCGGGTTTGTCATTTGTCATTGTCATCCACAGTTGAAAGTCGTCGCTTTGCTCGAATTCAAATTCTTCGTTTCGACTAGAACGAACCAAATATCGGACGACAGACGTACGCGATCCTGAATCCACGACTCAAAAATCCAAAACCACACACACATACCACACCACATCAAACTGGTTTGACGGTTTCTGTTCTGTTGCAAACTCCCCACACGATGCCCGTTGGCAATACATTAGTACACTACGAATCTTCGTAGAGAAAACGGATGAGAAACCTCCCACGCTGCAAGATGATTTGATTTTCCAATTTCATCTTCAGTTTGTTCTCACTTTCTGTGCAACAGCAAAATTGCATCGTGATTTCTCCGTCTAATAACCTTTACCAACTTGCAACCATGAAGGCACCCGAAGAGTCCTCCATCGATGGCAACGACGAGAATTCCTCTACTGGCACCGTCAACGTCGACGTTGAGCACGTCCAACCTGAAATCAACCACCATGAATGGACCAACAACGATGATCCTCTCGTTGATATCAAGCTGGATTACGCTGTAGACGATCTTACCGAGAACTCCACCGACCTTGAAAGGGGCACTGAAATGTCAAACGACTCGAACGATGCTGACAAAGCCAAGGAATCATCCGACGACAAAACCGAAGAGGACGAAAAACCCAGGGATCAAGCAAAAGCCCTTTTGGACGCTCTTCGTGCCAATGGTGAGTCCAGTTTGGACCTTCGTTTGGGACGCCGTGCCCGTGACTTTCAGTTTGCTCAGTCGGAGCGTGCTCGAAAGGGCAAACGCCCTCAATTGATCTCTTCCTTGGAAATCTTCAATCACCTTGCTGATATCCGAGCCGACATTCAATGGGCCGAAGACGCTGCATGGCGCCGCGAAAATGGAGAGCCATATGTCAGTTGGGAAGACTTTGAGAAAAAGCGAAAGCAGAAGAGTTGGAAGCATCCCTACTTGACTTATCTCATTTTGATCTCCCACTGTTGTATGATGGTGTACCAATTCTATGTGAGCGGTTGGGCCTTTGCTCCACTCAAGGAGAATCCTTTGTTTGGTCCACCAGCCAAGAGTCTCTTTGACGCTGGTGGTATGAGGGCCAAAGATATGATCGAGAGCGGATCATGGTGGCGATTGCTTTCTGCAGCATTCCTCCATAGTGGAATCATCCATTTCCTCGTTAATGACTTGTGTATTTTTTTCTTTGGGCGCATGATTGAAATCAACCATGGGACGTCGGTTCTGTTCCTTGTCTATTTCATTCCTGCCGTTGCTGGCTTTGTGTGTTCGGCACTTTTTAACCCTGGTGTCACTTCGCTTGGTGCTTCTGGAGCTGTCTTTGGTCTCATTGGAGCATCTATGGCGGACATTATTGTCAACTGGAACTTGATGTTCCTCGTCTTTCGGGATCACCCTGGCGTGTCTAGGTGCTGCATCAAATGGAAGTGTTTCTTTTGGATGCTCTTGGAAATGGTCATTAATTGGATCATCGGTCTCATGCCCTACATTGATAATCTTGTCCACATGGGAGGCTGGATCTACGGTTTGCTTGTCGGGGTTGTTATTCTCGAACGCTTGCCACTCCATTTCTTTGGAAAAGGGAAAGGACTTGGAACCAAGTGCCGCGGCTTCACATTCCGATTCTTGGTTGCTACTGTTATTGCAGGGTCACTCGCTTACTTTGGTGTTCAACTCAGTCAGAGCGATGGAGAAACTATTCCATATCCAGCCATTACACCATACTTCAGTTGCAACGAAATGCCCTTTTGGACCGAAGAAAAGTGGTGGCATTGTGACGATTGTTCAACAATGAATCTCACGGCCGATGTCTCCAAGACTGACAGCTCGACTGTGTTCAATAGAATTGAGATGAACTGCCCCGATGGATCGATGGTAGTGGGAGATGTGGCGGAATTTGGATACGATCTCGCATCACAGTTCTCCACTCCCGAGCTCCAGGGAATCTGCCGCAAGCTTTGCTAAGCAAGAATCAACCAAACCATTTCTTCTCTGCGTCCAACCAAAACAATTCTAAAAATGTCAAATAAATAATACTATATTACAAAGTGATCTCTAGAAGAGTATCTGTTTGATGACCAGGTATTAGACAGCTGCCGGTGGGTATGCAGTATGCGAACTACTCCGTCTTCCTGTACCAAAAAGATTCATTCGTTAAATTTGGGGGACTCAAGCCATGTTCAAGGCTGACCATCCCCGATGAGAAACCATTCGAAAATCCAAAATATCGTGTCGTACCACTCTTTGAATCATCTGCTACAGTACGAGTACTCATTGGCATTTGCATTTACCAGTACTACCCTGTTATCGTTTCCAGTTTCGTCGTGAAAATAGAAGATGAAATATGGTTCTTTCTAGGATACTCCTTTTCCTTGTCATCACCATTATCAATGGCATAGCATATGGCTTTGTTCCTACTGCAGGCAACAACTCCTCACATAAAAGGAAATTTGAAACTCGGTCGTCCCGTCATTCCAAATGGAAATCATCACCCCGTCGTCAATGTAACCAGAAAGACCTAATTCGCAGGAAAGCCAGCTTGGTCGAATCCATCGAGAGTTTGCTTGAATCCAAGCAACCAAGCGGCGTTTCACGAGCATATCTAGAGTGCATGATTGAAAAGCGTGGATTGCGCGAGAATTTTGTGGTTGTGGTCACTGGAGCTGTAGGAGGGATTGGATTGGCTCTTTGCGAGGCAATTGTAGCCATGGGTGGATTGATAGTAGCAATGGACTATCAAGAAGAGGGCCTTTTAGAATTGCAAGACAAGTACCCAGATCGTGTGAAGACTATAGTGGCGGATTTCCAGGACATGTCGTCCGTGAGTGAGGCAGCCGATTGGATTCAGGATCAAGTCTCACATATTGACATTATGGTGTGTAATGCTGGGGTTGCCTACATGTTTGGAGATGACAATGTCGAGCTTGCTTCAAGTTCAAAACAGGGCTACGATAAATTATTTCAGATCAACTATTTGAGTCACCATCTTCTGGTGGAAAAGCTGTTGACTAAGATGGATAAAGCAAATGGACGAGTTGTTCATATCACTTCTGGATTGCACATGGGTGCCGATGGATCGGGACTGGTAACTCCGTCGTTAAAAGGCCTTAAGGAAAGCTTCAATAACTACAAAAGTGTCCGTGACTTTGGTCCGGCAGCTAGCAGAAGTGGAAACAGTCGGTTGCCAAATCATGTTGCAGTAGCCTATGGAAACTCGAAGTTGGCACAACTTTGGCACGCTGCGACTCTAAATCGCCTGGGGGTGATCGAAGCTACGTGTGCTTGTCCATCTTGGGCTGCAACGGGAATTGCTGGAGGCAACAAAGAGGCGACACAGTTGTTGGCAAAATTTGCATTTTCTCCCCAACCAAAAGTGGACGAAGTGGCAGGTCCAGCGCTCCGCTCGATCTTGGATGCCATGTTATTGCCCACTGAGGATTTGAAGGCTGCAGGAGTGATGGACGGTTCCCGAATGCTGGGTAATAGTAGAGTCTTTGACACTGTCTTCCCTCAGAACAACGATCGCCCGAACTCAGTCATGACTTTCCTGAGCCGGTGTTTTGATCGCGAAAAATGGGTCATGGTCTTTGCATCCTACATTGTACTGTTGTTGCAACGATGGGGGCACAACGATGGAGAAGGTGATGGGCCGATTTTTCAAAAAACTTCTTACGAGTGTCGCATGAACCTAAAAGGCCAACAACAGCTGTATGAGTGGAGTGAGCTGGCCATTGCTCCGTTCTTGGCGGAAAGGAATGCTGCAGCTGCAGAATCGCTCGAGGTGCCGGTATTGCTGACACCTACGTCCAACAAAGAAGATGATGACATGGAGGACGAGGAAAAGCTTCTTGTCGCAGCTGCATAGTAGGATTATGGTTCTTTTGTATGCAGCACCTAAAATAGACAGAATGGTGCACGAGAAGAGCAGAGGCTAGGAAAAGAATTAAAATATACAGCATTCCTCGGCATTTAGGTAGGTGGACAGGAGAACAAGAGAACATGCCAAGAAGAGAAAGAGCAGTTGCAAGTGCTTGCCACCGACGATTTGACGGCTGCAACTTGAAGGAGAGAGGAGCCGTCATTGTGGAATCGTCTTTTTTCAGTCGAACTTCAATATACCATCAATGTCTGGGTTGTAGACGCCCTCCGCGATCTTTTTCTCATATTCGGTGACAGCGACGAAGTAGCCGTAGTATTTGTCCTTTTCATTTTGCGGCAAATACTCATATAGCTGATTTAAGTTGATTCTGAGAGCCTTATACATGTCGGCCAACAGTAACATTTCTTTGGGTTCAAAGTCTCTCTGGATTGAATTCGAAAAGGTGATGATATCTTGCAATATGTTCATACTGTTACTAGCATTCCGTGCAGCCTCTTTCCGTTTCGATCTCGGAATCTCTTCGGCAATCATCAGTTTCATATTCCCATCCAAATTGGAATTCTTGAGCAAGATTCTGGTACCAAATGAAAACTGCAATGGAGCTACTTTCACTCCCTCCAGATCTCCCTGCACAATTGATCGCAAGATCTTTTCCTGGAATTGTGCTACCTCCGCTACCCTCAACACTACTAATCCTGATTTCTCTTCAGGAGCTGCCGGTACATCAGGTAGAGGGGGATTGTTGCCGTCTTGCATTTGTTCTTCTCTGTAGATTTCGTCCAGTTCTTCTGCTGTCACCTGCACGGAATCTTGTGCTGCCAATGCTGGCGTTGAACCTGATAGAAGCGAAAGCCCAATAAAAGAAGCGGCCTTTGAAGAAGAAGATGCCAAGAACTGACGTCGCGAATCAAGCGGACTCCCACGGTTCTTTGCTATGTTTTGTGGTGGATGTTCATTGGCTGGTCTCAATGGAAGGTCAAATGCTGCCACGTGCAAGAATCGACGTCGTGAATCTAGCGGATTCCCAAGGTTAGACACCATGTTTTGTGGTGGATGTTCTTTGGCTAGTCTGGATGCAAGGTCAAATGCTGTCACGTACAAGCTCGAGAGCAGTATTCCAATTACACAACAGATATGCCATCTGATCTTTGATGCAAGCATCATCGTAGCCGGATGCCCAACACTTGAATTTGTTTACTATTGGACAGAGATCGTGGTGTTCCGGTTGTCATTTTCGGAAATGCGTCAGAATTTTTCCAAGAAACGAAGTTTCATTCTGGGGGATCACGTACAACCGTAAACCGACTATCGTTAGAATACTACCGCATACTTACGATGTCGCCATAGCTCCCCCATTACAACCCTTAATCTGGCAGAATTTGGGAATTATGACCAACAGGATTTCATGCTACTGTACTGTATTGCTCATACTTTCGAACCTCATTCTTTTACTCATCACACAACACACCATGGTCCGCTTGAGGACGATACAACGGGCAACCGCGGTCGCCCGTCAAGGTCGAAGACGTACCCAACCATCGATGTCTATTAAATTGGAAGATGCGTTCTCGTCGCGTCAACCAGAAGAGAAAAGATGGCTGCAGGAGCAAGCCCACACACACCAAAAAACGATGATGATGACGATGATTCCATCGTTTCCCACAAGCATGCAGAATTCGTCTGGTTTGACTTCTGATATTTCCAGACGGTCCCTATCACCACTGTCAATAGTGTCCCCAACATTCGCTGCATTCTTGTCAAATTCTTCCGTGCTATCCAAACGTTCCTTTTCCACTATTGGTATAGCTACGTCCACCATGGACGCGGACGCGGAATCCTTCAAGGTGGCTCGTATCAATTGCTCCGATGGAAGTATGGATTCTGTCAATTTACCACCGTCAGAAATTTTGAAGCAAACCTGCATCCTACCACGTGATTTAGTATCGTTGGACCTTACACCGCGACAAAACCAAAGTCCAATGCAACGAATTGGAGTGGTTGGTGGTGAACGTGACGAGTACGACAATGAAAGCGACAGTGACAACGAAGAGGTGGAAGACAGCAAGAAAATCACACTAGAGGGCAATGATTCCTACTCCGCTGCGTCTTCTTCTCTCTGGCAACGCAACCGACCGCAAATTATGAATCAACGACCTCTAACTGCTATTTTGCCTCGTGTCGACAGCATTCTATTGAGCTTTGGCAACATTCGGGCAGTCTGTAGTCGAGATAGTGTTTTCATTTTGGATGCCCATGCCAAGGTTGCCAAAAGTTTTGCCGAAGATCTAAGCAGAGCCTTCCAACAAAGCGCGGCAAATTCTGAAACAATGACCACACCAGTCGATCCTCCTGAGCTTATTTTTCTAGAAGCAGTTTTGAAAGATACAGTGGATACCTACTTTCGAAGGATTGCTCTCTTTGAACCCATTGTTGAAGGATTCCTGACTCGGGTAGGAGAGGAGGTATTTAGCGAACAGGGTGGAGTGCAACAATTGGTTCCTCTCAAAGATTCCCTTCAGAGTTTTGAAATGGAAGTCAAGAAATCTCTAGAGTGTCTCGAAAGTTTACTCAACGATGACGAAGAAATGATCCAACTCCTTCTCACAGAGCAAGCTGCTGCCATAGATAGCGGAGTCCCAGTTGATCTAGAACGGCATCAAAACGTCGAAATGTTGGTGGGCATTTACGCACGTCAATTGAGTAACCTGCAGCACGAAATTGACTATCTGTTGGGCCGCGTCCAATCCAAACAAGAATTCGTCACCTTGGCACTCGCCGGGTATCGCAATCGTCTTGTGCGCATGAACGTTCACATTGGAATTGTGGGAGTGAGTACCGGTATGATCACTACGATTGCCGGTCTCTTTGGAATGAACTTGGTTTCTGGAATCGAGGAATCGCAGATTGCCTTTGTTATGGTCACAGGAGGATCCACCATCTTTGCGTTCATGGTGGCGGGAATGTACCTAAGTTTCATCCGTAAGGGTGCCATGCAGCAATTGGCTGCCGCACGAATGGCCGAAAATGAGACACTCTCCAATGCTCTATCCGATACGGCAGCTTTGGATTATGTCGTCAAGGAAATGATGCAAGGCAAGAAAAGTTTAAGTAAGGCTGACCTTCGAGAATTAATGTTGGAGGCTCGTCGGTCGCACTCTATCACCACAGACGAGATCGATTTGCTTTTTGACGTTTTGGATACACACAAGGACGACCAATTGTCGCTGAAGGATTTGCGGTATGGTTCACCGCATTATATTCAATTTTGAGAAAATCTGCACTAGGAATATACAACTGCCTGATGGATGATTCATGCATGATTGATTAGAGGAGAAGAAATAAGGATATTACAAGCAATGGAACTTTCCCCCCGTAATCGTGATGGGATTTTGGTCCCAAAAGGGAAGAAGAAGTTTGTCTGCAGTACTGCAATCATGATTTCAATGATTCAAAACGAACCCTTACTAGTATCTCCGTTTTGGTATCTAAAACTCATAGAATAGTGGTTCGTCATTCCCGCAATAATTCTTGGCAAACCTCCATCCCGCTTCGGTCGGACTGGAAAATGCCAATTTTGATTTTGCAACAACGATTCCAAAGACAGCATTCTCCCTCGCTGCATCTACTAGTTTAATGGCAATGCCTAGGGAAAAAATGATTGGAACCGAGTACCGGTAGCAAGTGTCAGTGTCAATGTTGTTGTTTTTCCAATTCCAAAAAAAACTTTCCTTCCAGATGCTTACCTTGCTTTCGGGCACGAGGGTGGGTCCACAAGACTGCAACTCCCAGCATACAGGACATTGGTTTGGTGTCCCGCTCGTACAAATTCAACATTCGATAGGCAGTAGAAATCGAATTTACCGCCAAGTACCCCACAACTTTTTGGTCTTGCAGGTACAAGAAGATGGTGCCCCCGTTTGTAGTAATCATAACATTGGATGAATTTGCGTGCATTCCCAAGTCTTTTTCGACAATGCGCAAGATTTTTTCTAGTCTTGATCTGTGCTTCGTGATCTCGGATGGTCGGATTTGAACAATCGAAGACTTGGCATGAGAATTTCGATTTATTATCTTGCAGTTGGCAGTAGAACCCCAAGCGACCCCTTGTGATATTTGTTCACAGACTTGCTTGTGCATTTTTTCATCTTCAGCTATTCCAGGAACGTAGAGAGTCCCACATTGTGGACAGACGACTTGACCAAAGTTCTTTTGTCCGCAATCGATAAAGACTTGTGCTAACCGACGCTTTTTGTTTTTATTGTCGTTTTTGTTCCTAATCGTATTGGTGTTGTTACTAGTGACATTGATATCCTTCACTGGTGACTCATCTGATGATGGGGGAGTGTCCTGGACTGTGACTTCGGCAGTAGGAGGTGTTTCGAGTGGCCTGGAACAAGGAAGCGGCGTTCTTGGTGTGACTTGTATGTTGCTGACCTGCTTTTGGCCAAAGAAAGATCGAATGGAGAGCTGTTTTTGTGGTGTTTCAGTAGATACCTCGCATATAGTATGGCCTTGGAAAGCTGGTCTTGGACGCTTTCGAGCCTTCATGCTGATGGAATGCAGCAGTCTTGTAAATAACGACGTTCGAAGAAGGGGAATTTGGCAATTTGAAAATTGCTGTAATTTTTTTGGCGCGATTGAAGTCGAACGAATCAATCAATCGAAGAATCGAAGAATCCGGGCCAGCCGACCCCCGTCTGCTGCACGACTAGCCACTACACCGGTACAGCATCCCAATCTGAAATTTGAAATCATACAGTATTTAATAGTACAACACCAAGCAAACTATTCAAATTGGGTAATGTCTATTTACTTTTGGTTCTCATTAATCCTGATGCGACGTACATCCTGATTAAATTCGGACGCACTCACGATTGTCGTCCGCTTGTTCATCCATTGAGGTGCATCGATCGTCATAGCTACAATGGCTTCACCAACCTCTGAGGTGTCCGCTGGTCCACTTGACCAGCATCATCCGACTTTGGAGAGAAATTGGTTCTTGTACATCATTGGAGTACTCCCTCAACTACATTTCCATTCGAATCTCGCCGCATCTGTCACCCATTGTTGTTAATTTCACAATTATTGATTCAGAGGTCTAATCATGTAGTGCACAAGGCGTGTTAGCCCTGTGTACTTTTAATTTGCAAGCTGGGTAGACCAGTTGGTATCCCAGCCGACTTCAGGAACAAATTCAAATTCGTCGTCATCATCCAAGATACAAAATGAATTGTGAGTGGTCCTTGGTTCTGGCTTGTCAGCAAGGTAATCAAATAAGAATCCCTTTGCGATAGTGCCATCATACATGGATTTTCCATCTGTTCCAAGGAATTCAACTGCCTCAGATTGTCCTTCCAATACGCGCTTTTGTCGTTGAAGTTTCTTGTTGTCTCTTCGCCTCAGGTTGCAAATGATTTGCACACATTCTTGCCATGGTGTCATGCTCAAAGTTGACCCAGGATGGCCAACAGCTCTCATGGTGGATTGATATGTTGTTTTGCGGGTTGTCAAAATTGTGTTGTTGAAGAATTCGAGAATGTGATCGTGCCGAGTTCCGAGTCAAGTCGTGATTCATTCATTCATTCACTTACCCTGATACCATCAGCAGCTATTCAAACACATTGCCTCCGGATAATACATACCGCAGCATTGAACACTAATAAAGTTCCCACCAAATCTCACCAAATATGGAGCCAGCCTTGCCTATTTCAAACAAGATCGGAAAGCCTGCCAATCAGAAAATGCTTCTCCAGCTTGTGACAAGTCAAACATCGTGAAAACACAAGTCCAGCGATTTTTAGAGGGAAACGTGCTGCAGTTACCCTGTATATGAAAAACATGCATGAGGATATTCGCAGTCGCTAATTCAATGATAGCAGTAAGAAAAAGGAGAGGGGAAAGATAATAATAATCAATGGTCTAGACTAGAGCTTATTCAGTTTCCTTCATCTATTCGTCAAGTAAATTTGACTTGATAAATTTGTGTTTTGAATTCACAGTCGTAACTAAATGTCTTGATGTCACCGTCGTAACCCAATAACACGGATGAAGCGGAAGAGAGTTCTCTGCTATCCTTGTTGAATCCAAAGGTTCTGTTTCGAGAAGTGTTCGCAGAGGGCGACCCGATCCATCGTTTCGGTGGGCTGGATGATTGGATCTCATCGGAAGGGACACCATCCATGGTATTTCCCGTGGTCTTGCAAAGTGCAGTCTCCGGAGACTCCTAGATCATCACCACCACTACATCCATCGGATTAGAATAACGCATCATCTATTCATTCTCATAGTGTGCATCATGCCATAATGACGCTCATTGGCAGATCGGAAAAACAATGAGGGATCACAACAAATGACCAAATGACGAGAACAATTTTAAATTGAACTTTATCAAATACCGCACGTGACTATTCAGGTCTATATAATATATAGAAAGTAAGCCTGAATCCAAGCTGTTTTGATGAGTACAATATTAGTGTTCAATGCTGCGGTATGTATAATCCGCAGCCATTGCCTACAGTTGGCATACGGTCGAAGGCCGTACGGCCTTCGCTAATAGTCATTGTCCTCCTACCAGGGTACGATAGAGAGGCAAGGACAGCTCAGTTTATATTACAGTGGTTTGATTTTGATTTTGATACGTCTATTATCAATATCAATTCATTTTTAGATTGGTCTTCCGGGTCCCCCTATTGACCCGGAAGACCAGCTTCACACCACAACCCACCAGACAGATCCAAGACGAACACCAAGCGGAAGGCGCCAGTAGGCTATCTCAGATAGGCGGGTTGTCACCGAAAAAGAGGTCAAAGCAGGTGTCACAGGTCCCGCACAATGACAGGAATACGAAAGACTTCATTTTGAAACAGTAACAAAAGCGACGATAAATTGTGTTCCTAGATGGCTGTTGCACTACAGAAAACTGTCCAGCAGATTCATTTTTTATTCCTTCACGAGGAGACAAGCTCTAGGAAAGTTTCGCTCCCTTGCTGGGAATGGCAGATCTCCTAGAAATAGAGGTGGTCTTGAATCCTCTAGTCCACCACACAAATACTCATCCAAGAAGTCAGTCGTCCTCTTCAAATTCGTCGTCGTCGTCATCTTCGTCGTCAAATTCGTCTTCTTCCAAATCCAATAGCTCCAGTGAAGTGACACCGTCGGATGCACTGGTAACTCCCCCCACTCCACGTGATCCGCATAGCCACAGTTGGTTTGTTGCTTCGGTCTCAGATGAATCGCTCTCTTCGATATTGCGAGCTGCGAGAATATTAAAAAGGCATCAGGTGGATGAATGGTTCAAAGCAGGCCGAAACTTTTGTCACTTACTTTGCGCGAAAATAGCCGATTCTTGTACTTCCATTTCATCTTCATCAGCACCTTCTGCTAACCCTGTGACTTGACATACGCATGCACTGTTGATATCACTGGGATGGATCAACGTCGACTTGAAAGGTAGCGCTTGCCATTGGGCTGAATCATACGAGAGCAACCAAACTTGTAGTTGACTCGTGTCTCGAAGCAGAACGCCAAGCTTCTGTCTGCCTTCCTTTCCTGTCCCACTATCATTCCCAGAAGACAAAGAAGACTTACCGTCATCGCTATAGAATGCAGTATCTGTAATTGATGCACTGGAAGGAAAGAGGAGGGAAGTAGTCAAGTAGAATGGAGCAAACGTATCCTCCGATTCATTGCTTCGCTGCAAGGGAATTGCATACAACTGAATAATATTGTCATGCGCTTGAGAAACGATGGTCCACTGGCGGCAATCTGTATTCGCTGAATAGGAACCGTCAACAACTTGTGGGCAGAAGTAAGACTTGTCGCTTGCTTCTTCGTACTCTTCTAGCTCATCTTCGTCAAATGATTCGTCATCAGATGGCTCCTTTCCAATTCGTGTATGTATCGCGACAGAGGCATCTTCAAATTGCGGCAAGGTTATATCTACAAAAGGAAAACAACAGAGTGGAGATGAGGCAATGATGCTGTAAGGTGCAAATAGCTGCTGGACCTATTACCTTGCGGTACAATGGACTCCGGTAGGTTTGCGATTGGGTTTACAAATACACTTTTGACAGCTTCGCTTACTTGATTACAAGCGTAGGCCACAGTGGCGCTATCCCCAATCACAGACTTGGGCGAAGATACACCCTTGTTGCGTGTCTCGTTCGACATGAAAGACGGGCTCTCCTTCAGCATAGTCTGCGAAACGTAAATTGAATAAGAGAGTTGGGATGCATGCCGATTCGAACAGATGTATTCTTACCGATACAGGAATACTCAAGATTTGTTCCGTTAGGCTTTCATCTTGTAGGGAAATATCCACCTTAGTGTTCATGACGGCAAGTAGCCTCTCAATTACAGCTTGTGGAACTCGCCGTTTCTTGGCATTTTCGCGTTGTACAGATTGCGGAGCCGTTCCTCTCGCTTTAATTTCGGACCCTGCATGCCTGAGGTAGCCACAAAAGTCGCGCACTCTATATCTACTCTCAATAATGCTTTTCATCAGCAACTCCACGCTTATCAAGAGGGAGTAACTACGATCTACCAAATCCTGCACGCCAATGCTATTGGAATCTGTTGTTGTTGTTTTTCTGTAGAACTTGACGAAACCCGACAGCTCCTGAATTTGATATACCAAAGCTTGAACAGGGCTCAGAAGACTTCTTCGTGTCTGACTTTCGACATTTCCCAATGCCCCGTAAAGGGTACGAATCATTCGTTGCAAGAGCTGATCATTCATTTGCACTGATGTAAAGAACTGGTCCATTGCATTAGCAAGAGATGATGATTCGCTGGTATGCCCAATCAAAATAAACTGCTTCAGAACTTCTCCAAGGGATTTGTTGTCAACACCATAGTTCTGTAGCAATCGAATCAGGGGTTGTATTTTTGTGTCCAATGGTTTGAGAGATGACTTCCATGCATTCATAACATCGGGAATGCTTTGTTTCAGGGTTCCAAGATGAGATTCGATAGACGAATGTAGTGATGCAATTGCCTGTAGCGGATATCGCTCTGTCTTGAGAAAGGGCAAATGATATATTGATACAGTGGATGGTGCGTGGGGCACTTGAGAAAAAAACACAAAATAAGTTAAGTCATTGCTTGCCACTGCGTTAACACCCTTTGTCGAGTCCACCACCATACGCGGCGCTTTGATTAGGGGATACCGTCCATGTAAATAAAACTCTATAGTCTCTCTTGTAGACACGCAGAGGACGCTCAGAGGTGTTTTGCATTCTGGAAGGGCTGTGCTTGTTGGCGTTTCGTGTTGCATCTGAGAGTCGTTATGCCCTTCTTCGCCGCCCTGGTGATATGCACTAGGTGGCAGGAAAAGTAGCGATTTATCCAAGAAATATTGCTGATAGCTGAGAAAATTGAAGCGATGACGCAGTTAGGGTGGAAAGTGGGTCAGACTGAGATGAAAACGAGGATAGACAGCTGATTTACCTCCAGTACGTCTGTTCTTCCTCTTCCTCTAGACTCAATTTCCATGCAGTAGCATGAGGTCGCCCAACATGAGCCCAGTACAAACTTATAACAGGGTTTTGCGTTCTCCATGAATGATTTTTCTCTGATGGTCCACTGCTACCAGAAAACGAGGTTCCCGTTGGTGGATTCGCCAAAGGCTCGACCCCGTAGAGTGATACTTGGGAATCCTTCGCCACAGCTATCCATCGACCATTCGGACTCCAACAGACAGTACTCGATGTTGATTCACCATTTGATGCCTTTTCAGATTCTTCGAGGTTAATTGAGGCAACCTTTTGCCACGAGACTGTGCGAAATAGATTCTGAAGCGATGCCGATGTTGATGAAGTACCAAAGACGACCAAGTCCATGGAAGGGCACAATTGAAAGGAATCAATAGCTCCCAATAACTTTTTCTTTTGAATGGAGGTGAAACATTGCTTCTTTGTTGTTATGTGCTCGTCCATCCTAGATGTTGTCTTCAAAAATTTGAACTGTCATTGACATCGAGTTCGAGAGGAGGGTATTGTTTAGTTTCTACTGCTCTAATATCTCCCTGAACCCCGCTTTTCTCGACATAAATACAAGGAGGGCAGGTAGAGCAATTGGATTTTTGAGAAGCACAGACCTTACCTTTGTACATTTATAGTACAAATATCCTATGCTGCAATCAAAAGACTTAATTTAAAGCCGACTTATCCCAATATTCAATATATGAGTAGTTGTAGGTGCAGGTTGTCACACAAGTTGTCAACGACTACTACTGTAGGTAGTACGTGTACCTTGTACTGGTACTACATCTGAAGTCCTTTTGATTCAGTCTTACGAGTCGAAACATGGATTCCATCGAATTCCTGAGTTTGCAGCCAAAACACAACGAACTCTCGCATAAAAAACAAATTCTGTGACGCTCGAAGACTACGAGAACGAGTATGGGTTGTGCTCAATCATCTGCAACAGAGACAGCATCCTTCAAGAACAGGAAAATGGAAGAATTTGAATTGAAGAAGAAAAAGCCAGAATGCACAGGAGTAAGAAAACAAACAGCATCGTATCGTTGCATACTTCGTTTTTGTTTATTTTTCTAATCACTTTTTGCATTTCGTTTCCATAGATGTTCTGGAGATCAGATCCTACAGGCAAGACGACGCTGGCTGGAAATGACCATTGGCCTCGTGATGGTGCAATTTTGCGAGGTGTTGTGGTCGAAGTTGAAGGGGAGAAATGGCTTTTGACAAAGGAGGTGAAACAAAAAGGGTCTAGTCAATGGAAAGAAGCTCCAAAGGGCGCCGCTATGCCATTTGAATATGAGGATCATTATTACCTTGAGTGAGACAGATAAATGGATTGCACACTGCTGCTGTCTCTCCTGGCGAAGATTTTGCACAGACGTTTCAACTTTTCATGGTGGAGCGTTGTTCATCAGGTTCCTTGTGGAAATATGACGCACCGCACAGTATGCTGCGGGTAAATAGGGCATTCCAAAGAGCGGCTGTGCTGATGATGCTGTTTAGTAGTATCAGATTTAGTTTTGATTGCAAAATAGTGATTTGTTTTGCCAGCAACCAATGTAGCTGCGGGGAGTGCTGAGGAGCACTCATCGTTTCAAACAGCGTTAAACAGCAGTGGTAACGTACCGCATACAGCATACCGATATCGGCTTTTGAATAATGCGGATAACATCAACATCCCATTTTGAGGTTGTCGTCCTACAGTACTGTACCGCACTGAAGAAACAGTTTTTTGCTGACGTCACGAGGCATCTCACATTTTTGCGTTGTCGATGTGGATGTGTGAAAATGCGAACCATATCGAACATTGCATGATGCCTACCGGTTAAAACCGAAGTCCAGCAGGAACCTCCTCTTTGACAGCAAATCGCAAGGCACCTTCATCATGTCTGTAGTACAAGGAACAATCCATCAAGCGCAAATGGCGGCTGGAGAAGCTCCATCGAAAGATTCAAGGCCCAAGAAAGGGTATGTTTATCATGATTTCGCCAAAATATCAGAAGAGTTCCATGATTATGATAAGAACGAGGTGAATCCCTATGATCACGACCATCTATTGCAAGTATTCGACGAATCAACGGCAATGGCTGCAGATCAAGCACTGCAACAAGCAAGTACAGCAAGCTTCTCGAGCCTTCCACAGCCAGTGCAACAGGCTCCTGGCATAGTGCGAGCTCAGCGATTTCCAGTAAAGCTATACGCTTTGTTGAGTCAACCTCGGCTATCCCACATCATTACATGGTTACCCCATGGTCGTTCCTGGAGGGTGCTCGACACCAGGGCTTTTGAAACCTCCGTGTTGCCTGTCTTCTTTGAATCGGATAACTATCACTCTTTCAACCGAGTCATCAATGCTTGGAGCTTTCGCCGCAGGTCGACTGGCCCCGACAAGGGCTCGTATTTTCATGAAGTGAGTAAAGACGATTTAATCAATCGGTGTGGTTGTATTTATAAAGTATCAATGCTGACTTCATAATATTGTTTGTGAAGCTATTTCTCCGAGGCAAGCCACATCTTCATCAGTACATAAGACGGATACCACGATCGCATAAAAAGCTTGCCATGACGAAAAAGGACGAACCGGATTTCTATGCTCTTGAGATAAGCAGTCCTTTACCTACCCTCGAGGAAGAAGGAGCTGCGCGAGATCTCCGAAGCTTGAATCATGCAAAACCACAATTTGAACGAAACCAGCTGAAGGCGGAAGCTCGCACTAAACGATTGGTTTCTCATCAGTCGGCCTAGGCAACGTGATGTAGCTAGGAACTGTGTTTAGTTTTTAAAAACTACTCCATGTGATAATAATATGCTGCATACATACACAACATTGCTGCTATATAGTTCTGTATCTCGTCTCTTTTAGATTGAACTTGTAACTAGCAAATGGATCAAAATTAGGCTCATACCAGCTCGTCGTTGCATCATGGCAGAATCCATGACAACATCAGCCGGAGCACAGTGCTTCAAACAAATATGGGCAAGTTTTGCGGCTGTCAGATGGTTCTTCTCACTATGCAAAAGAACTTCACGGAAGAATGATATAATGTAGACCAAGACGTTGTAGTGGATGGGAGGCAATTCTTCCAGCAGCCTTCTCGTCATTGCTTGAATATTTTCTGCGTTGATTTCGGTGTTCGGAAATACTGTCGTTGGAATGACGGGAGCTGACAACGATGTCAAGAAAGATGTGAATGCTTCAGCGTAAGAATGGATAGAGAAAACGCCAAAGGCAGAACCTGAATCCAAAGCTTCGCGTATAATCACCACTTCTTCTGGATTACCATGATTGGTGAAAAGATCTGGCGTTGATAAGCCTTTCTCGTACATTGCATCGACAAGCCGCCAAAGCTCTTTTGGTATGCACAAAGCATTGGATGGACTGACTTCATTTTCGTTAGGAAATTGTTCAGCACGTTGGATAGCATCCAATGCAATAGTATGAATAGGGTCTTTGTAGAGCACCAATTGATCAAGACTCATGCCAAAGCAGGATCTAGCAAAGGTACCCTTGATTGAAACATAGTACTCTCGGCCATTTTCTAGTCGGAGAATCAGCGTGTCCTTAAGAACTTCTCTTCCAGCATTGAGGAGTTTTGCAGTATTATTGTCGATAGTCACGGTCACAGTGACAACTCCAGGTTGCTCCCCAGGGACGAGCATGCCATAGGTTGGAAAGACGGACATCCATGACTTGGACAAAGTGCTCTATTGAAGACAGCGAATAAAGACAAGTGAGCATTTCCAGACTCATTGATTCGCCAAATTGCTCATACAAGTCATCTTACCTCGTCAATCTTGGGAACAAACCTGTAGCTGGCACATGAGGGACCAGTGTTTGCAATACGTAGAGACAATGTCACAGATTGATTGTATCTAACTTCGCCAAAGTTCAATTCGCTCTTGTCCAAGGAAATGGCAGGAAGCGATCGGTTATCGTAGCGTTCGAGAAGCGCGAAGAGCTCCTTATATATGCTTTCTCGCCTTTGGGCATTGACATCCTTGACAGTAAATCGCAAGGTCGAATATACCGGCTTGTGATCGGAACAATTTGGGCGTTCACTACGCTTGTACGTCAGTTGTTGCACATAGGCAGGCTCCTGTGCCGACCAAAGGATTCGGTCACACCAAGCAGGGGCTCGCAACTTCTTCTCTGGCCTTTGCTCAAATTTGTCCGTCCCTGGCTGGTACTTGTACGTTGGAACAAAGCTGAGGATTCCTTCTTCGAATCCTTCAAAAACACGACCTTCACTTCGTTCGATATTCAGCTGATCCAAGGTTCGGAGTTTGTCAATTGCACCTCTCTCGGCCAGCAACAAGACCGTCTCAGTTGGCAACGATTCATCAATCCGATAATTCAAATCTCCCAGCCAAAAGACCATATCGTGATCTGCAATTCCTAGCGAACCCGATCCTAAGGCCCACTGGCTAAGACTGCCATTTCGAATATTTTCCCGCACGGTTTGTTCACCAACATCAAAGGTAGCCTTGCTCAAAACATTCATGAAATCGGCATTTCGGCCCACCACATTTTCGCGATGGGCCGCCATGTGTGCACAAACAAAGCACAGGGTGGAATCGTAAAAGTTCAAACGAATGGCGACACCGCCTTTGTTTCCCATCATTCCCATGACTCCAACTCCGACTGAGTCGGCTGATACAGCTTTGACCCGTTGTCTGTGGGGATTTTTGACAAACAAGCAGATCAGCAATCCAACCATACTGCGCTGCATCATCAGGATGTACCCTCGGTTTGGATCATTTTGAGTCCGAGATGGTGAGTTCAAGGTAGCATTCAGACGCTCGACCCAGAATTGAGATCGTTGCTGAGTCTTGTTGTCAACCGCCACATTGACAGCATTCAAATCCACAATTTCCTGAAATCCAACCGCTACAACATCGGGAGCATATTGTCCATTCTGCCCCCAATCAGCACAAATCCATTCGTCGAGACTCTCTTCTTTTCCCTTCGCGTTCACGTTCCAAGTGCCGACAAAGCAAAGTGCCTGATTGTCATTGAAATCGAGTTTTGAAATGTTACAATTCCCATGAGCCTAAACAGTAAATGATATGCAAACAAAAACGACGATGACAAAGCATACCTGTCTATAAGACGTAAATTCCCTGACACGAGAACGGACTCGCTTGTACACCCAGGCATCGCGGATCTTGGTCATCGCTTCTTTGTTGACTAAGCGACCATCTTCTGTTTCTTCATCTCGAGTTCGCGTCACCAAGACTTTCTCTTCCATTTGGGCAATGCGGTTGAATTTATTGACTTTCGGAGCACCAGCGGACGGCGGTGGGCTCACCACAGCTGCTCCACCCGAAGGTGGGGCTTGCGGAGGTGCAGTTGGTGCTGCTTGTGCCGCTGGAGGGCGTTGCGCAGCATAGTCAGGACGCTGCTGAGCTTGCTGCTGTCTGTGTTGCTGCTGCTCAGGAGGCACTGCCCATTGCGGTGTTCCGTCGGCCATATGTTCTTTATGTAACTAGTTTTCGAAGGGTACCAGTGGTAGAGCAACCAAGATTAAAACCATGGATTTGTTTTTTGGTTGTTTCTCGTCCTCCAACCCCCAACGGTCAGTTTTGCGGTTTGCTGTACGTATGTAGCAAATGTACTGAAAAGATACTCTCAGCAGATTGGTGAATGGCCCAGCCTAAAAGGAAGTTTACAGCACTCCCGATTGACTAGAATTTGCGTTGCTCCAACAATTACATATTTCTCTTAGCGCTTAGTATAATGCTACTTCTAATTGTGATACCTCCGGGCAGTGCTGATGTACTGAAACTGAAACAATACTGCTGAGGACGAAGAATGCATTTCACAAAAGTAACACAGCTTCATTCACATCTCATTAAACTTTTCCCAGCACCTAAATGTCCAAATAAAAGTAGATGGTTTCGACTTCGGGAATATGAAGATATCGTAGGGATGCAATCTTCATTTAAAATGGAAAAGGGCTTAACGTGCTATCGTTGTGCTCCTGACTCTCATCGTAGAGAGAGCGTACTAGTAGTGCATTGATGTAGCTACTGTTGGACATGATAGACGGTGATTGATATTGCTATTGGGATGTATTTACGGGGATCTGAAGCAACTGGGAGTAGATGATGGATGATTGATCTTGGGCTGAATATTTGGCGATGACCGTTGGCCTTCGATCGCTCTAATACATCTGCTCGGGACTCGGCAGTCCAGTCAGTCACGTTACGAGGGTTTGTAGCTTTTTGAATTCGAAAACTCGTCCACCAAAAGCTGAAAAGCTCAGATCAGAACACCTGTACTGACTTAGTCCATCACATTTTTGGTTATCTTTTTCAGAGCTTATCGGTAATGTTGTACGGTACCAGTACCGTATCCGTGTCATTGGAAAAGTAGGCCAATGGAACGAAACAAAAGCCTTGGGGAACAAAATGCTCGTAACTACTAGTTGTGTGCTACATAAGACGAAGGTGTCGCCTGCAACTGTGAGTTTTGGGTTTCTTCTTGTGCTGAGGCGATGACATGAAATTTTCGATCCTGATTGTCATATTATGACTGCTTTGTAAGATTGTGCAGGTGGAACGACGCCAACAGTTTAGGCCTCTTACTATTCATGCAGGTTACTTTGATGAAAGTGCATAGTGACCGCTACCACCACCCATTCAACAGTTATGCTGTGAGAATGAAGGAAGAGAAAAGTGCCGACAAGGATTGTTGCTTGTGGCATGTCCCACACCGCCAACGACAACCTTGACCTTAATCACTAGCCCATGCCTGAGAGGGGCTCACCCGGTTCTTGTAGAAACCAAGAATAAATCGTACTAACTCGAATTTGAAATTGGCCGTCATTTACAGTACATCCCCTTCTTCATAGCCAAAAGTACAATTTCCCAATATTCATTCACGAGCAAACGTGGTGGGATCAAGAAGTGACAACACTGAAATTCTCATACCGGTATACCGGTAGGAGATGTTGCCTGAAATTCCCGTGTCCCTTTTGAGCTGCGCTCACACGACCAGTACTGATAGTACTACCATTCCAGAAGCGGTACTCGTCGTCGGGGTAGCGAAGAATCTTGCATCACATCTTGTCGATGAAGAGCTATCCTTAATTGGACAGATAAAGAACAGTTCTGTGCCACTGCGTAGGAACTATGACGCACCTTTTCTTCTCCCGTCGTTCTTGCATAGTACCAATAAGGTGAACAGGACCCTCCGCAACTCGTCCGTCCTTCGTCGTTTTAAGGGGGATTTTGCGTATTGAATTTACAGGGAGCGGATACATGATTCTTTAGGGGGAGTTGTTTAAAAGGGGGCATTACGGTTTTCCGAAAAATATTTTGTCGTGTTTCAAATTGATTTGTCGTGTTTCATTCGAGTTTGTCGTCTTTCGAATTG